TAGCGTTTGCCTTGTCCGAATATAACAAGGACAAGGCAAGCGCTAAGATAACTTTCGTAGTTGTAGCCATCTTGTTTCTGTCTCTGATTGAGCTTTTTTTCCGACTTGGTAACTGGAACGCTGGTAACTCCGATGTGATGTCATTTTCAGCTCCGACATCTAACTTCCAAGGTAAATCGAACACAGCAAAAGCACAAGCTATTTAAACAAGTTGATTCTGTGTGTGGGTGGGTGAGTGGAGGTGTGTGTGTGCAGGAGTTGACAGTTCGGTCAAAGACAGGGGTTTAATACAGCGACCGCAGCGGCATCCTCTCACTGGGATCAATATGCTGTTGGCCAGGCCACTAAAGAGGCCTCAGGATTGTTGACCATCATTGAGGGCCCTCTACTTTACAGTCCCTCTGCTCCAACAACAACAACTGCTTAAAACATGATACTGTGTCCTGTGCGTAAGCCTGAACTGTCACATCATTCTGAAAACAAGTATTAAAAGCCACAAAACACTGTTCAAGAGTTATTAGCACTTATATTTTGCCCAATCTCTAAGCCTAAAACCCAAGTCGGTTAGCGTTGTTGGCATCAAGCCTTGTAGTTCCCCTCAAATCAGCACCATAAAACCCACATCTATTCAATAGCACCCGTTTTAGGTCAAGATTCTTTTAGTTTTGCATCTATACAAGGTCCTGTCTTTTTAAACCTAGTTTAGCATCTATCTGACCTTTCAATGTCCTGTAATGGATTTTGAATCTTAATTATACTGTCTGATCACAGCGGTCCCTTTTTCTGGTCAATACTAAAACATCATGACTACATGCGTCTTTGCAAACTTTGTAATTCAAGTTCCAGTTTGCTTCCTTGTTCTTTTTCCCACTATAATTGTAAAGCATCCGGTTCTGTTCTTAAAAAGTACGGGGAAGTCTTCCAGATCTTGGCTGTTCATGCACAAAAGTATGTCGAAAAATCCACTGATCCAAAAAATGTCTTGGGAATTTGGCTTTTGGTTAAAAAAAATGTTAACACCGAGACATTCGAATCAGTGACCCTGGTCAGCTGCTGGCACGGTGAAAAAGAAGCAGGTTTAAGCCATACATCTGTCTCACACTAAAGGATTATACACTGTTGTACTGCACGGTACTTCTGAGGAAAAATGGAACTGGTTGGAGAGGTGGGAAACAGGGTGAAACATTTTACCTTCTCAAGGTGTGGAAATGAAATCCAGACCATAACTAATACGAGGTGTTTAGTGGGTCTGCTGCTTTTCTCTTCCCACATCATGAAAATATAAAAGCGGAACAATCACCGAAGGAAAGCCAAGTCTAACCTTTTGTGTTTCCTATAAAAAACATGCGACAGACAAAAACCCGATTGACTGATTTTTAGAGCAGAAAGAGTGATGGATATCTGGGGTGTCAAGCCATAAAAAGTTCTGGAGCAACTTCACAAACAGTCTTTATACAGCAAATAAAGACATCCTTCACACCGTTGCCCCCAGCAGTGATCCATGGTGCACAGATCAGCTGAGGCGGGCACAGCCTGTTGCAGGGCGGTGCTGTGTATGTTGAGCTGTCTTTTCATCCACTCTTCCCTCTTATCCCCACACACTGGGAACGCAAGCCCTCTCATCCCCGGCAAACATCAATCTCACCCTGTCTGCAATGTGCAACACTTCAGTACCTTTCATCAATGAACAGACCCCGTTTATGGTACTGTCCCCCTTTTGTAGCGTGCTGCCATTAGAGGGGTGAGACAGAAGAGAGAGAGGGGCATGCAGTAAAACAGTTTCCGCCCAGTGAATCACATTCTGAGCCTCACACAGCCGACTGGGGGCTGACCCCTGCCAGGCAGTGACATAAACACTGACAAACAAAGGACCTGAGCTTCGAGCAAGTGTGGGTCTTAGAGGATCCCAATCTGCAAAAATTGAAGATGGAAACATCATGTGGTTGAGGAAACAAAATTGTAAACATATCTTGGCAGCTGTTGTTGCTTCTTCGCAAACAAAGGCGAAAGACTCCAATTCTTCCACTGATCCCTTAGTTTCCATTTTTGTATAAAGCTACATAGTAGAAACTGTTGGCACTGAGGAAGAGCAGGTGTAAGCGCTGAATGGATACAGAAGCAGCTCCCTCCCTTCATCCTTGGTGAGAGAAAGGATTTAACTCTGCTGAGGCACAACAGAGGAGGCAACAAAAGAGATTTGCAGGGAGACCCACTAAGATGACATCATGTCAAATCAATGCGAGATAATGTGGACGTATTCAATTATTCAAGGCCTGAAACCCCCACACCAGCAACTATAAAGGCTGGACATCTGCGTAAAATACGCAAAGAAGTAGCAGCAGCAACAGCAGCAGCAGCACAATGAGGGTTGAGGCACTCGTTGATCTAACAGTAACGGCACATGTGCGCAACTCAAAGTGTGCCAAGATTACTTATGGCCCGAGTAAGCCTATAGATTAGTCAACGGAGCTTTTATCTGAGGTTCTCCAGCTCACCATGTGTGGCAGTTCCCCCTTGAATTGTTGTTTTATTTCAGTGGGAGAGAGAAAACCCACACAAAGCGCAGTAATCACACTGGAGATCCTGGATGTTACCATGGAAGCGTTTGTCTCCCTCCTCAATGGGCTGCCCGGCCATTCATTTACTGATTGCGCTGAATCAATATTTAGGCTTTTCAATTTTATTAGCTGCTCCGAGGGGGATTTGGCACAATGCGAAAAGAAATTAGCAGTGGCCAACCACTTTTAATCGTTTTCTTATAGTGCTTTACAATATGTCTGCTGGAGCTGTCTGGCATAATTGATGAGGAGAAGCCTATCCCTATACTCATTAGTTCCCTTTATTCTCTCTACTATTAATCTACTACGCGCAAAAGGTTCAGGATTCACTCGTTTCAGAGGAAATCTAGATAACAACATCATCCACTCACGATATTCTGTCTTGAGAATTACCCTGCAAAGTTTGGCCACTTGACACCCATAATACCAAACAGAAAAAGCTTTGTGCAGATATCAAAAATGAGGGTTCGAGCTCACCTGACACCTTGCGTCGTCTCTGCCCCAAAATAAATTACTTGACTGTTTTTATCACTGAAGGTAACATCGATACTTCTTCACAGGCTCTTCTGTTTTTTCTCCTTTCATACAGCAGCCGCGTTCTTCATCGTTTCCACTTTGTTATCAGCGAAAGAAAGAAAGAAAGAAAGAAAAAAATCGGTTTACTCCTCCTCAGGTTTTGGCTCAATAAGAAGCGCGCCTGTCAAGTAACGGGACTGAAACCGGGAGGAATACCGGTTCCCTGGTTCCTTCCAGGACCCTCTGCCCTTTCTCTACACGCAGCTCCGGGGTCCTGCAGCCATGTGCTAGCTGCTACTACTGTACATACACGACTTTACTGTCCCAACAGGAAGATTAGTGAGCAGCCTCTCAGGGACTCCGACTCGTCTCCCAGTCGCTGCCTAATGAGACAAGATGTTTTAATCCCATTTGAGTCTCGGGGTGCTGCTCGGTGTGGTGGCCGACAGCTCCACCCTGTGAACCACGCTGGCATTGTCTTTTTACGGTTGGTCCCACTTCACAGGAACGGCACATTTTAGATTTATTCACAGGTTCCTCCGGTACAGACTTTAAACAGACTTTTGCCTTAAGCTAATTTATCGTGTTGAAGTTGTTTTCAATACACCTTGCTGCTCAACTTTTTGAATGGCTGTATTTTACCGGTCGGTTTTCTACAATTTAAATAGTTAAAGAAAAACTGCTCAATACAGGGTCAGCGAAATATAACAGAATTTCTGTAAACACAAATATTTCCACAGGCCAACCACGAATAATTCCCTTTTTCAGCTGTTTGTTTGTAAGAGTTGTAACCTCGCCGCAAGCTTGACCGTTAGCGCCATCTCTCGATTTTGAATTGACTACGGTTGTATGGCATGCCAAAAGGGTCAAATTTATCCCCCTTTTTTTTTTTTTTGTCTTAGTTTGTTTGTATTCCTCGTGCGTTTATGCAAGGTATAAAACTGCCTCACTTTAAGGGCTGCATGATATTGGCAAAAAATAGTATTGAAGTTATTTCCTTTCTAAAATGTATATTGGGATATCAACATTTTTAGGAGATTGTGCCACAAACAATCTAGTCTAATTGTGTACACGGAGCCCCACTGGAATATGTGCTGGTTAGATGCATGTTTTGTATGGATGCAGGGCTCGACAGTGCTACGGTTTTACTCCCAAAAAATAGATGTGTGCAACTTGTAAAGTTTATTTAGGGGTACACGTGGGCATAGAAAAAAATCAGCCGGGGCAACAAATGTGTTTCCATGTAAATACCGCAGTGAGGTTAGTTTTAGTTTGGATATTTGACAGACATTCAATGCAGATCTACCAGTATCTTCTCACTCTACAACTGGGAGTAACAACAGCAGCGTGGTTAAATCTAGTCGGCACCCCCGCTGTCAACGTTGGGTGTTGAATAAGGGACCCTCAATAAATTACCAGTTGACGTTCTCAAAAAAAGGCTGTTCTCCTTCATTGGCTTACATGTCATGTGATAAATTGACTTAAAATTGATTTCAAATAATAGTACTAAGGTCAAACAATGAGACACACTTCTTTATTCCCTAATTTGTCCTCTAAACATTTTTGTGTTCAATTAAAGGGCCAATTTTTAACCTTTACTTCAATAGCTTCCATGTCATGTGACCAACTGACCTAAAATTGATTTAAAATAATAGTATTATGTACACACATTATTTAATCATTTTCATTGTGTCCCTAAAGTTCTTTGTGTGCTCCTAACTTTTTCAACGTAGGAGAACATGTGCATCTTGTGAAAAAGTTAGTGTCAAGCCCTGGGATGCATGTCTTCTTATAGCTTCTGTTGGCCTATACATTGAATGACTGACGTTCATTTTGGCCGTTATTAAAAGTTGGAAAACGCGGATGAATTATTATGACCATACTGGCCTTCCATACAGTTGGGGGCGTTTGCACTTACGTCATGACGTTAGTATTCCGTTGACGTGGCCTGAGCGGTAGCTGTGGCAAATTATCTTTAGCTAGCAGGTAGGTAGCTCTCTAACCCTGAGGCTGGTGAGACCGAAGATAATCCCTTGGAAGTATGGATATTATTCAGGCGAACTGATCAATCGGTTTTCATCCTATCAGGTAAAGGTAGTTTTCAACGACTGTCTCTAATAATATCATTTATCAGTCGTAAACACAGGGTGATCACTTACGTTTACATTTCAAACGACACTAGCCTGGTAACATAGGTGGTTAGCATTAGCATTAGCCTGTCAATAATGTGAATTACTCTGCTAGAATTAAAGCTTCATGTTTATTAACAGTCTGATTAAAAGGATTAGATGTTACCGCAAGTTGTGCCACTTCACATGATCCTAAAATGATAACAAAGAACACAATTATGTTTGTGTTTAACACCTCGGATTGGTCGCTACTCAGTTTATATAATGTCATCTCGTCGATTCGACAACTAATCTCTGCTTTTACATTAAATATTAACTTGTTGTGATATCGCTGATAGGAGAATTGATCAGTAATATGAAGTTATCGGACAGGGTATCCCTAGATGATGAGCAGTAATGGGTAATGAAGCAGATATGTTACATAAACAGAGGACCTTGACATGTTGCAAACTGAACCCTGCGCCTGTAGAGACCCTATCTTATCTATCTTATCTGTCTCTGGAAACAGAAATGGACTTCAGTTTTCATTTTCAGATTGCTGAACATATTGATAAAGTCATAAATACCTTTAAGGTGCAGGTTTTAGAAAGAGCCTAGCATGACTACTACACTGTGTAGTACAATGTGATAATGTTTGGAAAAGCCCTCCAATCTTTACAGTCTTTAGTGTCTGTATATGTAAAATAGGAAGTGCCTTAAACACCATCTTCTGTAACAGTACATGGAAAGAGTTAATGTAGACATCTATTGTAATCTCTTGGCCTCACATTCACCTGCGTGTCTAAATTCCAGTTGTATAAGACTGTGTGTTTGCATCCAGATCAATCAGATTAGTCGCTCAAACTTGTTTTCTCTCCAATACAGTTAAGGAAAAAATGTCCAGTAGAAGCCAGCACTATGGGTTCCAGTCAGCCACCATGGTGCAGCCCGCCAACGGCGGTCATGCCTATCTCTTCGGAAACAATGCCTCAGAGAACGACCTGTCAGAAGAGGACGGGGAGAGTTATGAGCTGCGTTCACGTGGCAGAGAGAGGCTGCGGAGGAGCACCTCCAGAGAGAGGATGGAGGATATTATCTACCTGACCAGAGACATACAGGAGGGGGACACCCTGAACAGCATCGCCCTGCAGTACCATTGCTCAGTGAGTCAGCGTAGATCTCTGTGTGGCCTAAGACCTCTTCTTGAGGTGTAGCCACTCAACTATCCTTCATTTGCATGTCTGAGTAGACTTACAGTATACACATCCTCATTGCTGGGCTCCTAAACTGCTAGAGCTGCATCTAACAATCGTTGTTCTTACTGTAACCTGAATTATTAAGCCTGTCTGTCTTTGCATTTATGGAAATGGCCTGTCAGATAGTAGTAACCAAGTCACATTGGTGTCTCTTTATCACAGAAACAGTCAAACCAGGTGTAAGAAGATCTGTCAGTTGCATTGACTTCGTCTAAATTGACGATTGATATCCTCTGAAATTACGAGTGTTCTTGCCAAAACCTCAACACTGTATTTTGATATTTAAATAGAATATGTTAAAATACAGTTGAGAAATAAATCTAATTATAAATCTTTGAAGTATTCATAAATGAGTGTGCTGCATACTTTACATTACCAGTATCAATTTTCCAATACATTTAACACCATGACCTTTATAATAAAGGCTTATATAACAACATACCTCCCTTTGGTAAGAATAAAGGAGAAGCATATTAATGTATTATTCTGTATATACTATAATAGCAGTCAACTGCTATAATTTTTTAACAGCCAGCAGGTAAACTATGACGCAAATTATCTTGGCCAGAAATGCATCTTTTTTTAAATTTTTAATTGATTTAATTTTAATCCATTTTAAGCTGTTGTCTGCTTTTGTCTTCACTAGTCTCTTAGCAAGGCCAACTGTTTTCAGTGTAAACACAAAGCGTGTTTATTCAGGGAGCTGTACTTTTATTTCATCAGGATAATAATTTCATGCAGTACAGCAAAATTTTTTTGTTTGTTGAGGGCGTACTGTAGTTTTACATCCTTGTACGAAAAAAGCTGACACGCTGCGATTCTAGTTTAATGACTGCATAAAAGCCCATTACAGTGAAAGGAGTGAAATAATAAATTAGAAATTATGCGTCTGTAATCAGTCTGGTGAAATTATCTGTTTCTTTCTGCATTTTTAGGTGGCTGACATCAAGCGAGCCAACAACCTCTTGACAGAGCAGGACTTTTTCGCCCTGAGGTCAGTGAAGATTCCCGTGAGACGCTTTAGTGTCCTCACTGAGACTCACAGCACCGGACCTCTCAAGTCTGCCTCCCCTACAGCTGCCAGGCGCCCTCCCCAGATCACCCCTGTTACCTCCCTCCCCACAGAGTCCTCCACAGACTCTTCCTCCTCCACTGACAGTGTCGAGGGCTTCCTCTTGGAGAAGGATAAGGACATCGAGCGGCTAGTGAAATCCACAAGTCCGGCTCGGACCAGCCTGAACGAAGTCGTGTCCTCTTTGACGCTGCAGCAACAGCAGCCACTGCTAGGAGAAGTGGAGTATAAACCAGTGCAGAGGAAGGACCCTTATTATGGGGCGGACTGGGGCATGAGATGGTGGACGGCTGTGGCCATCATGCTGGTTGTTGGCATCATCACCCCTGTGTTTTATCTGCTGTATTATGAGGTTCTCATGAAAACTGATGTCGGCCATCACAGCATTCCTACACAAGCAGCAGGGAACATTCCTCATAACAAAATAATGGACCCAAATGTTGGAGAAGCTAATCACGCAGGAGCTGGACCAGGACACAATGTCGGACAAGGGCTTAATGGGGATACGCAGGGTGGACATAATGTGGACAAAGCAGGGGACAGTCAACATGGGGAACATGAGAAAACATAACAGATCTGTTTTTTTAACTCAATACATCAATGCAACCAGTCTGCCTGGGACAGTCACTTTATAGAGAGCGGTTATTTTTATTGTTGAGAACCTAGAAATAGAAGTCTGTAGACGGTCATTTCTGGTGTCTGTCTACCTTCATTTGTATGCATTACAACAAGGAGTATAAACTCAGTGAAAATGTCAAATGTTATGCCTGGCTGAACTTTTTCCAAATGACGGACTAACTGCAGATATTTTTAAATCTTTGCTGCTGTATTTCCTTCAGTCTACAGACAGACTGTGTCCATTAGCTCAAAACAAAGCCAGGACAGACAGCAGCTGATTCATGTTTTTCTACTCTGAGATGAATCAGCGACTGCACTGTTTCAAATCCTGCATTGGAAATCAAATGTAGATTTGATTTTAACGCTAATTCCAAGCAGTTTGGTCCAACTGTATTCTTTTGCCATACTAGAAAATATGTTTTTTTGTTTTCCAGCTCAATAGGTTGGAAAAATATAACTGCTGCCATTGTGTTTAATATAGAATTAATTTATTTTAAGACTTTTGAGCATTAGCCTTTACTTCAACTATCAGTATTGGGAGATTCCAGGTAATTGTGTTTCCTAATTTCCATGACATTTGCTTGAATTCTTTGTTCTTTTCTTTAGCTTGCCTGAAGAGAACTGCAATTTTATTCTCCATTCAAAGAACCTCATAGAGCATGGTGAGGAAAATGGGAAATGCACAGTGTTCCCACAATGACTCATACGTGTAATTTAGTGAAATTTTGGACTTTGTTGTATAGCCCTTTTATTTGACCACTTTGTCCACGTAATACTTTATGAAATTTCATAAGTGTTGTTGACAGTATGTGCCTTTCAACCTGTGGAAACACAGCCACAGGCTGGAAAATAAATACATCTATTTTGAATAAATTATTGCCAGTATGCACATAGTTTGGCTTTTCTTATTTACATCAGTCTTTAACAAAAGCTTGCATCAACATCAAACAAAAAAAAGCTAATGCATCCAACATTTTGGACTTATCCACACTATTTCAGCAGTCACACTTGCTCAAGTCACTCAGTAAGTTGCTTCACCGTCCATATTGTCATCACTGTCCGCTGCAAAATCTTCGCCATTGTCAAAATAGCTTTCAATGTAGTCATTGTCCTACAAAAAACAAACATGGTTTAAGTTAACTATTAATCCCATGTATCACAGATGTTATAATTGTAAAGTGAACATCTGTAAACCAACCTCTTCAATATCCTCTTCTTCATACTCTTCTTCCTCTATTTCTTCTCCCTCTTCATTTTCTTTTTTATTTTCAGCCTCGTCATCTGATTTAGCAGGGTTCCCGTCATCTTTCTTTGCAAGTTCCTGAAATGTTGACAATGTTAAGAAAGAGAAGGACTTCACATCTATTGGTTTGCAATGGAGCACTGACCAAACAAATGAAGAAAAACTTACATCTAATTTATTCAGCATTTCTTCGTTTTCTTTGACTGATATCTTCACAGGTTTCTTCTTTTTGCCTGTTGGATTTCAGCGTTATAATCCAGAATGTACTGCTCATTTACAACTGTTCATACTGTTTGGTGTGATTACTTGAAAATACCTGGTTTAGCACGAGGTTTCTTCTTTTGAGGCATCAATTCTTTTGGAAGAAGATTCCAGTCTATGAATAAGAAAAATTATCAACAATTCTTCGCAGATGTCGCCATTTTTTAATGACTGTATTCATGAATGTGATGCAATAACCTGGAGTCCACTCTTCATCCTCTGTGCCTGTTTTCCTCAGGTATATCTCAGTGTATTTTTCCACCTCTTGTTTCATGCAAAAACAGAAAAGTTATTTCAGCACACTTTTTTTTTAAACAGTTGGCTCTTTCAGTTCACAATTAGCAGAGATTACCACACAAACACAGTGTGGTTGGTACCAAATCACACTGAGTGACTGCAACTGAGTTTTTAACACATTTTTAACAAAACACATAGACATTTTCGAACAAGATATTACAGAAAGCATATTGACAACTTAGGACGGATATATACACACACACACACATATATATATATATATATATATATATATATATATATATATATATATATATATATGTAGGTTGCCTTTGAGTGAAGGAATTCCATTAAAGGAGAGGTAGCTACTGTAATTGAACGATCTGCCATGAATCTAGCACTCTCTCCTGTTCCCAGATATGACCATTATTAAATGCATCTGTACCTAAGTGCTGCATTATCCCTCTTCAAAGCAGAAAAAATGTCTGACTGAAGCATTTCTATCAGACATCAGGTTTCTAATGCACTCCTTCCTCTCTCACCCGCTTTATTGGACCCAGGCTTGATATTGTGAGGTAGCCGTTGCATCGTTCCCCTCATCTCCTGTTTTAAGGCCAACATGTAGTCTTCATCTTCGCCGGCTTTCAGTGGCACCGGCTTAAAGTCAGTGTTCTGCAGCAGGATTAATAGAGGAGGGGAGAGGATGCTAAATGTAATTTTTCTATTTAACACATTTGATATGGAGCTATGGAGCAGATGTTTCAGGGTGTTGGAAAATCATTTTTTACTACATGATGTGCCTTCCTTTAATTTCCCCTTTGTAGATTGCATTTGAGGTTAGAGTGATATGATTTAAAGAAACACCAAAATAGAATAACAGAGTACAAAATGGATCCTACACAGTGAGGTGCACGCCAAACTTCTAAACTATTGTAGAATAAGATAGATTCATGTTGTGATTAATATATTTCATAAAAATCAATGAATCAGTTGCCAAGGGGACTTGCAAGATGAATAAGCGTAGGTACTTAAGCTTATTACTTGATAATTAAGAAATTGTCCCGTAATATTTTACACTACAAAGGCTGATATCAAGACACCAGCAAGACACCGGTGTGGCACGCTTGAACGCGGCCTCCGGGGAGCTCAGAAGCTCATTTTGTGGTAAGTAGACTGCAATATTCTACCATAATGACAAAGGATCTTAATCACACTCTGGACCTGTGTGCCAAATTAAATCCCACCTCTTTGTGTTAATTGCTATGGGTACTGCACATGATGGGCATAACATGCATTGAAAGTATAATAAAAAGAACTCAATTAGGCCCCACAGTCATTACTGCTTTTAGGCCTTTGTCACTGCATCATTCAGAAGAAAAACTAGAGCGTTATGCAGCTTTTGGGAGAGTATGCTCTGGGACAGAATATTAAATAATACACTGTAATACATAGCACTAATTCACATCACTGACTTTTTTGTGTTCACATCCAAAAAATAGCTGTTATATTGCCTGTATATTGGTTTAACCCTTTATCACTATCACCGGGTGATTTTCACCCGACCAAACGTGTACGTGATTTTCATTATGTTGCGTTTGTCTGAGTATCATGGGTCCCTGGGTAGCTTCAGCATTGCCTTTGACATCTTTGAAGGCATATTTGTTTCCCTGATCCAAAACCTGTTATCTCCTACAGGCACGTGTTCGGGTGATTTTTACCCGGCGGATGGGTGGATTTGATAGCTGCATTTGGGGAATAAGGTCAGTAAGAGTTGTCCAGGAATTCGCATGCTATCTTTATTTAGTGCAGTGGTTATGAATAACTATCACAAAGTAGAGATTTTAAAGGGAATTTATATGGTGATAAGAAATTTTAGTCAGATGGTCATTTTTACTCACTCAAAATATGCCATATTAAGACTGGGACAAAGTTTCTAAACCTACGCTAATTGAAGAGTTATTGATTAAAGTACAAACCAAAAAATGGGATAAGAAATTAATAAGCTATTGTTACCAGATGTTCCTGAGCATGAATTTGAATAATACTGCACAGATTAAGGAGAGATGGGAAATTGAAATTAATTCCAGCATATCACATGATATGTAGGAGGAAGTCTGCACTGTACATTTAGTAACCAATTCAAATGTATGGGGAGAATTTAAATGGAAGGTAGTCATGAGGTTCTTTGGGACACCCGAAATCACAGCTAAACTTAGCACTACACACTCTAATAAATGCTGGAGAAACTGCGGCCCACACATTGGTTATCAGACCCATATACTCTGGTTATGCCCAAAACTGGAGGTATTCTGGAAGGAAGTCTTTAAAACACTTAATATAATATTTGGTGGAAATATTACAATGGACCCAATGGTGGCTCTATTAGGCCTACTACCAAGAGGCATTGAAGGAAGAGGCAAAAAATATCTCTTACAGATACTATTAGCAACAGCAATTAAATGCATTACAGTAAGGTGGTTGAAGCCTGACCCTCCAACACACAATATGTGGACTGAAAAAATAAAGGAAACATATCAAATGGAACAAATAACATATTCCCTGAGATTTCAAAAGCATATATTCACAAAAAGATGGAGCCCTGCCATGGGTATACTGATATAATTCTTACTCTATTTATTCTATATTTTTCTTTGTCATTATAGTCTTTGTCTCTTTTGTTGTACCAAAACTGTTACCTTGTGTATGAAGCAGCAGCAGATATGATGACTATGACTCTGTTAATGATTTTGAATGAAACTTAAATAAAAACTAAGTTCATAAAAAAAGCCATATTTTGGTTCTCTCTCCTGCAGCTGTTATTGTGCCAAGGACCCTCACATGCCTCAGGAATGGGTGGAAAAGAAACTAAGTTTACAGTTTCTATATTTTTATTTTTTAGGAATTTTTTGTTCATGAATGCCTAATTTTAGTTATTTTGTTCCATTTTTATATGCTCCCCTCATGGCATTTTTCCCCTCCCTTTGGACATTGCACAGTTAAAAATAAAAGAAAGCTACTTTCATTTGTCATGCATTGTCCTATTTTTATATATTTTGATGACAAGTACTTTTTCTTGGGTATATTATTTCGGGTAAAAATCAACCTTAGATAGTGATGGTGTTACTAATTTTAGCAATAGTGTTCTAGGGTTAAATGTCAACTTAATATGCAAATGTTTGAAGAGTTTAAGCTGTTCTGGGTGTGTTCAGTTTGGTGCAACACTATGATGGTATATGTGTGAGTGTGTAAACTGAGGGTACTTACTGGAAACAGAGGACTGGGCCCCACCCTGGCTTCTGGCATGCTGCCCCTGCCGATGCCCAGAGCCTCGATGTTGAAGGTAAAGGCGGCCACTCCTCGCCCCTTGCCTGCCATGGTCACAGTCCTCCTCTGTACCTGCAGCACACAATCCACATGTGTCCGGTAAACTCCACGGTCAAACACGTGGCACACAAGAGGTTCGTAATCACCAGCTTTTCTGAATGATTTGACTGCACCAGACACTCATAAACAAATACACTCAGACTGGATACTCACTATGACAGTGTTTGTTGGTAAACTGCTCCTAATGTGGAGAGCAAGACACCTGAAACTCTATGTACTTTATGACAATTCTGCGGCATTTAGCTTCTACTACGCATTCATATCTACTTTTCTAGTTTTTTACACACTTAAAGTCCTCTTTCGTGTTAAATTTACAATTCGGCTCGTCAACGAAGTATTTCTATGGTAGATTTAAGGAGAATTTATCAAAAAGAGACAACTAATGCTTTGCTAACACCGGCGTGGAAACTCAGACTACACGTATCAGCAAAGTTGTGGCTTTAAACTAGCCCCGCCCATAGCTGACGTAGAGGAGGTGTGGTTAATTTCCAGCCTATAGAATCATCTCTTTAGGCTGTCATCACTATTCCAATTGTCCAATGAGAGTGCTTTGTTTCGACAAGGGTGTGTCGGTAGCCACCATCACATTATTGCCAATGAAAACATATCACCTCTAGCATTGAAGGCTAGTTATACCTCGACGCTGTAAAAATCAGCTGACAGCTCAACACCCGCAGCAGATTACTTTGACCAGTGCGTGAACTGGGATGTCTGCAGCCGACTGGTACGCCCACAAATCGCTCGGAGACGGACTGTTCTGGATCCAGGAGCGATTCTACCAGTCAGATAACCGGGCCAACATCTGGCTGCTCCGCGGCTCACACCAGGACGTGGTGATAGACACCGGGCTGGGCTTGAGAAGCTTACCTGACTACATCGACGCCAAGGGGCTTCTCGGCAAAGACCCGCAGAGGAAAAACCCGCTGTTGGCCATCGCCACCCACGCCCACTTCGACCACTCGGGCGGTCTGCATCAGTTCCAACAGGTGGGCGTCCACAGCCTAGAGGTCGATGCTTTGGCCAACGGAGACAACTTCGAGACGGTCACCTGGCTCAGCGACAGGGAGATAGTCGAGGCTCCCAGTCCTGGATGGAGAGCGAGGCACTACAAAGTGAAGGCGGTGCAGCCGACACACATCCTGCAGGAGGGTAGGTGGGAGGTGCAGCACGTGCAGATGTGATTGATTGTAGAGGGGTGGATGTGTGACCAAAAGGCAGGTCAAAGGTCTCAATGCGATCGGCATTACGCACGATACCATCTGACGGTATCTAAGGCATGCGATCGGCATTATGCACGATACCATCTGATCGGCATTACGCACGATACCATCGGACGGTATTTAATAGATGCGCACGTTCTCAGTAGCTTGCATACTCTCTATATGAAATCCTTTGTATCCCCACAGGAGGGTCTTACCTCAAATTTAGGGAAAACATGTAGGTTTGTGTTAGGTATAGTGTTTACATTGGTGTAGATGGCTCATTATATAACATAAAATACATACATGAGTGCAGATAAGGGCCTTTCAAGTCCCACCCTAAAGTAAACTGTATAAGTGAAACAATAGCTGCCCAGAAATATGTGATTGGTCTCCTTTTGCTTTGCTTATTCTCTCTATTGGCAGAGCAGCTCCATTTGAAGCTTTTGTTCTTTGGTTGATTTTACTTCAGCCAAGAAACAAAGAAGACAAAAACAGGCCATACTAAAGGAAACACCCCTTTGGAGTACATACTACCTCACTGCACAGATCTGGTTATCACCTACTGTACTGTGAGCAGATACACACCTTATTCATCCTGTGCAGTTTAAGTAATTAACCTGAAACTTAAAAATCATAACTTAATTGTATAATAGTTGTTATTCAGCTTTGGCTTAAAATGAACATTTGATCTTAAAATTGCAAAATCATGATCTGTTACCATCTTTAGTATTCTTGCAGTGTAATTCTGCAATGCTGGTCAATACACTGAGTTGCTCTGCTGTGTCAGAGACACTGCTGCAGTGCAGGTGGAATATCTCATTGCACAGTGTGTCAGTTTCACCCTCCCATCAAGCTGAGTACAGCCTGGACCAAATCGATTATTTACTGAAAGTTCCACTTTTTTTACTTCATGGCAAGAATAGGTGACTTATTGAAAAGACAGTTTGTACCCTGGCGTGATTCAACCCTGCCAAATAACAAGGATCATGAAAATACAGTTTGGATCCACTTATTTATTTGCAACTTTGATGGATTTTAAAATATATATCGTGTCTGTAGGCGTGGATGATTTAAAAAAATATCATATGTTTATCTCTTTCCTGTACAGGAGATGTCATCAACCTGGGTGACAGACAGCTGACAGTGCTCCACATGCCTGGTCACTCTCGAGGTAGCATCTGCCTCCATGACCGTGACAACAAGCTGCTTTTCAGTGGAGATGTGGTGTATGATGGAGCCATGATTGACTGGCTGCCCTACAGCAGGGTCAGTGACTACATCAGCAGCTGTGAACGCCTGGTAGGGCTGGTGGATAGTGAACAGGTAACATTTGAACCATTTCAAGGTTTTATCATTTTCGATAAGATGTTTTGATGCACAACAAATAATTTGTGTCATCTAAATACAGTAGATTCTCAGTTATTTTAAAGAATACCTGTTAATGTGAGCTACACTGTAAGTCAGGAGGTGATTTGTTAACGATAACAATGTGGAGCTGATAAGTGTATGGACTTTTACTCCAGAGATAAACTGTATGTTATAAATTGATGGATACCGTATGGTTGTAATGTTCATAGTAAAGGAAACAATGTTTAACTTTTACTCTACAGAAAGTTTTTAACAACCGGCAAATCTATTTCACAGGTTGACCAAGTCCTCCCGGGACACTACAACACCTTTGGTGCCAAGCGTCTCAACAGGATTGCATCTACGTATATCAGCAGAGCTGGCACCTGCCCTGCAAAGGTCTCTACATTTGCTTGGAGGACTCTGGCCGGGGTGGCTCTGCGGGCGTGTAACCCACGTAGTGCCTGCTGATGGGAGTGGATTACGTGGGTTGGAGGGAGCACAAGTTCACAAAGGAAAGTGTTTAAATATGGAGGACATGAGGAAGGTGATGAAAGATGACACCCCTTATGTATCTGTATATTGATGTAACAGTGTCCATTCACTTATGTAATCCAACAGAAATCACATACTTGCCAAACTTAGTCTAAAATGCCACTATTGGGTTACATAAGTCAATATCAGCATCATATGAAGCATATTATACAAAGTATTTAATAGTGTGATTCTGTTCTATACTGATGGATATGTATTTGTTGAGTTAAATAATATTATATGTATGTTTTTATACTATAAGCAGTAATAAAGTTATAATAGCACAACAATGTACAACTCTGCACTTCAAACTAAAAAGCAGGGAGCTAGCTATAGGTTCTCCTTTGAGGAATTTAGTCCATATGGCCATAGTATCTCTCTATGCATTTTACAATGCTCAGTGAAGACTCAGTGTCGACTACCTCCTGTGTTTGTAACAGTGCTTTGTACTATTGACAAATCCAAGGCTTTGCTAAGGAAACATTGACAATAAAGCCCCGTTCTACCTGCATTTGTTTTTGCTTCTACAAAACTGAGAACTGCAGCTTCCACCTGCAAGTGTTTATCGCATAAGATGGGCTATCCTGTGGGATTTATTGCTGCAGGGTGAGTGTGAATAAAATTGGATCAAGTATGATCCATCATATGCTCAGAGTGCAGAGTACTTTACTTATCTCACAGACAGTTCTCCCATTGCAGGGGAAAGTGTACATAATGGAAGGGAAAGAACATCATCCTGCACTGATATAATTGTCTACAGAATCTAAAGTAGTCTGACCTGGATATGCACAATGTGATAAAACATTTATCAAAAGACAAGATGGCATCGATTTGTTAGTTAAGATTCAAGAAACACAGGTATAATGCTCTAAACCTCATTTAAAAAGATAATTTCCGACACAGATAATATGTAAGGAAAAAAGGCAAGCCAATAATTGATAAAACATTTATTATAATTAATGTTACATTATTTAAACATGAAATTTCCTCATCTCTCATGTTGTGTTTACCTTCTGGGATGGCACACATGCAGAACACCAAGCCTGCTTTAAAATGGGAAACTCTTACAAGCTTATAACATTCAATGTTATCTATTGGTATCAGTTAATGATCTGCACACCACCTGTTAACAACCTGGGATCAATATAGCTGCATTTATAACAAAATCAAAAATGTAACAAAAGACAGAGAGGAGGTGTATTTGTTAACCTATATTAATTTACAGTATCAACTGTTATAATTCTTAGTAGAAATGTTTGCATGAGTTCGTAGAGTCCAAAAAAATACAGTGAAATCAGGAGTAAACAAAAGGAGAGAGAAGAGGAGGCTTTACTGCTCCGATGGGTATTGACTCTGGGAAAGACTTATTCAACACGGACGCTTCCTGTCAGATGATTCTTTGATATTTCTATTCGTAATGAACTCTAATCAGGATTTTCTCTTATAACAGAAACTTCATAAAACAATTACTGGCAGTGTAAACTATTTTATTCTTGATTTTTAATACTACAACTAATGACCTGGGTGTATAGTGAGTGCCCAGAGTTATTGAAATGCAGAGAATAGAGCCAATATAAATAATAATTTATAAGAAATGTTTCATGTGGTTTAATATTTGATTGGATTGGGGGATGTTTCACATTTCATAGAAATTCTTTTTCTATATAATCTACAAACTTCACTGAGCCAGTAGAGCAGAATAATATGTCTTTTTTTCATCAATGATCCTGATTTGTATAATTTCACTCTATCCTAAGGTTTGCTCTATTAAAGAAAGGATTATTCTAACCAGCTCTGACAAAAATTTCCTAGTAATCTGCAGATAAACGTGTAAAGATTAAGACCAGAGCACAGATTTTTACCCTGCAGGGGATCACAGTATTAACCAGTACAGTATGTATGAGCACTTGCATAAAGTGAAGCTTTCACCAGATTCATTGCTGAAATGATCTCAAGTAGTTTATCATTTTATGGTGAGTCAAATCATGCAAGGAAAAAAAAAAACCAAAATGTGCATAGAAATCTGAGGAAATCCACAACGCTCATTTGTTGTAAGAATAATTAGAAACGTACACTGAAGTAGATCACAGTACAGGCAACAAACACCAACACTTCCCTTCCACACTGAAGAGTTTTTCACTTTTCCCATGACTGATTATTATACCCTTTGTTCATCTTTCAACATGCTCGCTGGCATTCATAGCATTACACAGCAAACCTTTACTTATAAAATACAAAACAGAAACAACCAGTCAAAACATCGCTAGTGCATTAATAGAGATGACCTTGAAATAATATTTCAGTGGCCAGGATGGCTGATGCAGAGGAAAGTTAAATTAACCTTTAAAGTCTCAGGAGTAGAGTCCAAGGACAGACACCAGGCCGAGCGTGGCGTGTTTATTAGAGGAATTCCTTCGCTCTTAGCATCACTTTCTCCGGAGCAGCATGACCATAATTATTCAAAGCGTGCTGAGTACCTCCCATTTAGTTTTGGACCATTGTCAAAAAAAGTGTCTCCTGCAGTGATTGTCACCTGTCTTATGTGTTAGAAAGCATTCCAGTTTGCCCCCAGGAGGGTCTTCTAAGATCCAACCTCCAGCAGAAAGCAGGTTAGAGGCAGCTTATCCTCCTCAGGGCAGGGTATCATCGCCTGAGGTGGGTTCACATGTGTTAAACTGAGGTTTAATGAATGCTATTACCCTTAGGCCAAAGTTAAATGTCTGGTGAACTGGGATGAGTTCAGACCTGACTCTGAAGCCAATTGCGAGGATCAAGTCTGGCCCTGAGGGATCTGAGGCTGCGCCGTGCTGGGGACGGCCTGGAGAAAGGGGCTCCCTCTGACGACTCTGGGCTGTGGCTGCCCTCGCTGTTGCTGGAGCTGTTACTGGAGCTGTTACTGGAGGTTGAGCTGGAGCAGGACAGCGTGGTTTGCGTGCTTCGTTGTGACCGTGGCGAGTGAGAGGAAATGGGGAGCGGGTTAAGCAGTGATGATGATGGAGGAGGCTGGCAGGGACACTGGAAGGTCCCACTTCCTCCATACCCCCTCCCTCGCAGGGTGCTGAGTTTGGCATCCAGTGATAGCGTGCGTGGCCTCAGACGAGAGGGGGAGGATGACAGGATGGAGAAGTTTGACGTTTGCTCAGGCCAACCGTGATGCTGGGAGCTGGGGCTAGTGCTGCAGTGGCTGTCGCTATCCGAGGTCAGGCTTGCATCTGAAGACAGCAGAGTCAGCTGAGGGTAGCGGTGGGGGCTCATGGGGCTGCGGGGCAGACGATGAGGTGAGCAGGGACTGTGGCCAGAGAGGCGAGAGTTACAAGGACGGTGGCGGCCAGCATTCGTAGTGTTGCTCTCCTCAAACACAGACATCCAGGTGGGGGAGGTGCCCAGCTGGCTGCGGAGCTCCAGCTCCTGCATCCTCCGAGCCAGTATGTCTGAGACAGTGCTGCTGAGGTCATCTGAAGACTCAATAACTGCAGGAGAGATTCAGCAAAAATCATCAATACACTGCCGTAGGATGTTGGCCTTTCACATTTAATTCTTAAAGATAGACTCAATCTAACTCCTAAAAGTAATTCTTTAATCTTGAACCTAACTATTTTTCTTTACCAGCCATAACCTGAGAGGAGTTTCAATCTTATTCTTCATGTAATCTTGATGTTAAATAAACATTTATTTTGAGAAATATTTTGAGCCCTAAAAAATGATGTAATTTGGACAGTTCTGAGGACAAATTATTGTTACTTTAAACCAAACACTCAAGGTTGTAGGGATAAAATTACAGACAAATCAAGAGTAAAATTACGCCGAATACAAAGAAAAAAAGCTTGACTTTGATTCTCCGGACTTATAATCTTTAAGAAAACTTAAATTATACATTAAGTTGAAGATTTGAATTCAAAACATTTTCCTGAGAAAATGACTCATCATGATGACTGAGGACCAAACGGATCCTGTCTAATAACGCTTTACAAAATCTCTTTAATATCAGCCTGATAAAGCTAATCCTGGATATGCATTTAATCCTGGATTGTGATGATTTAAATGGATCCCTACTCCTGTTACTTCACCTGTCGTTGTAATAAGACGAGAGCAGAGCGCGAATCTCAGCAGACACAGCGTTATCCTGCAGCAGAAGACCCTCACAGGAGGGTGTGGCAAGAGGTGCTACCAGAGCAGGTTAGGAAGGGAGAGAGAGGATAGGAGGAAGGGTAACAGGTGTGTATTGATAGTTACGAAAGAAAACAGATGAAGGTAGATGCATGTTTATTGAGGAAATGAATGTTAGGGTACGATGAGAGAACAAATGTTCAGGGATGAAAACAATTCAACCATTAAAAATTAATTTTAAGAGTTGATGAGGAACATGTGGTTGATGATGAGTAATGATTGAGGAGACGAGGGAGTAATAAAGAGGACAGGAAAGAGACACCGCCAAGGAGTGATGGATTGAGTACACACAGGGAAAATTGAAAAGGACAAAGAGGGACAGAGAAACAAAGGACAGAGAGTGAGTCAGCGTGTCAGAGATAACATCCATTCTACCTACAGTAAAAAAGAGGTAAAGCAGAGTGTGAGTCTGAGATACCAAGAGAGGAAAATTTGATTATGAAAGCATCTCACATGCACACGGACCCGAGGAAGTAAAGCTACACACAGTCACATGCAGTGGAGGCAAAGTGCTGTCTTTCCCTGACTTCCCTTTCAATTTTCATAACTCATAGTTTTTTTCTTAATACGACTATGGAAGTGCATTATAATCAAGACAACATTGTAATGAGGCAGAAAACTTTGGTAACACGTTACTTGACGCCTATCGCTATAACCCATTATAAATATATGTATAACATATAGATGATCATAATGCTTTATAGCAATAATCAAAACACATAATAAAGCATTTTATCATGACTTACAATGTCAGGTATTATAATGTGTTTTGCTTATTGTTATAAAGCCGATCATCAATGAGTGTTTATAATGATAGGTATACAAGTTTATAAGCACAATATAACACATCATAAATATATGCATTATACATTACATTATAATGCATTATCTATGTGGCCGTTGTCAGTGAGTTGTTAACAGTTATAACACATTATAATACCTGACCTTGTAAGTCATGATAAAATGCTTTATAATGTGTTCTGATTATTGCTATAAAGCATTATGATCATTTATGAGTGTTTATAACTACTGTTATACAGTGCAATAACGTGATTATAACGCATTATGCGTATATTTATAATGCGTTGTAGAGATAAGCGTCAAGTAAAGTGTTACCAAAACTTTCATATCAAAGTACTGTTTGCATTTTTTGTATGAGATCAGATCAGATTGTTTTGTTTGTCACTGTACCAAAAACAGTTTTTCATCACGTATGCACAATATAATTTATTTCAACACTACAGTGAAGGATTAGCGACAATACTTTAAGTACATATTGAGACTCTTTATGAGTTATATTAGTTTGTATCAACTCAGATTTATTTTGAAACTTATTGTATTGTGTCGAATTGCTACATGTTATATGGCAATGTATTGTATTAATTCTTATGGTAAAGTATTGTGCTGTATTATATGGAGCTGTATCATATCATATAAAACCCTATTGTAAAGTATCATTCTCTATTATATCATATAAATAACTTTTATCTTCTGCTTATCATAACAATTGGACAGAGGTCTTACCCATTTCATGATAGAGCGAGCCCTGTTTTGGTGTGACAGGTGCTGGTTTCCTTGGCGATGGCATTTCAATCTTCATTATGTCATCACAGCATTGCTTCCATTGACCTATACATTAGAGACAAACCAACAACTTTTACCGCTGCAAGTTTCAGATGCTATATAAACAACTTTACATATTTATATGAGGTGGTTTCATTATGTATATGTGAAACCTTTATTGTGTTACAGCATCCTGATACTTACTCATGTCATAGAAGTGTTGCCAGAAAGCCTCCATCCACCTGTGCGTATCTTCTCGACTGTCTGTGGTCAGGGTATGCGTGACCTCCTCACCCCCATAATGGTTACTAATACAGATATTCTGAACTTTACTGTGGGGGTCTTTCTCTGATGCCCGTATTCTGGTCTCCTAAAAAGAGCAAACGACAGAGAATATAATAATCTACCAGAAAATGACTACAATCAGGAATGAATGCCAGGGCTCCTGAATGAACAAAATTATGTGCCTCAACAAGTAATCATTACGGCAATTGTAATTGTGAGTCCCCACTGAAAATAAGCCCTGACTAATAAAGCTGCTAATTAGTCCTCTTCCAAACCATTTCCCTTCAGCAATTATCCAACAAAAGGTGCAGACTCCCAATTCCCACCTCCTCATTTTACTCCAAAGGTTTCAGGTCTGGTTTTTGAACACTAGATGGCAGTGTTGTTCCACTCCTCACGCTGAACTCTCTCTTTGCTCCTATTAAGGATGAATAACTGACTAACATGACTTACATGATCTGATCTGATCTGATCTGACTTGGCTTCATGTCAATTGTGAGCTCAGGGTCAGATGCTACAAAAAGCCCAATGAGTCTAAGTGGAAAGAATGTGACTCTCAGACTTTCATTCTCAGACACACGGACGAAGAGAATAAGATGATTGAGAACCAGACTGCCCTGATAACTCTTCTTGATTTTAGTGTCTGGAAAAATGAGGAGATGACTGAATTATTATGTCTGACTGGACGGGCTGACCCTGATGTGTTTGAGAAGATATTAAATGGATTTTATTTGAAATCTCTACAGTTATTTTTTCCCAGACAGGTCTATCCTTTCTGAGTCTTGCTGAAGATTTACAAAGTTACAGCTGAAGGCCGAGTAACAAAAACACAGCCTCTATCTCTACTGAGGCAACTGAAGGCTAGATACACCGATAAAATTCAAAGCACTTCGATGGTAATAAAAGAGCTCAGGTCTTTTTTGGCTCAGAATCTTCATGTTGGCAGTAATCCAACATTTTTATTCCTCACAAACACCTAAGGCTTTACCAAAAAACAACACAGCTGTGCATGTTCTTTCAGGCAGCAACCTCTCACGATCAGCTTTGTGTTTTCATGTGACACCTTTGCTGACCTTGTTGATAGCGATTGTGAAAGCGGGCTCGACGTTAGCCTCCACGTCTTCTTGTCGGTTGTAGCAGGAAAGGCTTGTTCCTTTTAAGACCGCGAACACTTTCGTCCAACTCTGAGGGTCACCTCCTAACTGCTGCAAGGTAAGAGAAAAATATCAGATGTGAGTCGAATACTGGGAAGAAACTCAAAGAGTAACGGCAGCACTGGAAGGAAAGGAAAGGAAAGGAGGGGAGGAGGCAGAGAGGACAGAAATAAACTCGGAAAACAGCCAAAAGCTACAGAAACCTTGAGAGGAATAGTCCTGTTACTGGATTAAGCACACCTGCCAACTTACCTTCGCTTTCAAACATCCACTCATCATCTGTTGGGTCATACAGTGAGGCTGAGCTGCGAGGCGGCAACACATACTGCCGTAGAGTGGCAGCCAATAAGAACACTCTTCTGCAGGGGGGAGATGGATGGATAGGCAAAAATAAACACCATGAATAAATAACAGTATAGCCACATGATAATTCAGACACAAACATGTACTATCATATGCATCTGCTAACACATTAACACACTCTTGATGTCATATCACTCCTCTTAAACGCATAAAACAAGGCACAGGGGTGTTAAAGGCTGGCAGCTGCAGGGAGTGCCATGAAGTGCAGCAATGAAACTTTACAGCAGGCTGAAGGGCCAATGAATAAAACACTAGGGGCCTGTCTGTCTGAAGTCTGGGGGCCCTTGTTAGCCCGCATCATTACAGCTTTACACAGCAGCCACCCCACTCGCACAGCCGATAAAAAGTGTGACCTTGACAATGGCTGTCTGTCAGAGAACATGAGGAGGAAGGAGGGGAGGAGGTTTAGGGGAAATTATTAGAACACAGGGAGGAGAGAAAGGAGAGAGAGAGAGAGAGTGAGTGACGAGTGAGAGAGAGGCACAAATAATAAAACAGACAGATGGCTGATTTGGCAGAGAAAAGACAAAGGCGGCGAGGAGACAGATTGATGAAGGCTGCCACTCACCGTTGCCTGAGATGGTGAGGTCGTGCGTTCGAAAGCTGTCCTGGACGTGTGACAATGACAGGGTGGTATGAGCTAAGAGGTGGTACTTAGGGCCCCTGTCAACGCAAGACAAAGAGTACAGACGCTACTTCACCATAAATATCAGTCATGCCTATGCTATATAATGCAACAGCAGAATTTACTCCTCCTCTGGTCTAACATGTCGATGTTTCAAACTTACGGTACAGAGGGAACAGGCAGTAGAAGCGGTGTCGCCCCTCCATTGCTAACAGGACTACAAGGCCCAGGCTCCATGGCTGCTCGCAGCTTCTTCCCTGCCGATCTCCCCAGAGAGGAGCTCAATTTGCTGGCTAACTTCCTCGGTGTGCTCCCTGCCGAATAGTCATCCTCCGAGCAGCAGCTGTACAACTCAACACGCAGGTTGAAACCCGGGCTAGCTTCATTACTGGAAGAAAATACACATATACTGTAGGTATACAACCATACTTACAGGCTGAATGGGAGTTTTAAAACATGTTTCATTAGAAGCAGGGGACTTACAATACTATAGTGTTGTCAAAGCATATATCAGTGAGTGTCCGGTCCACTATCACCATCTCTGTGTCAAAGATCTCTCCTCCAAGCTGCAGCAGACAAAACACCGCACATCGATGAAGCTCTGGAAAAGAAGCATAACAAGAAAGAGAAGAAGAGATTTGTGAGATGTCACTACAGCTTTCATCCAGTTGCATCACTTATAAGCAGAATTTTCTGGAAAGTATCACTTGCAAACTCAAAGATGGGAGTTACTGTTTTAAAAAAGTTTTGAGGACACAAGCCAGCAAGGGAATATTTCCTTTTTTTTTTATTTTTTTTATTTGTGCAATACGGCATTACAGTGACAGTGCAAGACAGACAACAAACAACAGCATTTGTGGTCATCATCTTTATTAATTGAATGTTGTTGTTATTATTATTATTATTGATATTATTCTTCTATTATAATTTCCATTTACTTGTCTGACAATTGTAATATTTTTTAGCATTATTATTCATATATATAATACACACACCACACACACACACCACACACACGCACCACACACACACACACAAAACCGCAAGGGAACATTTCCACGACTAGTCCAGCAATTTCAGCGGCCACCTGAGTTAAACACAGAAACTATGTGGTGTTTATGTTGTAGCAGCCAAACAGATAGGGGTAGCCTCCTATACATACTCTGGATAGACGCCATCTGTGGGAAGACATAACTTCCTAAAGAAGCTGCTGTGCCCTTTTAGTGTATTTTCATTATCATACAAGCCCATTGTGCGAACAATAGAGCTGAAACTGAACATTTATATCCATACTAATAGATTTAATCTCCAGCAGTTTTGCTAAATCTACCATATATATTTGTCTTTTTGGCATTTTTTCAATTGCGCAACCAACAACAGGCTGTATAACATCTAAATTCAATGGTTACACATAAAAGGCTGAGAAAGATGATCTGCCACCTTCCTCTGTGCTTCTCCGTCTACACCTCACTGACATTTAATATTCAGACGTATTATTCCAAGTATGAGCTCAACACGTTAAACATGATAGGACGTGTGAGACAGGAACAAGCTTTGCTCCTCCTTGCCTCCAGGGCTCGGTTTATGCGCGCTGTCTGTTTAATGACCTTGACTAACAGCCTCATTAAGCTTGGTAAGAAGTCTCCTACCTGCCTCCTGTCTCTTGAGTTCATTTATATGCACAGGTCATGCAGATTAATTCCAATCAAGTTACCAGGGGGAGAGAATGAGCCCTGAGACTGGTATGATGACGATATGGGTGTTAACTCACATTGAGGTGGGATGGCAAATGGTCAATGTAGAGATTTTCCGTGATAGATTGTGAGTGCGTCATTGATTTCTGCGATGCCATTAAGGAATTCGAGCTTGGCCCGGTTGACGGTAATATTTCAGGGCATGGAGTTTACTAAAATGCACAACAGATTTCATTTTTCAAGGTAGTTTTCTCTGCCCTACTAGCGATGACCCAGTTCAGCGCCTGTGTGCTGCTTAGAGCCAGGAGGCAGAGCCAGCAGGACTGAACAGCAGGTCAGGTTGTGCTGCCAGGAGTTTCACACATCTAAAGAAATGCATTCCAGTAAAATTTCGAGAAATCTGGCAAAGCTGCAACAAAATGTGATAATCAGATCCAGGGACAGCGCATTGGAAGAGAAGGAAAATGTCATAATGTAAAGTCTGTCTGCACATTTGCACGGGTCAGCATATTCTTAAAATAACACATCGAAAGTCTGAATCAGTTTATCGCTCTATAGTCAATGATAAAAAATGATCTGGGTAAGTCTAGGGATTCTCACATGAACCCCTGAGCTTACCAAAGATTTAACACTCATTTATCATGTGAATGACCCATTTCATACCTGTGTGAGGCCTTCACCTCACACAGAAGTAATCATGAATAAATCCTGCAGTCATAAATCTTTAAGCCCTATCAGTGATTTTACTCACATTACAGGGGAGGATACTCACCTCCTTTGTTCTTGAAGTACTCCGTGTCTTTCCACATGAGAGGGATCCGCAGATCTGTAATGAGACCAGGCAGGGGATTAGACCACACAAATGTTAATCACACTAACTGTCCGACTCATATTATCTGTATATGTCCCCCTTTGCTGCTTTCTGTCACTGGCTATCCACAGGGAATTAACCACTATTAGTGTGTGAGTGCTGTGTGTGTGTGTGTGTGTTTGCTCCCTGTCTTACATCTCATTATTTTTTTTTACCGTCTCGTTATGGACTAAAAACAAACAAAGCAACAGCAGCTTGAAATAAAACCCCCTAACCCCAGCTGCCTCGCACCCCAGAGTGAATAATCTTCCTGCTAAGTGAGTGCAGTACAAATGGATGAGCTCTGTTATCCTGCGTCTGACTGCCCTCTCTCATATTGCAGTTGGCAACATCTGCAAGTCACCACATTCACCTCAATCAATATATTTTAGAGCGTGAACCATCTTCTATCAGGAAGGGGAAGCTCGATCAAACGGCTCTAAAAGGGCCACAAATATTCTATCTTACCTTTAAAAAATTCTAAATCTCCATAAGTTTGGAAAATATTCATTGTATTTTCACATCCACTGAGTGCATCTTACCTGATATGGCCACTTTTCCTTTGCACGGTAGTCTGTCATCCATCGGTCCTGCATCTGAAGACCTCCGTGTGACTTTCTGCATGACCTGTGCCTCCTTCATCCTCTGCAGCTCCGACATGTAGGCCATGATACGAGTGCTGCAGGTCTGCAGATTCTTCGCTGCCTCCAGTGCCTGGTCCTTCTGGGAGCAGGCAGCCAGCAGCTTGCAGGCCCCATCGCGCATCCGTATCTCATGGTCGATCTTCTTTTGTATGTCGCTGTCCTGCAGAGAGGAGGGGACATAAATAGAGTGTGTGTGAGGGGATTGAATGAAATACAGGAAATTCAGGTGAAAAATCTTTTTCAGGCAAATACAACAGGATATCATAAAGGAGAATTACCAGTGGTTGATGAGAAGTATAACTGTACATCGAGCTTTTTGACAACAATGAGTTTCAAAGGCGATACATGAAGACAAGAAAAGAAACAGTCAGCTACAGATCATATGTCTCTCATGGATAGTGAATTGAGGTGTGTCTAAAAGCACCCGGAAGTCTGGGCTCAGGGCTGTGTGTGTGTGTAGAATGAGGAAACATTCAGCTCAGCCACTCCCACTTTTTGATTTATATCAATTGTTATTTTCCTGGAGCTGCTTTCTCAAGGAGGAAATGTATTTCTCAAGTTTAGTGGATGATCTGGAGCAAAAACAGAAAAATCCTCATACCAGTAATAAAAAAAAACCGAGTGATAGGATATGACAGTATGATACGGGGTATGATAAAATAAAATAAGATACGGGACAATATGATACAACATGTGTCAAGACGCGTTGTGATGCGATTTGATGCAATATGAGAGGATACATTAAGGTGAAACACATAAGCTTTGTTACACATCGAACTTTACTGCATTATGTTTCATTATGATACGATAAGATACGATACAAGAAGATACGATAAAATAAGATATGATAAGATAAGATACATTACATTACGATACGATGCAATACAATACGATACGTTACGTTACGATAAAATACGGTAAGATAAGATGCAATAGGATACGATAAGATACGATGAAATAAGATACGATAGGATACGATATGTCACATTACGATACTATATGATACGGTAAGATATGATACGATATGATAGGATACGATACGATACGACACGATACGATACGATACAATTTGATACAATTTGATACAATTTGATACGATAAGATACGGTATGTTAAGTTATGTTACGTTACGTTATGTTACGATGCGATATGATACAATGCAATACAATACAATATGCTAAAGCATGTTACAGTACAATCAATACAATAAATTTAGATGATAAAGTTCAATTTCCTTGCATGCAAAATTGTCTCAGACTTGTGAACTGCTCAAATTTGACTACCACAGTCATGTCAGTCATCTAAGTCAACATATTTTACTACCAACACTGCACAGTTTCTGCACAAATCACAACAGAAGTTAAAGAGATAACCCCAACTTTTTTGCACTACATTTCACTGCAAACATTACTCAAAATTTCAACAGAGGTAGGCTCAAATGGGTTTACAGCTATGCATGGGTACACACACACCATGTGGACACACACACACTCATAAAGCCACACACATGCAGACAGTAAAGATTCCTCACCCCCTGGTTCTGTCTCTGTCTGTGAAACTGTCCAGAGTCTAAACAAACCTCTAAGCCCCTCTTCACTTTGTCAGCACTATGAAAACACTGTGTGCATGGACTTCAAACATTTAACAGTGAGGCAGAGAGAGCGAAGATGTGAGGTGAGAGGGATGAGGAAGCACCAATGGATCAAGGAATCAAACATAAAGCAAAGCCAGGCTGACCTTGAGGGTTAGTGCCAGGGCATCCTTTTTGAGCTAAACACCTTTGAATCATGCATTTGCACATAAATTGCTTCAAACTGAGGAATATCGATGAGTAAGGCTATCTCTAGAGAATAGGGAAAAATAAGAGTAGCATCACTTTGTTTTTATGAGGGATGAATAAAGAAAGGGAGGCTGCTTTCAGTGTGTGTGTGTGTGTGTGTGTGTGTGTGTGTGTGTGTGTGTGTGTGTGTGTGTGTGTGTGTGTGTGTGTGTGTGTGTGTGTGTGTGTGTGTGTGAAAAAGCTCACCCTCTCCTCGGGAATAATCACTAATGCTCCCTTTGCTCCGACTCTCTGAATGATGAATGCACCTTCCTCTCCTCTATACCATTACTTCTCATTTGTCTCCACCCCTCTCTGCTTGAATCTTATCAATTTTTTATTCTTTAGATTTTAGCTTTTATACTTTCACCATTAATTTTCTTTTGCTGTCTCTCATACTCAGTCCATTTCATCTCATTGTCCTTATTCGGCTTTACTTTTTTCTCTTCCATGCCCTCTTCTTTTTCCTTTCTACCTGTCAAAGTGCAAGCAAGAGTCTCACAAACTATATATTCTCCAAAATTAAGTTCTGTATTTGGATAAGACTATAACACACAATATAAAGGGAAGGAAGGAATTGCCAACAGGTTTCTCTCTAGTATCACCTGCAGAGTGAGGAAGTACTGAATAAAACAAAGGCACCTTTGAGTGAATTTATACTGTTGGAGATAATCATCAGCGGAGTCATTAAAGTGCTATGCAGCGGATGTTGTTGCAGCGCAAATAAGCCGGTCATTAAATAAACACTTTCACTCCCCTAAAAGCAATTATAGCACTTCTGACTGGAAGAGAAAGGGGATAAAGTTACAGAAAGAAAATAAACATAAATAATTGTTAGCTACTGGACATCTGTGAAGTGCAGGGGTGTGATTTCTTATAATGAGCCAAATGCTTGTTTGTGAGAAACCGACGGGCGATTGGTTTGGTTTCCTTTTAGCCAAGCATCTGTTTTTTTAAAGAATAAATTACAAATATGCAGTATTTGGAGTATATTTATGTTTTTTAAATTAGGCATCCAGTTAAGAAAGGGATTTTAGTGTGAGATTCTGTCTTTAGAAGCCAACACTTGAATTATATATGCAGACATATGCGAAAACAGTCTCATACATCCTGATTACACATTTCACTGTGAGTAGCATGTAGTTAAAAGTTGTAAAACTGTCGCATTTTAAGTGCAACATCTCTAAAACTCTTGTGGGGAGTTTTGGACATTGATGAAATAGACTGAAATTCATATTGGTGCCTTTTCATGATATAAAAAAGCAAACAATACCATCAGTGACAAGGTTTATGATTTGCATACTGTTATTTTCAACGTCTGAAACTGATGTGACGACAGTGTCAGCAGAGTAGCTGAGGAGAATGCACTATTTTCACTGTTTCCACATGAAATATTTACAATAGAGAATATACCTGACTGTAATAAGCTGGTAAGGCATGGATGAAACTTAACTTATGTAAAGGACAAAATAAGCAAAGACTGTTTGGTCCACAGGGACAAAACTAAAAGTTCCTTACATGAGGCAGCTGGCGAAGGCAAAGCCTTTTCTTTCACGTAAGCACTTTGAAACAGTAATCCATGCCTTTGTTACATCTCGGCTGGATTACTGTAACGCACTTTATTTTGGAGCAGCTGCCCGGCTCTTAACTGGAGTACGTAAGAGGGAGCACATTACTCCCATCCTGGCCTCCCTCCACTGGTTACCCGTGCATTTTAGAGTTCATTTTAAGATTCTTTTATTTGTTTTTAAATCTTTAAATGGTCTGGCTCCATCTTACCTCTCTGAGCTTCTCCACCCCTACACCCCTGCTCGGTGCCTCAGGTCAGCTGATCAGCTGCTCCTGCAGGTACCGAGGTCCAAACGGAAGCTCAGAGGGGATAGATCTTTTTCTGTTGCAGCCCCAATTTTATGGAACGAGCTACCCCTCCAAATTAGAGAAGCCCCCACACTGTCCATTTTTAAAAGTCGTCTTAAAACCCATTTTTATTCATTGGCTTTTAACCCTCCATGAGACTCGGCTCCTGTTTTAGTGTTTTATGGTTTGTTTTTAGTTATTTGTTTCTATGTTTTTAAATTAGTTTTTAAAAGCATTGAAACAATACATTTAATTCTGCTTTTATTTTATCCATTGTTTTAATTGTTTTTTGATTGGTTTTTATCTTGTTGTTTTGTCTAGTTATGTACAGCACTTTGTACAGCTGTGGTCCACAGGGACAAAACCAAAAGTTCCTTACAAGAGCTTACAAAAAGTTCAGCTAATTTCCTATTGCAGATATTATTTAGTTATCCAATCATAACTTGTACAATCATTGACAGTTTACCATCAATTTACCATCACAGATTCTAAATGGAGGTTTTCTAGTATGTCACCTTGGACATTGGTATGTCTCTATCTACAAGGCCGTTCTAGGCAACGCTCCTGACTACCTTTCCTCCTTGCTCGTCATAAAGGAAGGATTACATAATTTGCGTTCACTTGACTTTGTGCAGTTTGTTGTTCCCAAAGTCTGAACTCAGCTGGTAAAGCTGGCCTTTAGGTTTTCTGCTCCTTTTTGCAGACTAAATTTAAATTACAGAACCTAGTGTCTCTGAGTGTTCTTAAATCCTTGGTGAAAACTCTTAAAAAGCTAACTGTCTGTATGCCACTGCTTTAGCTGGCGTTTTATTTTTACAGTACTTGTTGCTGACGTTGAGCTGTGTGAGTCTGAGTGTGTTTGCTTTTTGTTTTGAAACTGCTTTGCTGCCATTCTTGGCCAGGCCCCCCTTGAAAAAAAGGAGATCTTTGACCTCAACGGGACTAGCCTGGTTAAATAAAGGTTAAATAAAAAAATAAAAAAATGTTACTGCCTCCTTTTTTTAAAAACTAAGATGACTAAGGTGATGATTTCAAAGAGCTTTTTATTTCCTTTTTTTTTAACTTCTTTAAAAAAAATTTCAATCTGAATTATACTCGAGGGTTAAAACCATTAACTTTCACAAAGAGAGGATAAGACACACGAAGTGAAGACAAAAAGAGAAGCAAGAAAAGTTTAGCTCAGATTCAGTCCGAATATCCTTGTCAAAGTCAGCCCTGCAAACCACGCTCCATGCACCACTGAGCCGGAGGCAGGCCATCCAACTTTGGAGGAATGCACACATACATATACACACATAAGATTATACACACTCACATAGAAGTGAAGGAGCTGTCACCACAGTCCAGTGCTGTGCAGTGGGTCTTAGACTGACCTGCCAAGAGGAGGTCCTGTATTTTTAGCCACTAAATTAACAGGCTTCTCCTTCTGGGGATCTCAGAATAGAAACCCTGCAGCCTCGATCCAAATCTAATCCCTCAGTCTGTCTGGATGTTGGTCTTACAACAGCAAAACAAACTCACACAAACTCTCACAGTCAGTGAAAGTAAGAGATAAAACAACACAGGTTTGCACATGAGACAACAAGCAGAACAACTGTCAATAAAGCGTAACAAAAGCACACACACTGTCACTGCGATTCCCTCACAGTGTCTTCAGAGTGGCAGGTGTGAGACCAGTGGGCAGTGCCAGAGAGGCCGCCTGCCTGAGCTGGTGGTGTGGACAGCAGCCAGACACACAGGGTGAAGAAAGGGTGGATTGGCGACAGGGTGCAATGCATGTTGGGAATCAAGCAGACAAAGAGAGAGGAGGCGGTGCTGACAGAGAAAACAACAGGGGACAAGAGCAGAGGAGGTAGGGAAGAGAGGAGAGAAGGAGATATGGTTTGACAGGGCGAAAGGTCTCGGCGGAGTGTGAGAGGCAGCTGAGAGAAAAGAGATAAGGGAAGAGGCTGAGAGTGGGAGAAAAGAAAGAGAAAGAGAAAGCACTGGATGTCAGAGGAGAGGGATGTTAAATGAGTGGATAAGAAGGGAGCAAGAAGAAGCAGGGGGAGGTAGATAAGAGAAGTGCAGAAGAAAAAGAGGGTGGCAACAGAAGAGGAGATGATGACGGGCTGTATGTGAGGAAATTTACTGAAAGGTAATGAGAAAGTGAAGCATAAAGGGCTGTTGGTGAGCAGACATGGAAATAATCGGAAGAGATTGCATTAGTGTCGAGAAAGAAACAAGTGAGGACACATGGAGACGACTCTCCCCCAAATCTGACAGTTGCTCTGGCTCAAGACAGAAAGTGTCATGTTGTAAACTGTTCATCCTTATACTGTCATAGAGCTGTAGAAAAACAAAACCCTATGACAAACCCCTTTTACATTGCCCTTTCAGAGTGAGTCTGTTACACCACATGGTCAATGTAAACATTGCAGAGGGTTGATGAAGGAATAGAGTTTCTCTGCTGCTGAGCTACAGCGATTCAGGTGTAACAGAGACATGGTGGCACCGTTATAAAACATCATGACTAACAGGGCAGAGCAGGACTGTATAGACTCGTCACACCTATGTGGCACTGTTTACCTGCACATTTTGTAAGACAGTGTTCAGCAGTGTTAAATGAATTGTGCCTGTTTCCTGAGTGGTCTCTAACCTTTAGGCTCATCTTTGAGTAAAAAATAAATGTAAAATTTTATTAAAATTGTTACTTTGCAGCAGCCCTGGCATGTACGTGTCTGAGTGTATGTTTATGTAAAGCTCCTATTATGCCTCATGTAAAGCTACCTGTATTCACACACTGGTCTGCCAACATTACCTCACTCAGTGATTCAATGTTAAAGTACAAAGGTGTAATGACACCAGAGCTTTGTTATAGTGCTGCTGCAGGATCTTCAGATCCTTTACAAAATTTACAAAGACACAACAACAAGATAAAATAGGATTCTGCCCCGTCTTAGAGGCAAGACTCAGTCTTATCCCATCCTAATCCACCATGAGCAGCGTTTAGCAAGTTACAGTGGTGAGGAAAACTGCTTTTTACAGACAGAGCCTCAAGCAGAAGTAGATTCATGTTGAACAACCATCTGTTGGCATCTCAGCGCAAAGAGAGTCATGCCCTTGAGCAAAACAATAAATGTGTGTTCATTTAACAGCTGCTTTCATTTGTGTGGAAAAAGCATCTTTTAAAAATCTTGTTAAATTTTATGAAATTAAAGTTTGATATTCATGAAACAAACAAACAAGTTATAAAATCAATTCTATTTCTAATAAAAAGACAAAATGAGGTTAAAATTTCCTAAAACAAGAGTTAATTTTGAAATCATCTTGACGTAAAGCAGACTGTGACTACATCATGCAAATGTGCCCTTTCAGCAGGTTGCTTGATGCCTCAGCAGATGCCAGATGGTCACTTCCTCTGTCACCTTTCAGTCCCGTCTGGCACTGTGTGTGTGTGTGTGTGTGTGTGTTGATCCTCACTTGTATGTCTGGGGGTGTGATTTCAGAGACACCGATACACACACCTACACAAACATACACATGCTGGTCAGGGATTTGACGCCCCCGCAGATGGTGTGTAATGGTTTGTTTACGATGCGTTGTTCTGCACGGGTAGGCTTTCCTGTTCAGATCAATGACCCCTTGACCTCTAACCTCTATCCCTGACCGGACCAGACGGCGGTAGTCGCAGCTCAGTTAGTCCTCAGGGTGAGGTTTAGCACGCCGAGACAAGTGTAAATCTTACTTAGCTAGAGCACTGTTTTGCTTTGTACAGCAGAAAAATGTTAATTCGAACCAGCTGGGAATGAATGATGAAGCTGCAGGAACTGTCTCAAAATTATGTTTGAATTTCAGCAACAAAAAAGTCGCATTAAAAAATCCTGTGGGAAGTTTTTGAGCTAAAATTAAAAAGCATATTACAAACAGTGTGTTTGTAGTCAGGTTGCAGCATGCCTCTGCTGTTGGCAATTTTGCTATGTGGGTTAGTCTGTTGGCCAGAAACAAAAATTAAATGGATTGTAATAAAAGTCGAGCAGATCTTCCTGGTTAAAAAGGAATTGATACTGAAGTGCCAAAATTAGTTTGATCTTTGTTGTTTTTAAGAGAAACATCTAAAAAAAACCTACAGGGATGATTGCTGGCATTAAAGGGACATTCCAGCGTAAAATTAATTTAGGGTCAAACACACCGTAACACTGAGTTATACGACCCCTCGAGAGATGAATGTTGCCTAATGATCATTTCTTCATAATTTCTTTGAAGTAATAATCATCATTTTAACCATTTTGCACTGCAGACGCGGTAGTTGTTCTGCCTTAGCGTCTCCGTCTGATTGCATTTCCATGAAGAAATGATCATAAATGTTCTTCCTTGAGCTGCGGCACCCCGCTGTAGTTCATAACGGACTGGCCCGAGGTCTCGCTACAAACAAGCAGCTGCTGGAAGAGAGTAGGTGAGCTGTGTTCAGTCTCTTGTGCCAAAATTAGTTTGATCTTTGTTGTTTTTAAGAGAAACATCTAAAAAAAAACCTACAGGGATGATTGCTGGCATTAAAGGGACATTCCAGCGTAAAATTAATTTAGGGTCAAACACACCGTAACACTGAGTTATACGACCCCTCGAGAGATGAATGTTGCCTAATGATCATTTCTTCATAATTTCTTTGAAGTAATAATCATCATTTTAACCATTTTGCACTGCAGACGCGGTAGTTGTTCTGCCTTAGCGTCTCCGTCTGATTGCATTTCCATGAAGAAATGATCATAAATGTTCTTCCTTGAGCTGCGGCACCCCGCTGTAGTTCATAACGGACTGGCCCGAGGTCTCGCTACAAACAAGCAGCTGCTGGAAGAGAGTAGGTGAGCTGTGTTCAGTCTCTTTGCTAAAGAAATTAGGCAAAATTAAAAAGGTGTGTTTGACCATAAATTAATTTTATGCCGGAATATCCCTTTAAAGCTTCCTTAGGATTGCGCAAGATGTCAAATCAAGTAAACTGGCTCCACTCCATATGAGGCTCTACCAGTCGTCTGCCCACTGTGCTTTAAAATTACAAGTTGCATTAACCCTCTCACACTCACACATTCGCTCACTGGCTGGGATCAAACCAGTGAACTTCTAATTAAGAGGCAACTGACAGCCACTGAGCAATGGCCGCCCTTCTAATCCAAAACGATCAATCCAGTCAATACTCGAGTTTATCACCAAGTGACCAAGAGCTGGTGACATTTCAATCACCTTCAGCTCTACACCTACTGAGCTAATCAGTAAACGACTGCAAGCCAGCATGTTTAAAATATAAATGTGATAATTATAAATACTGTCATGTCACTGTGAGTACATTGCAGTCTAAAGGCTGTTTTCTTTCAACAACTACAAAAGAGAGTCACCTTTTCTTCTCTTCTGTCTCTTTAAGTTTTCTTTGTAAACAGACAAGAAAACAAAGCCGAACGACCCAATACAAGAGCTGGTTTGACAGATAGAGCAGAGGACACTGAAAGAAAAAAAGGAAAACAAGAGGACAAACGTAGGAAACGACAACAGCAGGACTAAAACACATTCAGAGCGAGAGGCAGATGTCTTCTCCACTCACTTAAACTGAGAAAAACAGCAGACAGACACCCAAGCTTAAGCAGCCCCAAGAACTTGCACAATCTGTCAATCTTCACAGCCACAGACATGATCATTCACACAAATGTGCTCCGTCTCGATTTTTCACATACGTTCACATAACCAGGAATCGCGAGTCCCAGACCACTCCCTTATGTTGGGACTTTACTGACCAAACTTCTGGCTTTCAATTAGCTAGCCACAACTATGTGCCTCGCCTTTCTTTCCGCCCTCTTCCTCTACTTTCCCTCATGCTCACCCTCTTCCCCGCTTCCCCTCCCACGCCCAGAGCATGTCTGCACTGAAGAATGGATGGAGCAGCTGAAAGTGCGAGAAACAGTAAGAGATGAATGAAGAGAGGGGGGAAAAATCAATAGCAAATGAGTCAGGAGAGGGTTCGAGTATGAGAGAGAATGAAATGTGAGAATGAAAATAATAAGAGGAGGGATGAAGAAAAGCAAATGTAGTGAATGTGGGTGAATTGATGAAATGAAATAAAGTAAGGAAGTCATCTTATGTGACTGTGCTGTTGGCTTAAACTCATTCACCATATTAACAGCCACTTTCTTACTGAACTGCAAAAAGCAGGAACTTCATAGAGACAGTTTATGAAACTGATGCATTTCAGGGCAGAAATCATGTTTTGTAAATTATCTGACAATTATCACTTCAATGTATAAATTTTTAGCAATAATAGTGAACAAAAGTGCACATTACATAACAGCACAAGTCATGACTTTTTAGCTACATTTAGACAGTATAATGCAAGCATTCAACCACTCTCTGGAAACATTATACAATAATCCTTTTCATATAGTCAAGTTCCCCTTCAGGGATCAATAAAGTTCTTCTTTTTCTTGTAACCCTTTCATTTAGTTTGTTCACAACAGTGCCTAATGCAGCTCCACCATCACCTTTGTATTTTCACAGTGATCTACAGGGGGTGAACTGGTGTGTCATTTCACATTGTGTCACGGTGTTGGAGAAGCACAAGAGGTAAACAAGAGTGTGAACTCCCCTATACTGCACTTTTCCTCTTGTCTGTAACACCTCTGCTACTATCTTTGACACCAGCACAGCAGTGACACCACCTAATCCCACCATCATCATCATCACGCTGAAGCAGAGACCCTACAGGGGTGTCAATATTGCACCCTAAACTAGCAGTATGAAAAGAGCTTGTGTAACTAGCTTGTAAATTAAATAGTAGCTAACAACATGTCAGCTAAGAAGTACATTTTTTTTTCAATATAATCAAATTATGTTCGCCAGTAATGAATGTCTTCTTGGCAGCCCTCGACTTAATGCAAAAATACACATAACCCTCACGAGTTTGTCCACTTTGTGCTACTGGGGGAGCAGTGGTTAAGGAGGTAGAGCGGTGGTCCAACAACCAGAAGGTTGGTGGTTCAATTCTCTCCTATAACAAGTCTGTCTGTTGTGTCTTTGGGCAAGACACTTAACCCACCTTGCTCCCAGTGTGTGTCCTCTACTGGTGTGTAATTGTGAGTGTTGTGTGGTGGTGATCTGAGAGGCCGTAGGCACAAAATGGCAGCTGTGACTACAAAGGTACTTTACCACCACCAAGGTGTGACTGTGTGAGCCAATGAATGAATGATGTGTCCAATGTAAAGCGCTCTAAAATCTGATGGATTATTATTTATTATTACTGTAGAAACATGGCGGTACAAATTACGGCCTCAGTGAAATGGGATCTTCTTGTTATAAAAAGCTGAGATAAAAGGTGATTGTACACTAATCTGAATACGACTGTGAATATTTCATTCAACTTCCACTAAATCTATTACGCTAGATTGCATAAAATCCTACACACTACACCTTTAAGCGGCAGTGTCCCTGTAATGATTTATCAGACACCCTAAGGCCTAATTCAGTCCTTATATAACCTCAGAGGGAAATGTCAGCAGAGTGAATATGGTAAACAGTGACAAACTCATATAAAGCACAAACATGAAATGATTTACAGACACACACACACACAGCCTGAAGTGGGTCTATAAGAAAACACAGAACAAACAACAACCCCAAACCAAACCCAAACCACTCAGAACAATGATCCAATTCACTAAATAATGTCCCTACAGTGTCGCTGTGACTCCAGCTGCTGCTGAGAAACAACAGTGGAGGGAACTGGTTTGGTACTGGTCATGAAAGAGGGAGGGGTGGAGGGAGGGGTGTTGGAAACAGTAACAGGTTGAAGTGTTCACATTCAGCTTTTACGACAGCAAATCTGGCTACAAAGCAGTCTGTTTTCTGCCAGTACACACACTCCCGGGGTCCTCTTATGGCAAAATACGTCTGTACCCCTGACCCTGGCGAAGGCGCCAACACAGTGATGTCATTATTGAGGTGATTGCTGTGTAGCTCAACAACCAGCTCGCCCTTAAAGCTGGAACATTGCGAACTCTCCCACCTCCTGACAAGCTTATGCATTCAATTATTGCTGACAATAGAGACTGTTTCAGCTCTGCCAGCTTAGATAACTGCATGTGTGTGTATGCGTGTGTTTGAGGGCCTGTCCACACTTGTGCATGTGCGTGCGAGTGTGCGTCCAAATGACTTTGTAGCCAGCTGTTCTCACACAAAGGCAGTGTGTTTCAATGCAGCTGGGTCCCGGAAGACGGGGAGGAGAAAGTGCTAAAGACAGAAATAATTTACATATGTGTACATGTCCTTTATCATGTTTTATGTACGAGCGAAAGGGGATGGAATTAGCCGTGTGCACGAACAAGTGCATAGAAGTGAATCAGTGCAGAGTTGTTTCTTTTTGGCCCTTAGGAGAGCAGCAGTGGAGTGAATTTGGAGCTATAAAACAAATTGTTTAGAGCTCCACAAGAGCACGGGGAGCTTAGACTCTGCCAACTGGTGATCACTCCTACAATTTATGGACACACTAAAGCTTGATGGCTCTTACGCGGCTGTGCATACTCAGCCGAAAAACACCAGGTCTGCATTATCATATAGTTGCACAGTAGGAAGTGGGAGGAGGAGCAATCCGCCGAAATAAACTGCAGAATCATCTGCAGGCAATGTAAAGGTGGTAATTACAGGAAGCGTGTGCGTTGGTATCTCTACTGTATGGCTGTGTGTGGTCTCCCAGAACATAACTAACAGGCCGGAGGAGTATAGATTTATGAAATGCTGTGTACAGGTTCCAGACAGCGCTCATAAATAACTGCCAGCTGGAAAAAAGGTATACACTCAACCTGCAGGGTAGTTTATTATGAGCAGCAACAGCACAAAAAACACTCCTAACAGCATCAGCAGGACCCCCTCCTGTTTCTTCTCCAGCTCACCTCGAAGAGAACTAGAAGGGAAATAAACTGGGCTGCATTCACAACACAAAATAATACCATATTCAGAAATAACAAGCTGGACTGTAAAAGTAAAAGGAGATATAAAAGACCATAAAAGGCTATAAAGTCTGTCTTTTTTCTAATCACTGCAAACACCATCTTTTGCAAGTATTATGTTAACAGTTGGCATTTTCTTTGGCAAGTTTTGTAGCATAGTTTTCAGCTATCAAGAGGAGAAATTCAACACATAGAGGTTAAAAAGAGCCCGGGCCGTCACAAAACAACTTCCATCTCCAAGTACACAGTCACGGAGAAACCCTCATGTGACTAATTGGCAGACTGGACTGTCAGGGGACTTTAAGCCGGAGTTAATGAATCCACAAAGACACACATAGCAGGACTGTAACCTCATCTGTGAACTTTCCTGGCACAGATGGTGTTGTGCACTGCGGGCCTGGATCGCACTCAACAACTGACTATGATACAGGTTGATACTGTATTATTAACTGATTAGACAGCATTCCCTGTGAGCCGCAAGCCCACCCAGCCAAAGAGGAGGAGGAGGAGGGTTTAGGGAAAGGACGGGGTACGGAGCAGGTCTTTCTAAGCCCCTGATCAAAGCCTGCTGTGATCTCTCCTAATGAGTGCGCTCTGCTGGTGTATCCCTCAGTGAGGAGATGGACTAAATGGGATTTAATCACATTAAAAGATACATATGAGGCAAATAGGCCCAGATTTGACATCATTTTCCACTGTGTTGGAATTTTTCACATGTCAGACTTATTACAGCCTGTTACGTCTCCAACACATTCAATGCTGTAAAGAAAGATGTGGCTGTGATGCTTACAGAAATGAGGGCTGGGCAGAGTTTATGGCATTATATTCTCTCAAAGTAAGTTGTTTGACTCGTTGTGTGTGTAAAAATGTGACTGAGACTGACAACTCTCATTTTGACAAGTTTAAGCTTCACCTGGAGGAAGAGGAAAAACCCACTACCGGCCTTTGCCGCGCCATTACTGAAATTGGTGCCCTTTTATTCTGCAGCTGGATAACTGCAGTTCCTTTCTGCTATCAAAGAAAACCCAGAGGTAGACTTTATTCCCAAAGTGAATCTGACAGGAGTCCTTCTGTAGGAGCCAAATACGTTGAGGTGATACCAAAAAGGGAATTGCAGTTCACTTTGTGTGCCTTAGACGTTGCTGTCTTGTTATCTGGGCCTCAGGAATAAAGGTAGCCAAGTCACTGTTGTGGGAAGGCGATTGACCTGGAAGGACAAAAGGTTTTTGACCACTGTGGTGCTAAATGCCAGCATTTTTCTTTGTTTCAGTGTTGCTCAATGTCAATTGCAAAATGGATTTTGATGAAGTTCATCGCAATCAATTTTTGTTTGCTGCATCTGAGGAACAGCATCCGGACATTCACTGATCATCAAAGATTCAGAGTAGTGTAAGAAACCAGTAGTGAGGCGTGTCAACCAGGTTACTCTGGGTCAAGCATCTCAGTAGCTTAAATTATTGACTTAAACTTCTGAATCAATTTATGAGCAATGACACCAGCAACAATCACTATATTTAGACATTATTATTTTAAATATTTGATAGCAGATAAATGTAGTGTACTTTAATGTCTATCTGCTTTTCTCCACATTCAACATGAAGCCTAAATCCCACCTAAGTCCCAAGTAAACCTTCAAAGCGTTTTTACAACTAATTACCGCTAAATAATTCCTTATTCTATATGCTTAATGTAAGCATGCTATGGGGAAGCATAGCTTGTTTAAAGAATGTTAATTGTGGTGATACATTCAGACTTCTGCTGTGTATTTATTGCTAATGTTCATACAGCAACAGCTATTAAACTGTGATTTATTCTGCAGTTCTAATAGAGCTGAAAGAAGGAGATGATAGTACCAGGCAAATGGCAGATGAGGAGCATTTAAAAGGACAAAGTGAGGATTAAGACAGTGAAGGGTCACAGTGCTACAGTTTTCCAAAGGAGACCGGCTCCCCTGCTGGGTCTCGTACCATTAAGCTCCTTTTCATCCTCATGGGGGGGCCACTTATCTCACAACTCCAAACCCATCCTCACACTTCCTGAGCGAGATGCTGTAACACAGCTGTAGAGCTCTCATTAGTTGGCCTCACAGAAAAAAGCGCATCGAACCCCATTGCCAATGTAGAGTTTCATCCCACTGACACAATTTCAGTGACACAAAGCACGCACACATCAACCCAATACTAGGCCAAGTAATCCTAGGCTTTCCTCCTTGTCTGAATCAGGATGGAGAAATCAGGACTAATTAGCTGAGCCGGCCTAACTTGCATGTCAGCGTGCCAACCTCTCCAACCAGAGTCTTTTACCCCCACTCTGCTCAATACACTCAGACATGCATGGAGTGGTGTGGACATGTGCTGAGTATAATGGGCTGCAGTCGTGATGAACCTGGAAAACACTAATGCTATCACTCTTTGGCTCTAATCATGACTGAAAGCACTTCTGTGTGTGCATGCTTTTGTAAAATCCTGACATATACCTGTCATAACAAATGCAACATCTCTGCTAACAACAAAGTGTGGTTACTCTCACCTGACATTAAAGGGATATTCTGGTGAAAATTAATATAAGGTCAAACACTGTAACACAGAGTTAGACACCCCCTCAACAGATGAATGTTGCCGACCGCTTGTTTCTCTAGTTCTACCAACTTTACTATCATTACTTTATCATTTCCTTTAAGTAATAATCGCCATATTAATCATTTTGTAGTAGTTCTTCTGACTTAGCATCTCGGTCTGATCGCATTTCCATGAAGAAATGATCATAAATGTTCTTCCTTAAGCTGCGGCACCCTGCTGTAGTCCGTAATGGACTGGTTGAGGTCTCGCTACAAACAAACGGCTACTGGAAGAGTGTAGGTGAATTGTGTTTAGTCTCTTTGCGAAAGAAATTAGGCAAAGTTAAAAAGATGTTTGGTGGCTAGTGCTGTGGCTGGGACTCTATATGTACTGTCAATGAAGTTAGGTGTTGTTCTGAGCATAATATGTGGCTATAGAGAAGCAATGGGTAGGCAACATTCATCTCTCAAGGGGGTGTCTAATTCTGTGTTACTGTGTTTTTTACCCTAAATCAATTTTACATTGGAATATCCCTTTAAACTAGACATATGAAAGCATAAAGAATTTAAGACGTATTCAAATCTTGTCTTGTTGCGGCATTAACTGATTTATAGCATGAAAAATCCAGTCTGAATTCCTAATATATCATTCTTGAAATGTTCCCAACTTAATGTTATAAAGGAACAGATAAAACCATGTTATCTGCAGTGATAGCTCACCATGCCAGGAGTGCTTTTTGACTGACAGCATTAGTAACGAGATATTTATTTATATCCTGTCGGACCACAGATGGTCCATACTGTAATCTTGCAGCTTATCTCTTCCCACTTCAGTTGAATTATTCAGTTAACAATTTGAACATTAATGGGCTAAAAGTAATAAGAGGATGTTTTTGACCTTATGCTGCTGTCCTAAGGAATATTATAGCCAATCTAAATGTGCCCATTTTCCCTCTCTTGTATTTGCTGTGCTCTCTCCGAGCCCCTTTTCTAGCTGAGAGCTTTTACTGTAGTCAGAGCTACTTTTATCACTCTCTATTATTCATCATCACCGTTGCCTCTGTTGCCTTATTTAGACTTTATAACCACAAGTGTATGTAATCTCATGTGCTGCCCCCATGTGAGGTTTGTTAGAGGGGAGTTAAGGTCTGTCATTTTGCACAATACAGAGATGGGTGGATAACAAAACAGCAGATACTCAGCTTGTGTACCTTGTGTATCAGCATGTTCTTGAATCACTATTGACGAGCGAGGAGTCCAGAAGTGAAAGTGAAGTGAGTTCATTATAATATTCATGATATTCAGCTGCAGGACTTCTATGCTAAGTGAAAGCAAAGCAGGATATGACTAAACTGACCCTTCGCCCTCTGCCCCGAGGAGGAAAAAGACCAAGTAAGGGACAGATGAGGCACAGCTGAAGGGCGTGTCTTTGTCTGTTTGTGGTGTGAGGGGGTGCTCAAGTTTGAAAACCAGTTATACTGCCATTGAAGGGTTGCCTCATTACTAAAACCAGGATTGAAATTATCTCTGATATTAAAAATCTAGTTGAAATATCAGCAAGTTGGTCTATTTTACAAACAGCAATTTATTAGAAAAATGCCAGTGAAGATATTTTGTTTTCCATATTTTACATAAAACTTTACAATCTGTACTCAGAAGGTGTTCTGGTTTCCCCTTGTAGTGCTTGTAGTCGGTGTGTTATTGACCAATTACATATCAGCAGGCTTTGGTGTACGCAGGAGAAACAGTCCATGTGGCAGGACTGAATCAAGCAGAACACAGTCTGTGAGGATGACATCTTGGCTCCCATCTGCGGTAAGTCGGCAGATTGTTCTGGATCAGAACTTTAACTTGAGTGACAAATCTGTTTGGTGCGATGCTGGGAAGGCACCAAACGAGCGTTCAGATGTCCTTAAGTGCATCTGGAATAATCAATTCTACCGCCTCAAAACAAGCAAATATTCGATAAGTTGTTTTCTTCCTTTCATGAGGACTGACCTGACCAAGCATGGTGATATTTTTTTCAACAACATTAAGACCCAATAATTGCAATTAAATCACAAAAAAGAGGTTTATTTTATTTTTCAGGGCTCACACTTCTGGAGAAAGCCACATTGAAGTTGGCATCCATTCCCAGAGGCATACGCAATCATCAACCTGTGAAAGACAACCATTGCTGATGGGTCCCAGCTGATGAGATTGGCATTGACAGCCAGCTAACCACTCCTGCTGCTGTGCAACAAATAAGAACTGGTCTCTACTCACTCATCATGTGATATCCAACAAAAATTCTCTGTCTGTCAGGGAGTGTAAAATTAGTCTGAGTATGTCAAGTGACGCAAGTTGGATATTTATCACACTGGAAAACCCCACCAGTGAAAGGCCCTTGTTCACAGTGGGAAGCTTGCTTCTAATGGACAGTGCTTGAGGGGAGAGTATTAAGCTGTTCTATTAAAATGTGCGTTTTACGACTTCAAAATGGGGTCAATAATCAGCTGTAAAACAAGTTTATATTCTAGAAACAGAATTAATAAGGGAATAATTGGAACCTAACTTCTTAAATTAAAGCGTCATAAATTCAGAAATGACAGTTTTTGTACCCTTAAGTTACCAGTAGCTTGATTTAAGGTATCTCTCAGTAAAAATAAAGACTTTCATAGTATAAAAACTAAATCAGGATCTGAAATGTAAGATGCCACAATGCTTTTTTTTTCATGGAGGACAGTTTTACAGCCTTGTGGTGTACCCTTAATTAATGGCTGCCATGAATTTGGAGCTGGAGAAAATTACCACCTCAGGATAATAAAAGCAGGATTTGTTTCACTGCCTTGATTAATGTCGGCCATATTCATGTCACGCTGAACACGTGTAAGGTGAGATCCACTCACAGTCCCTCAGTCTGTCACTGTGGTTCCTGCCTGCTGCCACTTCACAGCACTTAAAGCCTGCTCTAGTTACTAATGGTACACATTAACCCTTGGAGTATCTGTGTCTATGTGCTGTGCATACGTGCATGTGTGTGTACAAGAATGCAAGACGCAATGGGATACAGACAACGCATGGGTGAAAAAAGGCAACTGACAGGCCAAAAAAACAAGAGAAGGGTTATAATTAATTGCAAAATATGTGTATGTGCATTTGTGGCTCTTATCTGTGCCCCACAGAACAACTTAAGCAGATTTGGGGGGTTGCTCATTTAAATTCACGTCCTACAAACTGGGAAAACTCAGAACTTTTACTCCCTCAATTCTTCCATCACTTATCCACGCACCAACACTGCACACATAGGCACAAGCTTTACATAAAAATTATTCAGCTGTAACAGAACAATACACAACAGCCCATCCGCTGACATGCAAATACACCATAAGCAGGCTGACGGGAGCAGAGCTGCTGTTTGTATCACATGGAAGAAGTTCAAATTAATTGTTTTCCTGCTTCTGTTCGCACTGTGAGGGCATGAGCACCAAGCATTTTTCTACACCACATTAAAAGCTGTATGCACATTTTAACCCTTTAGAAGACAATTTTTTTTACACAGGTACCTGATGGACATTCATTAAAAGCTTAAAATCACCTAAAATAGAGGCAGATGTAATGGAAAGCTCTGATTTTTGACTACTGTCTATACCACTGGTTCTCAGGTCCAGTCCTCGAGGCCCACTGTCCTGCATGTTTTGGATGTTTCCCTGCTCCAACACACCTGATTCAAATGATCAGCTCGTTATCAGGCTCTGTAATGGCTAAATAACGAGCTAATCATTTGAATCAGGTGTGTTGGAGCAGGGAAACATCCAAAACATGCAGGACAGTGGGCCTAGAAGACTGGACTTGAGAACTACTGGCCTAAATGCAACAATGGTTTTCTAAACAAGATCAGCATCTTCGAGCATAACAGTTAAACAGTGGTTGTTTGGTTATATGCCAGTATAAAATGGCATTTAGACGCTCCACTAGGACAATAACCAGCACTGGCATTTGGACATTAAGCAGCAGGGAGGACTGAAGCCTGGGGGTGTTAGCTCTGCTCGTGTTAGCCACACTCAGCATACTCATTTGACATGTTTCACCCACAGACTCAGTGTCAATAAACTGTGCTTGATTTTGACTACTTTCAAACATTTTCTGTTTCAGTGATGAGGAAATAAGTCATTTTATAACATCCCTAGCTTTGATAGAGTAATGTTAAATAAACCATGTAGGTTATGGTGGAGTTTGATGGTTTGTCAATCTAGAGTAAGAGAGGGAAAAAAAGTACGAATGAAATCAAAATCAATAAATATGCTTTCTAAATATCAACTTGGTCCAAGGACGCATACTTAAAGAAATGATCCATATTGGTCAAGTTTGACAGATGAAGATCAGAGGTCTGACTGCTCACTTTTCTCAGTATACTTACACAAACATTTAGATGAATAACTCAGTGTATGTTTTTACTCTTATCCCTCAGAGGCAGACCATTTACTGCCATGTTTTAAATTTCAGATGAATCCTTCACACTCTCTTGCTCAGTAAATCTGTCTGTCGCACAGACTCTTCCCTGAGTACATTTGCTGAGGAATCATGTGAGTGGCATGTTGTGCAGAGGAAATGATGATGTTTGTGTGTGTTTGTACGTGTGTGTGTGTGTGTGTGTGTGTGTGTGTGTGTGTGTGTGTGTGTGTGTGTGTGTGTGTGGCATGGCTTTATCTTTAAAGTTACTGTTATTGATTCAACACGGTCATGACAGCATTTCATCATGAAGTGTAGCCTGGATGGATTTTCCATTATGGTAGATCTCTGATCTGTTGTGTTTGTCTGTGTCAGTGTGTGTGTGTGTGTGTGTGTGTGTGTGTGTGTGTGTGTGTGTGTGTGTGTGTGTGTGTGTCTGAGTGTGTGAACATTTGCTGCATCCCTCATATTAGCGACACACGAGCAATCCTGCTAAACAAACGTAACCTAATCATAGATTGGCAGAGCAGAAGCTGGGTAAATTGAAGAAAAGCTTGCTGCTCAACTACACACACACACACACACACACTGTCACAACAGGTAGCAGGTATTACAGCATGTCAAACAGCGCAGTAAGAATGACTGACAGCTCTGCATCTGCTACCACAGACCAACATGACAGATAAACTTGGAGCCGCTGCCAGCAGCTCTGCGTTAGCTGCTTGTCTGATTATCTGTCTGCAGCACTGAGCTCCATTCTGCCATGACCATCAATCTCTTTACCATCTCCCTCTGCATCGTCAGGTCATCACTCCGCTCTAATTGTCTGTCTGTCTTCTGTTTGTCCATCACTCCTTTTTTCGTGTACTGAATCAGCAACCACAGACTTGACTATCAATCTCCTGCTGCATAAGCCGTCCGTCGTGCAATATTTCTCCTCTTGCGTATACTTAATTCACCATTTTCTCTTCCGTCTCTCACGCTTTTTCTCCTCTTTCTGTGATGCACATGTCAGGACTAAACCCACTTAGGGATCTGCCACTCTGCATGCAACAACACTTGCTTCTAAAAGGAAGAGTAAAAATAGGACAGCACACCACAGAAAGAGCTCGGCCGTGGTGTGTTCTGTCAGGGCACTTTCCAAACTTGCCTTTTTTGCGTGCGTACATTTCAATCCATACACCCAAACTTTAAGATGGGAGCCAAAGTTTGGAAAAGATGCTGCTGAAACAGAAAGAAACCCTTAGAGGAAAAAGAGGGTGAATATGAATAAGGAGAGTTAAAAGATCTAAAATTGGTTGGGCAGAGAGGTGATGCTGAGGCAGAGGAGAGTGTAAGTGGCTCATTTTTCAAACGATTCCTCAGACAACTGGCTCAAGGAGACACACACATACACACACAACAAACTCCAATTCACTCCCCTCTTCCACAGCTACTGTTATGCTGCACCTCACATAAAGTAATGTGTTTCTAAGGCTTGATGAGGAAGTCCTCAGCCCCAGATGCTGATTCCTGGGAGAGAAAGCAATGTACAATATCAGCAGAAAAAAAAAATACTATGACCTCTACTGCAGCAGCACAGAGCAGGGGCAAAGAGAGAAGAAATACACAGACACGTGACTGCAGAGGTGGGGGAAGAGAAGGAGAATAGACAGACAGAAGCAGAGGAGACATTGGAGATCATGATAGACAGGTAGAGAGACAGAAAGCTGGGTGGACAGACAGAGAGTTGACTGCAAAAACCTCCTCTGCAGTAAGTGGTTATTGATTGGAAGACACAGGCTGCAGGATTCCTGAGCCGGCGAACCGAAACAGGATGCTGACTTGCTTCCCCCCTCCTTGTATAATTGCAATGAAAAGCACATATGCAGAAATGCATCCAAGTGTAAACAGGACTGGTTTAACTGCAGCACGCAACAAAAACTTCTAAACTCTTCAGGAAGGTTGCTCTGTCGAATCAGTGACCTTTTCAAAACTAATGATCGGAGATGTTTGTGGTAGGAACAGAGGTCTGCAAGAACACACACACATCCATGAAGGGATCCAGACACACACACACACATGTGCAGGCAAAATTTCCAGAAATGAAAAGATCACATTTGACTTGCTCTTTTAATCTCTGAGCGATGTTGATGCAGGTGACCTTTTAAAATCAACACGAGACTCAAATCCGAACTCTCATTCCCATCAGGAAGCAGTCTATCATTAGCGAAAGTGAAGGCAATCAACAGACACAGACCCACAGCCAGTTGTTTTGGTTAATCTAAGCAGGGATTGAGTTTCAGCGGTGACATCAAAGTTGATTACAGGAAGTGGTCTGAGCTACCAGCAGGTCAAAACCTCTAAGACTGAGAAACTAATGACCGCCTGTCACACAGACTCAAGAAGAAAACAAAGTTGAGGATAAAATTTTCTGGAAGCTGCTTCATTTACCGCACTTTTCTGCGGTCCTGCATGCATGTTTCTGAGAAGAACTAACGTCTAAAATAGAAATACGAAAGCACCAAAGACATGTCATTGCTTCGTGGTATGGCAAGAGAAGAGTTGCGCTTTAAATCAAACTTAACTTCTTTCTGTTAAAAATAAAAAGGTGCTAGAATGAGGAAAATACCCCCATAAGTACGTTTTTTTCTTCTCTTTTCAGTCAGTGTGGCTATTTTTGTGCTACCAGTTTGAGGCGTTTAGGAAAGATTTTTTCACAGGAGAGAGGAAAGGTTGACGCCTGGGAGATGTAAGTCATTACAGCAGTAATATCCTGCAGTTGTCACACTGTTCCCACTCTGAGAGGCTGGGTGAGATGTCACAGTGCAGTCAGAAGACATGCTGAAATTGACAATCACTATTACCCTACTAATGTGTCCATTTATTCCAGCAAGCCACGGTCAATCCACAGAGAGAGGGAAAGAGGATTCATGCAGTGTCTCAGGAGAGTGAGTTATTCAAGGTGACAAAGGAAGCAATTAATGTGAGGCTGTTATTATTGGACATGTCACCATACCTAGAGGGACTGTATTAAATGTAACACGGTCTGTCCAGTGTTGTAAAAAATAAAGCCTACCAATTATAGACAGCCAAATATGATGTACCTCACCAAACTCCATTGAAAATATTGCAGTTTGAACAAATCATTGTTTGTTGACATCAGTAACTGACTTAAATTTCATTACATAGTAGACTCAACAAATAAGTATGTGCAGCTCCTCACTTCGGCATAAGTCTTAATGCGCATATCAACCTGTTAACGCCAAAAATACACATTTAAAACGGTTTTATCCATGTTTCACTTAAACTACCCCATTAACAACTATGAGATATTTTACCAAACTCCATAGAAAATATTGCAGTTTTAACAAATCATCGCTTGTTGACTTCTGTGAGTGACTTATATGACATAATATGACATAATAGACTAAACAAATAAGTATGTGCAGCTCCTCATTTTGGCATAAGTCAAAATTTATCAAAACATGCATTGTAGGTCTAGTTAGATCCAATAAATGGATTCAGAGGAAGAGTATTAGTAAACTACACAATGTCCACTGTCCAATGTCTGTCCACTTGTATAAAAAAAGCCCACCAATTATAGCCAGCCAAATATGATGTATATCACCAAACTCCATTGAAATTACTGCAGTTTACACAAATCATTGTTCGTTTACATCAGTGAGTGACTTTTATTTTATGATATAATAGACTCAACAAATAAGTATGTGCAGCTACTCAATTCGGCTTAAGTCTTCATGCACATATCAATCTTTTAACACCAAAAATACTACTTTAAAACGGTTTTATCCATGTTTCACTTGATCTACCTCCATTAACATTTGGAATAACCTTTCAGTCGAATTTATTAAAATATTGAATGAAGGTCAAGTTAGATTTAATAAATTGATTCAGGGGAAGTGTATTAGTAAACTGCACAATGTCTACTGTCCAATGTCTGTCCACTTGTATAAAAAAAAAGCTACCAATTATAGACAGCCAAATATGACACATACTTTGGTTTATTTTTGGTACACAATGTTTGGTTTTGGTGTGGTGTCTCTTCTCTGCAATTAAAGTAAAAATGTCAGAATGAACTTCAAAAAAATAGATGCCATTGAGTATTTTGGTGTAACGGGCTGTCTGCGTAAAATGACGGTGAATAAACCCGAGGTGTGACGTGTTTCACAGCTGACTGTTATTTTCCGTTTCATCTTTAGTTCAATTCTGTAAGTCTCTCGAAACAACGTAAAGAAAAACCATCAAATCAACCTTACCATTTGATTTAGAGAGTTATTCATCCTATTCAATCGGGAGCAGTACGTTTCCCAACTCTCCAAAACTGGCAACACGAGCTCTTTACGCAACACCAAGGTCCGCTGAATGTCCCACACACGAACAGAGCGTGAAAACCCTCAACTCAGTTTTTCCCTCTGTGGCACCTCCATGTAAAAAAAAAGGCAAAAAAGATTTTAAAGACTCCACTGTCAGTCTGTGAACAGCTGCCGTTTATCAGCCTCTGAAGTTGTTAAGGATCCACACGGAAAAAATCACTACCCGCACTCTTGGAAATCTGGGGACGACAGCGGTCATGCGTGTGAACCCCGCTCTGAGTTGTCTTCATCATCATCACCTTCTTCTTCATCGTCATGATCGTCATTGCCGTCGACGTCCAAGAGCTCCAGAGCCGGAATCAAACACACACACAACACCGCGAGCACAAGGGAAGGATGAAGAGTGGCCGACTGATGGACCAACCGAGTGCCGTTTCTGAGGAGGCGGGTGTGTGTGTGTGTGTGTGTGTGTGTGTGTGTGTGTGTGTGTGTGTGTGTGTGTGTGTGTGTGTGTGTGTGTGTGTGTTCTAATCCATGTACAGCTGCGTTCAGGCAGAGGAGAGCAAACTGTCATTTGTATCCAGAGACCTCCAGAGGTCCTTGAGGAGGATCCCAGGGGCGTTGGCAGCGATTTTCAGGATCACAGTCACCCCCACTATTGTACAGCATGCATACAGTGCAGTTATGGGAAAAGAACCGAGAGTGGAATTTTCTCAGGGCTTTGTTGTCAGTCCACAGTAGCCCACACACTGACAAGTATTTCAGTGTGGTTCCCTGTCAAATCCCTTAAAAATGGCTCCTGCATGGTTTCAAGCTGTTTGAAAGAAAGTGACATAAGAGGGATTTGGCAGCTCTGTGTTCAGTTTTGAAGTGGGTTGCAACTGTGTCAGAAAAAAAGGCACTGTGGTCGCTCTGTGCCTACACCGCCCACCGTGGAAATGGGCGGTTTGTCTTTTTTTGAGTTATGACTCAACTTTTTTTATGAGGCGCTGGTCAATAAGATGTAACGACCGCAGAACGGTGCAGGCAAAATATTCCCTTTCCTCCATTTCTTTGCATGTACACAAGATTTTAGTCATGTGCATTTGTTAAAACTATTTCTCAATCGGCTGAGTATACTGATTCGGCAGTTGAACAGATTTAGCCATCCGGTACAAAGCTACACAAGCAAAACTTGTGGCACAAACCTTTCTGACAGTCTCAGAGCCGGCCCAAGGCATAAGCGAACTAAGCGCCTGCTAAGGGCTCCACGGCCAACAGGGGGCCCCCAAGAGCAATCAATAAAAAATATGTATTTTTTATTTTAAAATAATTTTATTTTAAATAAAGGTATGTTTGCATGTCATGGAATGTTAATCAAAGAGATTTGTGAAGATGTGTGAATGATCAACAATCAATATATTGGCAGAAATAGAGGGCCCCAAAATCAAATTTTGCCTAGGGCCCCATTGAGAGTTAAACTTAAACTAGAAAGAAGATTTTAGCCTCTGGACAGACAAACTAGCCAAGCTAGAGTTAGTGGCAGCTCAGCTCTCAGGCTCTAGAGTACAGAGGAGTGTTGCAAATTCATCTACATTTCATTGAAACTGCTCTATACCTTCTTTTCAGATTCTATTTCTGAAGTCTGCTTGGTTTGTAGCAGAGGAGACCTCGGTGGATTGAACTACCTCTGCAAACTTTTGAATGATACCATAAAGAAGGTAGTAGCAGCTCAGCTGGCAGCCCCTACACCCTTATTGTAGAACCACAGATTGTCGTTTTCGTTGCTGTTTGACAGGAGGGAATCTGTACGGATTATTTTGCAACTATAATGTTAAAATTCATACAAAATGAATGCTGATACAATGCTTGTAAAATTTTGATCAGCCATGTTATTGTGCTTGTAATTTTCTGCATTCAGTGATGCAGATTTAAACAAAAAATGTGATTTATCTCCAGTTGTTTTCCAAAAGGGATGAAAAAAGTCAACATTGAGAAGGCAAGTGGCATTAAAATGTAATTTTTTTCTATTTGGAACTAGACAATGAATCAGATCGAAACCTGGTCTATATACAAAATAATGATAGTGACGCAAAACACCACAGATATATAACTATATATATAACTAGACTGTGGTCTGAAGTTGTTGTATTCATATGAAATCCTACTAGCAGTGGCAACACAACATATTCCAGAGAAAATAAACACACGCATCTGTCTTCCTGTTTCCTCTCTTTCTTTAAGTCTGCCTTTGCTTAATGCCAGGCACATATGAGTCCACAGGGAAGTTGTTGTGCAGCAAAGTGTATCGCCTTGTCCACTGGTGATGTATGAGAGTGATTTGTGGGCAGGTCAAAATGGAAAACACAGAGGAGTTCGGTTGGAATTCAGTATGAGAGTAAACCACTGACTGGGACTTTTGGCTGCAGGAAACCTGCATTAGAGAACCACTAATGGAGTGTTCGGGACATCATATGCAAACACAGGAGGGGTGTAAAAAATTAATCAGCAGGAAATAAAACATTTCACCCATTTTTATTGTTTTAGCATTTTCCCAAATGTCATCACAAAACAAACTGGATGCATCAGAAAACCCCTGCACTTGTTTGTTGTGTGTTTGTGGGTGAGATGAGAAAAGGAGTGAGATGCACAGTCCAGGGATGCAGCAGATGACATGTGGGAGGATCAGGAGGGAGATAGAGAGAGTCAGTCTGTGGGCTGGCAGCCTCGACTAATGGCAACAAAGTCCATCTCAATGGTGCAATAATACATCTGTGTGTCTGGCCGGGCGAAAGCAGCTCTTCACCTTTAGCTCAGAACAACAGAGGAGGAGAGGAGGTGCTTTGTCATAACATTTATGTTCACCGTGGAAGCCGAGGACACTCCAGTGGAAGCCAAGAACATTAAAAATCCAGTGAGAAAGCTAACAAAGTCATTCAGTATTTAACATTTGCTTTTAGCCTCTTACATAAATCCATCTCGCCTTTTTTTTTTTTTGTTTCGCAGACATGTGGAACAAACACAAGATGAGCCTTGATAACTCAGGACTTAAAGCTGTAAATATCCTACAGTTAATCAGATTAAGGTTTCCTCAGCAAGTAGTCGTGCCAGTCTTGTAGTCGTGCTGTGAAAAGACAAATTTACACTGACAGTTCACTGACGGGTTCAGGAAACAACACGTGTGAGTGACAATTCCAACACTAACAGAACGCTGGTGGCTCAAATTGTCCGGCTGATCAAAAGTGAACATTATATCGAATAAGCAAGGGCACGTTAATTATCAGTGAATACATTTTAGGAATCTGAGGACAGGACACCTTTGGCAGAGAGTCAGCTGTGGGCTTTCTTCACTGAATGAGTCATTTCCAGCTGAATGAACGATAGCATCATTCTCAATGTCGTTACACCGCATTTCACAGGATGAGAGGACATTCCTTCAGCCGGACTCACACACTCAGCCTCCCTCTGAGACTCAAGCATTTCCTATTGACTTTTCCCAAACAAGCATTGCTCTTCCTTTTTCCTCTCTCCCTTCCCTCCTACTGTAGATACAGCCAAGTGTCTAATAATAGAACACGATTCGGCACCAGTTCTGTTTAATTTCTAATCCCTATATGAGCATTTAAACGAGTGAAATCTTAATTCCTATCAGAGCCTGGAGGAGTAACAGCACCAGCAAATAAGATTTCACACTTTAGTCTTGTGCAGATCTGAATCTGGTGCCTTTGTTGACAGCAGCTGTTGAGAAGAGAGGCAGGCCTCTGTTCCTATTTCTCATATTTTACACGCTTTTATTCCACAGTCCTCTGTTTGAATAAAGGTCTCACGAGGCAATTTTACATAAAGTGACCCAAAGGAGCTGAGGCATATGGATAAGCTTCATTTGTTTTACTGCACGGTGCCAGGAATGAGAGCTATAATGGAGGTGAGTCCTTTTTCTTCCTGCTTGAAGCATATTTAAGACCAGTGTTTCTTTTATGGTGGCATAACAGGACATTTATTACAATTATTGAGCTTAACAGTGCAGAACACGTGGATTACACTTTGTGGTAGCGTGCATTACTAAAATGGCTTTTTTTTTTCAGAGGGTGCGTTTGAATTATTGCGCTGAAATTGAGCCTGAAGCAGGAATTCTTTGGGGGCTGAATGTTAAGTCCATTTTGACTGTGCACACACATAAACTGCATTCCTTTTTTATTGACTTTGCAGCTATACAACACAATGCATCCATCATTTACTGCCTACCTTATTTCCTTTCCTGCCTTTAAGCCGTGGTTTGAAAACAGATTTCCTTGCTTTACATGAGACATGCAAGGGGGGAAACAGTATCATCCCCATCTTTCATTCAATCAGCCGGTTTATCAGCCCCCTACTGGCCACATGCAGGTATTGCAACATACAAAGAAACTGAAGCAAACTTGATCACTCTTTTCTTTTGCTTTCTTGCTGATCTTTTAGCTTCTTCAAGGACCTAAGAGCATGCAGAGACCTGGTTTACTCCAATACAGCACTTGGCAGTCAACATCACAGGGGAACACATAGAAGAAAGACTGTCAGCTGGATATGCAATAAAAAAAGCAAGCTAATACGAATGGTATGCAGCGAGCTCAATAAACACTGATCATATTCACTGCTTTACATATACACGGTTGATCCGTGGAGCCCTTAGAGTGACAGCTGCAGTGACCAACTGTGAGGACATGAACCGTGTGCGTGTCTTGTGTGGGCCTCAAATAGTGCCTTCAGTAAACTTACATGTGCTGTTACGTAACATCAAACAGCCTGCATGTCTAGTGGCACACTGACCAATGAGAGTGTGTCAGTGTGAAGCGGTTTAGCAGGGGTTAACGGAGGTCTTCTATCAGGTGTCCACAAATAATACTAAACCATGCTGTGCCAGCTTAATAGGAATCCCCTTTTTGTCACTGAGTCCAGCCCGTTTAAGGTAAGATGGATTAACCTTAACGTCACTTAATGATGGCGAGATTAGTGACACATACACCGACATATGGGTGCACTCAACTCTGATGACCTGGCTTCAGTGAGGTGAGAGCGACGGGGACACAGAGTTGAAGATGTGCAACCTAAGGTGGGACATGTTTTTCAAAATAAAACATTAAAAAAAGGGTTTTGGTCATTTATTCATCCACTCAGTCACTTTTATCATTTGCTGCTACCTGCTTCTCAAAAAAATAGCTGATTTTCTCCTCTGTATGTTAACTTTTAGGGGGGTTTAGTCCACTGTTTGGGAAAAATTGTAATTTCAAGTTGCAAAGAGAGGGCCTTGTACATTGAATGAAGCTTTTTCACAGACTCAAAGATTATAAATTGGTTTATTTGTAAATTAATTCACCTACTTTCTTCTTGCGCTTACTTTGCTCAACTTGCAAAGTGTATACACGCCCTTCCTGCAAACACACACACATCTTCTCCCAATGTGACCCCGAGCGTCTGACCCCGAAAGATTACATCATCCAGCTGCAGTGTTTGTTCCACTGATCTCATCACGGTGAGACAGAGAGGCTGTGTTTTTTTTCTTAGGAGGGGAGTGTTGTTTGGGAGTGGAACAGCTCTGTCATGCCTCTCAGCACCTCGTACCACAACAAGAGGCCCCTTTCAGCAGCCCAGGCCTTCAGATCTACCTCAGGATCCCAGTGACCCGCCTCCTAACCCTGGAATTCCCCCATCACACTTCCCGTCTGGCATTTAGGGTTTTCCTTAACAGCACAGCAATCAAACTCCTAAAGTTAAACTCGGGCTAGTCTGGAGATGCGTGAAAACAAAGCTCTCTGCAAACGCTGTGAAGCCCTGATTCAAATTAGAGCAAACAAACTACAGTTCATGTGATGGTAGAGGGTGAAGGTCTCTCAGACGCGCTGACATTAAGACGTGGAGACGGAAATAATTCCATCATTAGATCATATCTGAAGCGGAGAAAATATCCTCTCTTGTCCTTGATGAAGCAGAATGAGCCCTCAGATGGTCAGACGGCAGCGCTCCAAATGGTGACAGATTTATTCCCTCTGCCAAACACACACACCCACCAGTGACACACACACACACACATGCACACTGCAAGCCAGTGGGTAAAGATCCTCCAGTGTGCACTGATTCAATCAGACACTTAGGCTTGCATCAAATAACACAAACACAGCCTCAAAAGACACAATCTGAGGGTCACGGGATGTAAATTAGATAGACGCCGCAGATGCTCTCTCCTTCAGGTGGATTATTCTTAAAGAAAAAGATTGTTTTAATGGTGATATTTCGCTCTCACCTCTATGATTTCCACCTACTTTCCGTTCCCAGCTCTTGCTTAGCTGGTAACACTGTGGTTCCAGAGATCACAGATCAGAAAGAGTGAAATAAACACGCAGAAATAGACTGAATGTACCCGTGCACCACACTGTAAACACCCCCACATACTGAATATATACCTCCTAAAGGCGCAGAAATCAATAAAATCAAAGCTTAAACATAAACTCTCACACAGTCATGTTCATTATGCTGTGTTTATCGCACATGCTGGAAAACACACGCGTACGCATAGAGTGTAACCATATGGAGAAACAAAAGCAACATCTACAGGCTCAATTAAACACATTACAGAGCGCTCTTTTTTCCAAAATGTGTGTTTGCACTCACTTTCAAAGACAACCATCTGATTTAACAGCTTGCGCCGCCAGCTGCGTCTCCGGGACGTGTTCAGATGTTCTTAATTACATGTTTTACAAAGGAATACAACATTTTTTAATATCACCACTTGAAAACAGTGGCTGGTGAGCCGCTGAGTCGATAAGTCAAACGCGGCGTCAAATCCAATCTGTGCCGATTTGAATAAAGCCCGCAGACACAATTTAGAAAGCTTAAGTAGCCCGATTTTCTCTGCTGTCGTGAATTCAAAAAAGTCCTTTAAATGCTAAAACTGTGGAGTCTATTGAGCGTGACGGCAGAGAGAGTGAAGGATTAAAGAAAGGTGATAAGGAAGGTGAGATAAAAGAAGGGTGGCAATAAGGGCCAAAAGCAGCGAGAGAGGCAGAGAGATGAGCACAGCAGAGGGGAAATTATCAGACAGATTCAGGCGGAGATAGTGCGGAGAGGAAGGTGTGTGACAAAAAGAAAGAAGGTGCAAAGAGCCAGGTTGATGTTCCAATAACAGCACCTCCTGCTTCTCTGGCTCAGTGTTTTCTCCTTCTCACTCTCCTGGCTCCTGCCTGCTGTTTTTCAAAGGAAGCTGGCTCAGGCCGCTGCATCTCGGTTCCTGCTCACACAGAGCGCCTATTCAGCCCCGCGCCGCTCCTCATAACCGCCGCATGGGCGAGGGCTTGGGTGGGACCTGAGGCTCAGGGGGGGATAGGGCTCTGCGGTGAAGCCTACGGGGGTCAGGGGAGTGTTTGGGAGCAGAGGTGAGATGGAGGAGCCAGATGGTTTGAGACTTGAGGCTGCTGGCAGAGAAACAGGAAGGCGTGGACAAGACGGCTAAAAGCTGGATGTGCTGTTCCAAGAAGGAGAGGAGGGTTTGGTATGGAGAGATGTGTGTGTGTGATGTGATACAAAGCCTTCTTTCTCAGCTACCTAACACACACCATGCCTGCTTTGGCATCCTGCGATGGAAGAACTAGAGCCTAATAAAGCTATTCCGACTGCAGACGCCAAAGACACACTTAGAAATACACATCACACACTCAGCAAATAGACTAAAACCGATGTACAGAACATTTACAAGTACCTGGCTATTTCCATTCATTTAGAGCTGGTGCGCCGCAGTAGGAAAACTTTACTTAACTTAAAACACATGCAAAAAGCCATGAAAAAGCCTCACATCCTCAAAGAAACCCAGGCGATAACCTAATGTTGCTATGAAATCAAATCTCTGCTTTGATTACACAGCTTACACATGATTAGGCTTATTACTCTTTGCAAATATTTACTCACACACACACTGTCAGAAGGGCACACACAGCTGAGCTCAGCAGGACGCTGTGGAGGAATGTCTTTTGGCTCAGACACGTGTGTGTATTCTGTATCACAAGAGAGTAAGCGCTGTGAGCTTTAGCACAACTTCCACTGGAGCAAGCAGGTCTGCTGGGCTACCTAAACAAGTTCACAGCTGAACCAACACACACCAACACACCAACACACACACACACACACACACACAGAGGTTAAATTAATGATGGCTGAGGGATTAAACTGAACTGAAGAACGAACACTGATAACAGTTAAAGCTCCTGTGAGGAGGTTTTATCTGGTTTTGAGGAAGACCAAATTTAACACTGATGAGATTGTTAATGAATCCATAGACTGTATATACTATGGACAACTTGGTTCCGCCTTCTACTAGTATGAGGATTTGAAGCAAAAAAGCTCTCAGTATTTCTGTTTTTCCTCTCCACTTCCTGAAACCAACATTGCACAGAAGCGTTGTACACGGAGATTCGGTGAGAGTCACTCGGCTCAAACAACGTATCCTCCAGGTGAGCTACGCAATCTTCGTACGCCTACGGGCTGTTTTAAGTGTCAATCATAGAAAACATGAACCTCCCTCATAACTTTTAAAAATGGAGCTGTACAGAAAAAAGAGGACTTGAGCACAAACCACTCTTAAAATAACTACATGTCAACATCACAACCAGGGGTGAGAAACATTTATATTCTATGCAATAAATTTCTAAATTTTGTCCACAGCTCCATAGGGATGGCTGGAGGAGGCTGGATTTATGACCTATACTGCAGCCCGTCACCAGAGGGTACTGTTCTCGGGGTGGCTTCAGGGTCTATGGTTAAATCTGACTGTCAAAAGAGAACATGATGAGATCTATGTGTCAAGAAACATTGATCACACATGTGCAAGATATCATTTAGCTAAGACTGCTTTGTCCACAGGGGGCGCCAAAGTCATGAACATGAAATCCGCTTACAGGAGCTTTAAAGCTGAGGATACAGTTGATGTTTTTGGTTGTAAAAAATGGATTTTCCCTTTTATAATATTCTGTTGATTTGACAGGGACAAATGCATGGTACTTTGCTTCATAGTGAACAATGTATGTCTCAAAATTAGGGGTGTCACGATACAACTTTTTGACTTCTGATAAGATACCGATATTGTAACTTTCAACATTGACTGATACCGATATTGAGCCGATATTGGCACAAAATTGTGCATGACAATTTTTACTCCGCTGCAAAGTCTTTTTCAGACTTACTGCCACATGGCCGACATCACTCATACTCCTTGCTACTTTGTTAGTACCTTAGTACACACTGTTGTTGTGATTTTGTGGGCTCAGCTTGCTGGATCAGAGCGCTGCTAGATAGAGGTGCCGGAGCGGAGTCTGGAATGGACTGCTTGTATCAGAGTGCTGATATTGGAGATTTTAGATGCAGGTTGTGACACCCCTACCCAAAATAACTTAGATTAACCTTTGCTCTTACTTCAAATTCATTATCATTATCATACAGATTGGAAGTCATCAGAGTCCACATGTAGATGCTGGTTTACTGTTCTAGAGCTGGCAGGGATTAGCTGCAGTTCATTACGGCCTTTACCCACAGGGACTTTCTACATTTAGAAACCTGAGCCCAAATATATCATGATGTTTAGAATGATTAATATTCAGTTGAGAGACAACAACATGGCCACAGATGAAGTCTAGAGACACATGATAATAAAGCTGCAGTTTTAAATTAAATGTTAATCTGCACAGACAAACTAACTCCAGACAGGTCCACCTTCATAGAAGAGTAACAACAGGCTGCAGGTTAACCACTGACCTGAGATCAGATTATACAGGCTGTAGTCACTGGATATTTCAGGCCTGTCCGTGTTGTCAACAACTATCCACACAGCTATCCGAGGCATGGCCACAGCTAAGTTTAGGGTTTGGGAGCGTGTGAGAGGTCAAACATGAGTCCGGCTACAGACTCCCATGTGACCCCCCGCGAAAGCTTTTCATCAACCGGGGTCACAGTCTGAACTCCAATGACTGCAACATTGTAGGGTCAATATATTGTGTGTTTTGATTTAAGAGCCTGTGTAAGATTTTGTGTTATGAAATGAAAGATGTAATTTATCAACCTAATTAGCAGCATTTCATCCTGAGGAAACGCTGAAGTAACAGGACACTTGGGAATGCATGGATTGTTATGTCTACAACATACTGAAGCGACCAGACTCACAGAGTGAACTGTGGGCTATTTCAGTATATTTCAACGACTATCTGTGCCACAATGCCTTATGAGAACAATGACAGCAGCGTGACACAGAAACAGAGTCTCGTATATCTTAAATTAGATGATATCACGGGTACGATCTCCAGGAGAACTGAAGCAGCTCAACACCCCAAATCCTGCTGTTCTGAGTTGAAATCAAATGTCAAGATTAAACTCTGGCAGAGCAGTGATAGATGAATATCCAGTCAAGTCTGGAGCTAAAATTAGACCTGGGAGAAAGGTCCATCTACGGCCCGCTCTAGTGAGGGAAAGGGGGGTGATACAGGAGGACAGAGCCTGAGAAGATGGAGAAGGTTAAAGGAAGAAAGAAAGAGGGCAATAAAATAAATCTGTGTTAATTCAATTTTGCTGACAGGAAGTGGCGTGTGCATGTGTCTACAAACAGACGCGAGTTCAATGACATCATGTTTGTCGCTGCTGGTGGGAAACAATAATTACACCAGACCATTTCCTGTCTCCCATCAGCCATCTCTCTTCCTGTGCTCTAGGGGGAAAAACGCCTTTTATATATACTTTGCATGGGACTTGCAGTGGTGACTGTCCTCTAAGTCTCATATGAGGGAAGGAGGGAAAGATGGGAGAAGGCCATGCATTTGAGCCAGGAATGCACTCATTCCTTTTATAACCGACTTGTTAAAACCTGAAGAGCAGAAATGTTTCTTCCTACTGAGCTTGAAAATAACACAATGGCTGCTCTCTCTGCTCTCCTGACACAGCAATTATGCACCTCTGAGGAATGCTGGAGCCTCAAGACATGCAAGGTCTCTCACTTTTTAAATTTCTTTTTCAAACAACGTCTGCAACGACTTATGGAAAACATATATGTGATCTATAATGTTTTAAATATATTTACAGCATGGGGTGGGAAAGGCCCCTCACAAAAATGTCACTGCAGGTACAAAAGAAAAGAAGAAGAAAAGGGTTTATAGTGTAATAACGGCAAGTCGTCCCAACTGGGCTTTAAAAAAATACCCCTGGGCCAAACTCATCCATAGCTGAAATTACAGTTAGACTGTGGGCTGTACAGCTCAGCAACATACAAAGAATCCCTGTCTCATAAACCCACCCAGGCTGAGGAGACATGCAGGGAAGGAAGGGAGAGGAGGGAGTGAGAGAGGGCATGAGAGCAAACAAGTGAGTGTTTACCTGCAAAAATACTCTGTTAAAGACAAGGATGACAAACTGATATTCTTGCAGAGTAATGCTCCTCTGCAGACGACCCCAACATATGAACTGCCTCTGCAGGAAGAGGGAGTTTCCCACACAGCTAAACAAGGGCTCATCATCTTGTTGTTGTGCATTCCTACTTTTGCAATTGCATTCTCAGGGATTACAAAAAAACGCCTAAATAGATGAAGATCCTGGGACAGAAAATGCCCCGCTTGTTGTCTACATTCCACCTTAATGCCCAAAATTCAATATTCACACAGAGTGCCATTTTCCAGGTCATGTCTCTGCAGTAAACAAGTCTCTACATCAAAGAAAGCTCTGTAACAGGATCTAATGTGCTGATTTGTGCTCGATCAACTTGTTTAAAGGTCCTCATTGTGGTGCATTTCATGCCACAGGCGCCAAAAAACCTCATGAAAATCATTTACACAATGTGCTTTCAAACACAAGATGCTCTGGAGATAAATGAGTGGTTTAAAGACACTGACAACATCGGAAAATAAGAATTCACTCGGCTGTGCACATGTTGAATTTGGCATATTTCGCAGTCACATTTATCTTATTTGATAGAAAGCCAGACACCTGGCACGCTCTGCAGCACTTGGCCCAGGTAGATAAACACAGAAACACCTCGCATGTGAACCCTACGCCAGACTGCTGGCAGGTACGACACACCAGCAAGTGATATCACCTCTCTGACATCCCTGATGTCGCACAGCCGAGGGCCTTTTGGACTAGATCTTGTTTGATATAGTGAGAAAGAAACAGTCTGCTTCTTACACCGCTGAACATCTGCAGCACAGACAGCCTAAATCTTTTTCGGATTACGGAGCCAGAAAATGAAGTATATGAGAACTTCGCTTTGAAATTCCTGTATCATCTCCAGCGACCATGTGTCTAATCTTCCCTTAAACTCACGTCACGATGAAATACACTTTTTTTCCACTATTTGTTCTAAAAAAAAGTCGGGGATTTGGGTGAACCGATGTCCCAGTTATGATGAACCTTTGTGCTGTTGTCTTTCCTAGGAACACAATCTTGCCTACACACACCCAACACACACTCCCATTGGGACTTATGAGGCCCATATGTGCAGCTGTGGACTGTGTGTGAACTCACAGTGGGAAGGGGGGAGACGTAGAGAGTGAAAGATAGATGGCATGCAACGTTGTTTTCTGTTTGCTGTCAGTGAGGGCTTTGCCATCTGCAAATGGGGAGACCACACCAGTGTCTGCTCCACTTGTTTGTCCGCATAGAGAGATTCTTCAACCAACCCCTGTGTAAACTTTACAACACGCCTAGGCACAGCTGCAGATACAGACAGCTAACACATTGAAGCACTGAACAGCAGAGGTCCTAAAAAGATTTCAGTCCCTGGATGAGGCTGTTTGTACACAGGGTGGATTGTCTATTGATCAAGAAAATGAAGTAAACTAGTCCGAGGAATGAGCTCACACATATTTCTTCCACTGACACGCTCCATAGCTTTGAGATTGTATAAAACTGGAGAGCAAAAATGAGCCACAAAAACGCGTGCAGAGGCTCAGAAACAACTCACGGTGAACTGACAATCAAAACAAACTTTTACCTGTAGACTGAGTGCAATCTGACGGATGTACATCATATTCAGATCCTCCAATATCCAAAGTTTTTCCTCCATGTTTGCGAGCGTATCAAGTGGCATCCTTCAAGCAGATATCCACAAGGTAACCCTTCTCGAAGTCAGTGATCCGGTGAAAAGCGCTACCCCGCAGGTACTGAGGAGAGAAAGTTCATTATGACGCTGTCCTGTTCACTCACGACTCGTGCGTAAAGCAATGCGTAAAAGTTATCCAAAACAACACAAGTCACTCCGGGAAAGACGATAGATGTGGTTTGGATGCACGCACAGGCTGCACTGTGATAATCATGTCCGTGAAAATCCCTCCAGCCCGTCCACAGCGCGTATTCTTCTTCTCTACTTTCCTGCAGGGCAACAAAGATTCTCTCAAACACCCACAGTCAACACCCAGCGGTAGCGGAGGAAGAATGAAGCCTTTTAAAATGCAGTCCTCCTCTTTGTGTCCCCGGTCCCAGCTGCGAATGCCGTCTGTCCTCTGTGTGACAAGAGACCTCTCCACAAAAGGGCATCGCCTCTGCGGGAGTGATCGACACAACTAGACCACTGTGTGCGCCCTGACGCGCCCCAACTCGGCGCTACATTAACCCCTACGACGCGTCTCTGGTGATGGTAATGAACTTTATGAAAGAAGAAAGAGGGGGGGAAACAGAGGGCGAGATTACTGTAGGAGCCCCCACGCCCTTTTAAGCAAACAAATAGCAAATACCACAGGACTACACAGGCGGAGAGGGGTGGGGAGCTTTGTTCTTTTTTAACAGGCTGATAATAAATGGAGAAATTAAAAGCGTGTCAGCTGGTGCTCCTCAGGAGGGCGAGAGTGTAAATGATCTTTCACCAAGATCACCAAACAAATGGCCACTTAAGATAACAGTTTTCAAAAAATAAAAAATTATACGCTATTGGATAGACTTATTCGGAAACACGTTTGTGCTGTGGTCTAACAAAGACCAAACGACATGGAGTATGTATTTGTGTAGTAAAATTTAAAGCTTAGTAGGTCAGGGGGTCACAAACATTTGGCAAATCCGTATACATATTTCATGGCACAATTCCCCAGAATCACAGATCGCTTCAATCTTTTATTGCTCAACGTTTTAAATATTAATATAAGTCTCTCTTAGAAAGTCTTACCGAATCTATCCAAATATCTGCATCCAAATTAAGCGTTGACTTCACAGAGTTTAGTTACATCACGATATAGGAATAGGAATTAGGCCTGCCTACTTTTAAGTGCAGCGATTACACTGATATCAACAACAAAAAAAGGTTTTAAGTCCAATGGCGAGAACTCTAAACCCAGTTTCCGGTCCCCTCAAAACAAGAAAATCCAAAAGTTTACGCCATGAGACTTGGAGACACAAAGTGGACTGATGGTTCCGCTTTCATGCCGTGGGGAAAGTTGTGTACAGTCAACCTCTTCAGAGCAAACACGTCCAGCAGTGAGTCAAACACTCATCCTGTCCTCCTCTGCAGCGCGTCACTCGTGGACCTCAGACAGCTGTGTGTTTGCAAGTGTGTGGAGAGAAAGAGAGGAAGAGGCACGTGTGTTTTGAGTGTGTGTGAATCAGTCATTGTGAGTCGTGGGTGAGACGAGGGTGCGCAAACACGAAGCCCACTCCTCACCAGGAAACCGGCGTCACAATGGGCGCTAAGGCACTTCAATTAAAGCTCACTCATTCTTCCGGTATTCATCTACATACGGGGGCGCGCGGGGAGGGGTCACTGACTTATTTCAGAGAAGAGGATTATCCCTTACATCTTTAAAGGGATATTCCGGCGTAAAATTAAGTTATGGTCAAACACACCGTAACACCGAGTTAGACACCCCCCCTTGAGAGATAAATGTTGCTGACCGCTTGCTTCTCTAGTTATACCAACTTAAGTTACGACCGCACAATAGCAATACACAGTGATCTGAGGAACCATAAACAAACCTCAACCAAAACTCCACTGTAACTTCATCAACAGTACATATAGGGTCCCAGCCACAGCACTAGCCACCAAACATCTTTTTTTAGCTTTGCCTAATTTCTTTAGCAAAGAGACCAAACACAACTCACCTACTCTCTTCCAGCAGCCGATTGTTTGTACAGAGACCTTGGGCCAGTCCATTACGGACTGCTGCGGGGTGACACAACTCAAGGAAGAACATTTATGATCATTAGTTCAAGGAAATGATAAAGAAATGATCATAAATGTTCTTCCTTGAGCTGCGTCACCCCGCAGCAGTCCATAATGGACTGGCCTGAGGTCTCACTACAAACAAGCGGCTGCTGGAAGAGAGTAGGTGAGGTGTGTTTAGTCTCTTTGCTAAAGAAACTAGGCAAAGTAAAAAAGATGTTTGGTGGCTAGTGCTGTGGCTGGGACCCTATACGTACTGTTGATGAAGTTAGGTGCTGTTCTGAGCATTATTTGTGGCTGTAAAGTGGCGTTTTGGTTCAGGTTTGTTTATGGCTCCTCAGACCGCTGTGTATTGCCATCCTGCAGTCGTTACTCAAGTTGGTATAGCTAGAGAAGCAAGTGGTCGGCAACATTCATCTCTCAAGGGGTTGTCTTGCTCGGTGTTATGGTGTGTTTGACCCTAATTAATTTTATGCCAGAATATCCCTTTAAGTTTTAGAGAGGAAAACATTAGGGTGATGATTTTGATGTATACCACCTTGACTTGACTTTTAGCCCCCTCCTCTCCACTCAAGTATCCCCCTGGCCCTCCATCACCCAGGAAAATGTCCTCTAAACTCCTTCACTCCAGCAAACAGTGAAAACAAAGGAGCTGTAAAAAGCCCTTTCACCTTCAAGGAGAGGAGGGGAGCAGCCAGGGGTGCCGGTAGCAAAGCTGCCGGGTCATTTCCCCAAGAAAAGCCTCCACCCTTAAAGTTTAAATCACCCGGCTAATCCATTGCAGACACCAACATACACACAGCCAGAGAGGAGATTTATTGTTCTGGAGGTGGAAGGAGAAATAGTTGAGGTGAATGCTTGGAGGGCGAGGGCTCACAAAACATTCAGCTGGTCTTGTGCAAGTGTGTGTGAATGCATTCAGCTCATATATCACTGTGTGTAGTCATATTCAGTTTGAAAGTGGGTCTTGAATGCTGCTGCACTGTAAAAAATATTCCCTTTGACAAAAACTTAAACTCCTTAAACGCTGGTGTTTTGTTGAAACAGACTTGCCTCCTGGGCTGATGTTGTTTTTCAAGAATGAACAAGAAAAATGACAACAGTTCATTTTTCTAAAACCACGTAATCCATTTAGTCTCTTTAGTCTCTCTAATAAAGCAGCAGCAGCAGCTCCAAACTGCAGGTAAATCTCTGTACAATTCAACACAAAGACCGACACCTCATGACAAAGCCCAGAGGCTGAACAGAAACAGACAGAAAACAGCTATTATCTCAATGACAGGGCATGCTGGCAGGCAGGCAGGTAGGCGGGCCACCAGCTCAAACACAGAGCCTCACTGATTCTTGGCTTGGGGCCACAGAAGACGAGTCAAAAGCAGGTGTTCCGAGAGTGAAAAGGCCTCGCAGCTTCAGGCCTGACTGGGATTTTATTTAGTTAAATGGTGATCAAGCACTGATGGGACAATGCTTCAACAGGCTGTGGCTAAAGACTCCATCTAACTGTGGTGGAGCCAGTCGGTTAATTGGCTGCCACGGGGGAAGAGTAAAAGTGATGTGTGTTACAGAGTCAGCCAAGGCTACCTCTGCGGTTGGACAAAAACAGGAAGCAAAACACTCGCATTAATCACCTCTTACATGAAGAGATTAGAAAATATGGCCATTTGGAGAAAACAGCGGCGCAGTTGCATAATATGTTCTGAAAGGGGTAGTATTGCTCTCAGGACAATGGTCGGTATGATTTCATGTTTATGGATGGAAGTGTGGAGAAATATGGTGAACTTCCCGTCCCTACACCATATCAGCTGGAGGAAACATGCTGGAGTCAGAGCCGAGGGGGACTCTGTCAGTCTGTGGTGATGTATTGAGCTACAAGGATTGTTGCAGATGAATACTATTTGTGTTCAGGTGAATATAAAACAGTTACATAAAGTCATTTTCTCAGTGCAGGACATGAAAAGGATTGTTTGTATTTGTTAAGCTGCCGTAGCGATGGCGACCATTCTCTATTTGCTGTAATACCTCCTGCCATATTTGCTGGTGGTTGATTATTTGGCAAGTCAAGTTGCAAGAGTCAAACAGACAACCTACAAAATCTTTAGCTAACCTTTTATATTCACAATTTTTAGGGGGTGTGTGGAAAATCTGTAATGTGTCAACTAAGGCTGTTGCAGTACAATGGCATCGATGGTAACAATGAGTATCTTTCAACTGAGGATAGACAAAGAGGAGGTATTAGGCTGCTGGCAGGCCCAATAAGATATTTCAAAAACTGATTTTCCAAGATTTAATGTGAATCCAAAAACATGTCAAAGCCAGTATCTCTTTTGGTTACTAATCAATTGATCATTTCTACTTTTATCACTGTATTATTTTTTTATATTGGTTTCATTCAGAGCCACAACTGATGATCTACTACATGTAGTATACTTCAATATAAAAGTACTGTTTCACCATACAGGAAATAAAGCACCTGAAACACAAGATAGAAAAACAAGTGAATAAAAGCATGAGAATCGTTAATGTTGTGGTGTTTGCTCCATAAGACTTTCAGTCACAGGACTAATGATGATCTTAAATTTGAATGTTTTTCGAAATGGAAGACGGCTGTAACTGTTTGACTCTTTATCAACAAAATGATTTGCGGTTATTGTACAAATATCAAAGTCTGTATTTTAGATATTTTCTATGATCACATATTTTCCTTGATTTTTTCTTTTCCCCTCAGCCATCACGCTATATCTCAACTTACTGCGTGAAAGCTTGGCCATATCAGCAAAATGACTTCTTATTTGTAGCAGTAAAGGCAATATTTATTACCCGTCTATTGATCCTGTCCATATAGGAGTTATTATGCCTCAAAGCTGTAGTCTGCATCAACGTCAAGTGAGTGTAGAAAACATTTCAGGACCAGAAGCTCATTTAATGAACCGTGGTGTGTGTCTACATCAAAAGCTTTACGCAACCACCTTCAATTTTTAGCTTCAGTTTGTCTTTACAGAAAGTCTTCCAACCCTGGAGCTCATTAAAACCTGCATAATCACACATGTTCCCTGTCCATTAAAACTGAAATGATATTTTGTTTCTGGATTCATAAAAGCTTGTGTGAGGAGAAAGTGTCAGCAAAGCAGCTAAAGAAACAGTCATGTTTTTTAAGAATGTCCTCAAAATAATTAAAACAAGTGATATATTTGACTGTCACAAGTCAGCAGCAAGAGAACTTTTTTGAGAGTCAGTAAACCATGTGGATGACAGGATACGCAATCACTTTTTTGTACACAGGGGGCGACAAAGTTGACACAAACCTAAAGTTCCTCATAGGAGCTTTAATTTACACTTATGAACTGGATTGAACCGATGGAATAAAGGCACAAGCTTCACAAACAAAACTCTATTTGTAAGAAATAACGATAAAACCTAAATATTATCAAACTCTGTGATCTGCAGGACACAGAGTTCAGACCAACCAAGAAAGGGCAAAGAGGACGGAGGTTATGAAGATTCATCATAAATGGTTAAGAAAAACAGCACATGAAAAATGATCCTTCAAATGTTATCAAGATTTGATCAGCACTATCGTATTGCTTCAAAAAGCATTACAACCTTTCCCCTTCACTTCTTTAAGTTTGTGCTAAAGGTTAGAGGCTAACTTTAAAACTTTAAACACATTATCTGTGCAGTGAAACAGTGGAGGGCCCCCGACCAGCTGGGCCCCAAACCACAACAAAGCGCCCTGAGTGTCATCTAGACGCAACTTGAAAACTGAAACCCACCCACATTTGAAGCACACTGAAGCCTACACACACACACACACACACACCCAAATCTAAACTTACACACAAAACCAAACACTTATGGATAAACAGACATAAACAAAGTGAACATAGTAAACACCAACACTCAGAAAATACAGTGTCTGACATTTTGAGACGACTGCAGCTGATGTAGGTTTGCTTGTTTGTTTGTTTGTATCAGACAAACTTTGTGTGTTGTTTCCCTCAGATGGCAATGACAGAGTTATCACAGAAAATTCCCTCAGGGGATTTTTACAAATTCACTCGGTTGATTGCCCCAAAAAACAGGGAAGGAAAAAGATTTTTCTCATCTGATTTGGAGCCGCAAACTGAAGACGGAGTCTGCCAAACACAAGGTTTCTAATCTGTTCCAGTTTAACATGCAGAGCCACGCAATTAATCCATCAATCACAGGAGGAGTCAAAAGAAATCTAATCCACAAATCTTTTGAATATCTAATCTATTGCTCTGTCAACACACACTCTTTAGGGTAACTTATTGGATGTCAAACTTGGCTGTTTTTGTTATGTGATAACTTGACTTTACAGGGTTTGGCCTATTAACAGAAGCTATCTGAAAACTTTGAGATCTGGAAATTTTTTTGGGTATTAGTCACAATTTAAAGGGATATTCCAGCAAAAAATTAAGTTAGGGTTAAACACACAGTTAGACACCCCTTGAGAGATGAATGTTGCTGACCGCTTGCTTCTCTAGTTATACCAACTGCAGAAACGACCGCACGATAGCAATACACAGTGGTCTGAGGAGCCATAAACAAACTTCAACCAAAACGCCACTCAATAGCCACAAATAATGCTCAGAACAGCACCTAACTTCATCAACAGTACAAATAGGGTCCCAGCCATAGTACTAGCCATCAAACATCTTTTTAACTTTGCCTGATTCCTTTAGCAAAGAGACTAAACAGACTAACCTACTCTCTTCCAGCAGCCGCTTGTTTGTATGGAGACCTCGAGCCAGACCATTGCGGACTGCTGTGGGGTGACGCAGCTCAAGGAAGAACATTTATGATCATTTCTTCATGGAAATGCAATCTGATCGAGACACTAGGCAGAAGAACTACCGCGTCTGCAGTGCAGAATGATTGATATGATGATTATTACTTCAAGGAAATGATAAAGTAATGATCATAAATGTTCTAGACGAGCAAAGGGTAGGTAACATTAACCTCACGACTGGGTGTCTAACTCGGTGTTACGGTGTGTTTGAGCCTAACTTAATGTTAAGCTGAAATATCCCTTTAAGATCTTCAAAAGACTTCACCAACAATAATCTTACATTGGCCACAAAGGCAAACAACGAAATTTCCTGTGACAGTGTGCTGATCAAAATAAATAAAAAAGTTTGAGCAAAATGGGAAAAGACTACCAGACCAGCAGCAGTTCAAACATCTCTACTTAAAAAAGAGTAATCCTCCTCAGATTTGAATATCACAGGACCTGAATTCTTAAATTACACGGCTGTGTTACAGCGGGCGTGGGGTCACATCTGCTCAGCGTGTGAAGACAGGAGCTGTGAAACCACACGTATCAGGGGGAAAAAATCCCCCTGGAGGTCACCAATTCTCGATTATAGAGCATGAAAAAGCGGCCGGCGCTGACAGCCACACAGTCATAACTCAGACACAGAGACGCACTAATGTCATCGCTAAATCTCACCCAGCGTCTACCTTGTTATTAGGTGAGTCAGTGACTGATCTTGACTCTACGTTCAGATTAGATACAGAGAGTGTTACGATGATGCATTTTGTAAAGAACGTTCTGCTCTAGAAACATGATCAAAACCTGAGTAATGTTGGAAATGACGCCAAGCATAAACACATGAATAATACTGCTGCTGCTCTTCTTCTCTTAGAAATGAAAGGACAGGATGGATGTGTCACAGTTCATGGACCAGCTCAAAAAAAGCTGAAGCAGCTCAACTTATCATCAGCAATAACAGACCAGGGAGTCTGTTTAGCACCTGGTTTTAAGGAGCCATCTTATTTCTCAATTTTACTCATAGCTATGAAGGAAGACCTGGCGCCAGCACTCAGTCATACACACACAAATACACAAAACGGCGAGGAGCCAGAGCGCTCTGGCAGCTTCCCAGAATCAGCCCTCAAACCTAACAAAGAAGAACAAAGCAGATGTTTCCTGCAAAAAAACCCAGACATGACTCAGATACAAGAATAAGAGACAAAGACAAAGACAGACACAACAAAACTTATCGTTCCATCTATAAATTCATGGCTTCAAAAACATGAATTTATGCACAATGAGGTCGCTTCAGCCAGACCATGAAACATGTGTTTGTAGAGCTGCTGTCTGTAGTAAAAGTCTGCTTCAGTAACATTTAAAACAGCAGCCTCCCGTGTAAACATCTGCAGAAGCAATAAAAAGATCTAAACATCTGCAGAGGGGACTTGAGGGGGGAGACAGTAGCTCAGGCTGACAGGAAAAACATCTTGAAATCCAGCTGATTCCTGCTCAGCTCACAGAAACTGTCTAATGAGATAAGAGATTTAACAAGGTGCTGAACATGATGTCAATATGGAGAAATCACTCTGCTCATTGATTCTGTCTAATCCACATTAACAGACATCTCAACTCAACTCTCTCACTGATTATACATTTCCCGTGCTGGTGATCGTGGAGCGTTTGTTTTGGGGAAAAAAATGACGTTTTTTTTATGTATAACTTTGTGAAAACAGTTTCAGCTTAGTCATCAGCCACACAAACATCTCTTTGTCTGCTGGTTGTCTCACCTGACTGGCTAGTGTCGACTTCAGGGATTCTGCTGGTGAGAGCTGAGTTAAATAAATAAAAGACACACTGGAGTCTTAAAGATTAATGCACCACATTGTATAAGACAGCTTACTGTGGTGTACTTAAGCATACGATTCTGTCTCAAACATAGCCTGAAAATCAAAGATGATATAGAAATATAAAATGATAAACAAGCAGAGAATTCCCACATTTGAGGAGTCAGCAATTGTGGATAAGTTCATAGCTTTTTATTGGAGCAAATTGGAGCAATTGTAACTTTTAGGGGAGGTTGATGAGAGGTCATAAACATACAAAGATGAGATGAAATGGAAATATCACAGTATGAGTGGAAAGCTGGAAAAAGATGGCACCATCAGTCACAATAATTGTAAAGCAAAGGTGGAGTGAAACTTCTTAAACTTTCGGTTTAAACTTTCTAATTGGTTCACTCGTGTAATACTCAAAGTTTATCTTCTTAATGTCATTGGCACTCTGACTATAACTTCTTTAGAGAGGAGATCACCTCATAAACCACTGTTTGTGATGGTTCATTATGACATTTTTACTCTTGCATTTGTTTTCGGATTCATAATAAATCTTTGGACATCAGTTTTAAAAGTGTTTGATCATCTTTTTCTGGCAAGCTAGCTGCTGCTGCTCCTGCTCGTTCCTACATGTTATGGCGATTATGGCGCCTTTTGTGGACATGGCAGCCTTTGCTTGATGATTTTTGACGGTCAAAAGTGTCATTAAATAAGAATATCTTATACGGGAATTGTTTCTTTAGCTGTCTGGCTAACACCCAACCCCTCACACCAGTTTAGGAATTAAAAATTATGACACAAAATCGTCAATCTTGTCAATAACGGCCTTGTTTAAACTCGTTTGTCATCAATATGAATTTCCATCAGTTTCATTAACATCAAAAAACTCCCTGTAGGAGCTTTTTAGTGCTTACAGCTGCATCTTCGACTTTATAGAGCCAGCTTAGCTAAAGAGCACAAAGTGTAATTCAACAAGATCCAGCAACGTTGTTATGATTTATTCCTTTTCATTTTTACCACCTCGTCTCCCCTTTTCACTTCACTGTATGAACATAAATTCACAACATCTTTCAAAACTTCAGAATACAAAGCCTCTGAATCCAAATTAGTAAACATTTATCAAACTCATCGCTGTCTTTCTTCCTAAAAAACAGGCAATAAGAGGGAAGTAGCACCAGACATGATGAAAGGAATCGCCGAATCAGCAAGAAAAAGACGAGGATACAACCAGATCTGACAGTACGCCGTCTGCCACTGGGCCCAGTAAACAAACACATTAAAACACAGGCATGCTGGCAGGGACTTGTGCACTATGCAGCATGCAGGGAAAGGCAGACATGCATAATAGACCCATCTGCTCCTATAAAGTGAAACACCTGCTCGGCATCATCAGAAAATGGAGCGGCATCATTGGTGGTTTTGCCCCTTTAACCTCTCCTCCACACAAATTCATGCAGTGATCCGCTGGCCCCGGCTACACCTGCGATAGGGGAATGCGGACTCTCTCCTGCCCTAAATTATTTGGTCTTTTTAAACAGTTTGAGGTTAAAGCTGCAGTACAACTAATCCATCAACAGAACAGCTACAGATGTTGGTTATTACACACAGTTCACAGCGGGCATGTCGGTCGAACTCATCGCTTAGTTACCCGGTGTGATTACACAAAGTGAAAACAAAGGTACAATCAGAGCGGGAGCAGACATGAACAGCACACCTACCAGCGAGCACACACACTCACCTAATGTGCCTAGAAACATTTCACAGTATTGATTCCTCTCTGAGAGCATTTCTTTGTATGAAGGAGAAGCTCTGACTCTATTTCACAGTAAAGTCAGGGAGTTATGTGGTGTACAGGGGCAAGAGGATAAAAAACGCTTTGACTTAGAAATAAAACAGAAGAAAGAAGAGACTCAAGGAGTGGAGAAGAAGCAGCATGACAGGGTGACAGAGGAGCGGCCCTTTTTTCTTGAACATTAATGATGTGTGGAGTGAAGGTTAATAGCTTGTCCCTCAGAGTGTTGTAACTGATTCATGCAGACTGCAAAAGTTTGTCTTTTCCTCACCTCCATATGTGGGTTAATGCCGACTTAAAACAGTGTGTTGCAGATATTTCCAACTGAAGTTTGCAACTCCTCCCCAAAATTTTGCAAAAACCCAGACATATCTTGCCTTCTGTATTACCATGAAATCCGTATTTGTTTCGGTAATTCCTGCAGGATTTGCAAAGTTACACAATAGCATGCACTTGCCACTGTTATTTTAGGTGTCTAGCATTTTTTTTCTCCTTTTTTTCTTTTTGGGAGAGTTGCAATTTTCCACACAGACAAAAATCCTCTCATGTTTCTGAGCCCTCAGTGATAAGTCAAAGGGGCTGACAACAGGACTGTAAATGAAACCACACTGGAATTTGTGTGTGCGTGTGTGTTTGCGTGTGTGAGTTTTTGTCAATGTTTTACAGAGCAGTACACAGTGGGGGTCTTATGTTCACAGGAAGGAGATACCTTTGTCATGAGGCAGTCGGGTTCTGGGTTACAGTCTGTTAGACACAGGCACCATGGATTCTGTTTAAGGTCTCTTGTGCGATGATGCGCACAAAGACAAACAGTGAAAATATATGATTGAGAGATAAAGGGACTTAAAACAAACAGTAATCTTCTACAGCTGTCTAGAGGTAAAGACAAAAGAGGACTTCCTCCCTTGTCTCTGATCTGGATCAGGAAAGTGGGTTAGCGGTACAGCACTAGACAAGGAGAACAAACTCTGCTGCTGTGTCGGGGGACCTGAGCCTCGGAGAGGTGATGCGGCCCACATAATGTGACTCTCCTGGGGAAGCGGAGGCGGTGATAGATTAGGAAGAAAGAAACAGCGGAGGGATGGGGAAGCTCACAGGGCAGAGGGCAGGTTTAGACATGATGGTAGCAGCCGCTTTCCCAATCTTTACATAGAATAAACAATCCCTTTTTTTTGTTTCGCACATCATTCACACACTAATCTCATTTTTTTCTTATGTGACTCAGTGCCATTCAATTTGTCATATGAGAACTTTTTACTGTCACAGATTTTTCTATGTGCCAACCAAGATTTTCCATGAGAAGATTAACTTCCTGGGGGACTGGTAGTAAAAGTGCTACCACAATAGAAGTCCAAAAGAAGACAGAAACCAAAATGGCCTTTTGGCAGAGCTCGACATCGTACATTTGCCTGCCAAATTTCTACTACAGAGATACTGCAGGGGCTGAATTTCTAAAATTTCTTATATTGTGGGGTTTGACAGGTTGGTTCCTCAAAGGAAATGAACGTCAATACTTTAACTGTTGTATTGTCCACATAAGAGTGAAAATATTAGGTCGAAAACTAAACAGTTCTAGGTTACCCTGATCCACTTTACTAACTTTGATAGTAAGCGAAAGAGACAGGTTTGATGATGCATGGGGGGAAGTTTCCCATCTGGGGGGAAACTGTGGGAAAGTATCCAGCGATTACTCCACCTCCATCTATCTCTCCATCTGTCTGTTAACCGAGTCAGTGCCAGTGACAGCCTCGCTCAGACCAGCAAACAGAGTGTGAACAAAGCCCGTCTGTGTCTGGGAATACGCAATGGACCTTGCTCAAGGAGACGCTGCTGCTTAGTCACTGTCTAAAGGTGTGTGTGTGCGAGTGAGTGAGTGAGTGAGGGAGAGCATGTGTGAGGCTGACAGACTGAAATGATCATGAATGACTAATGAAGGGTTGAAAACAGCAGCTTTCATTCATGCCATCATAAGAAAAGGAGGTCTGACAATGAAGAGATACAGACATAATGACTGTATCTGTGACTCATTTCCTGTGTGTGTGCATATACATGTCTGTTATCTATAGTTTCTCTCTTTTAGCGCCTTGTTCAGAGTGGAGTCTTGTACTGTACAGAAAATAAAGTGTGTGTATGTGTGGTTGGATGGGTGGGTGGGGTACACTTGCAACATCAGCAGTGAACCCTCAGCTGTTAAACTGCACCCTGACACCAGCTGCCACACACCGAGGCCGCTAACCACATACCAAGGCTAGAGCACTTCACATTTTGAACATGTATGACCCTCAAACTTAAGGAAGTCCGCTCTGAGTCTATTTACAGCAATTCCTGTTGGTTATTCTGAATATCAGCAATCCTTTTCATTTATTATGTAATTAATATATGGGCTTATTCATACTTTTATTGAGAGAATGAGACAAACTGATACAAGGTTGGACAAAGCTGTGCAGTTCAGACTAGGCTATATCTGACAGTAATGCTAGTTAAACCTTTAGCACAGTGAGGCTTTGTGTACACCATTAGCCCACGGCAACTTGAATCTCCCATAATGCTCAAAGCTTTGTTATAGACAGCAATAATGTCAATGAATTTTTGATTAAGGGCTTGTTGGTCACTGCAATTTATCTTAGCATTGCCAAGCATTGTTTATTGACTCTTTGGTGCAGTTCAAGATGATTGTTCTTGAGTTGCACATTTAAACATTGCACTTATTTTTCCTCTTATCCTGCAAGTATCTATTTTGTTGACTGTTTAACGCATTTCAAAATACCCCACTAAGCAACAGACGGCTGTTGGATATCTATTTTTTTTTTTTACACCTAATTTTAACTACAGTTTGTATGTTTTTCGTCTGAATTTTAGACGTTGCACTTTAACCCATTATTTGATAGTTATTTATTTAAAAAGGCAACTGTGAGTTGCATAACTGATCTCCAAGCACTTAACCAAAATGAAAAGATAGCCGTCGAGCAATATACAGTGTAGTATGAGTATAGACCTCCGTTAGCCGGCTAAACTTGGTTTCAATTTAGACGTCTAAAAAAACCTTTCATTTTTAGACCTGTGGTTGCCCGATCTTAGACCAGTCATCTAGGCTACATTTAGACGTCTATTAGACCTCTGTTGGACCAAAAAAAGCTCAGTGGGACTTCCACAGAGCTGAGATTTTGAAGGTCAATTCTGGCATAATTAATATGCCACCTTATATGTGGTATTTATTCGAAGAAGTTGTCATACTTTCCAACGCTAATACTTTTGATAAGCCAACTGATGAATCGACTATACTCACTGCACAGCAGCATGAAACTACGCTATATTCACTCCTCAAAAAACTCCTCAAACGTTACCTTGAAAACAGCCGTTTTATCTCCAAAGTCAAAGGCCTTGAATGGTCTGTCCAGCATATCCGGTCAGAGAGACAAAGATAAGACAAGACTGTGGGGGGAAAAGTACTGTCCTTGTGTCTGCTGAGAAGAATCAATGCAAGAAGACATCCGTTAACTATGAGACCAATTGTTGTGTCAGCCTGTGCCGGTCAGATGAAATAGCAAGAAAGCAAAGAGCTTTGGAGCCTTTGAGTTCCCACATCAAGTGAACAAATCCTCTGTATATTTTTAGATTGTGAGCCATTACTTTGTAAGTTCACGGTGAAAAAGAACAAATTCAAAGCTGGGATGGATTAACATTGCAAAACAGTAAGGGTATTATGTGAATTACATTTGTTTCTGGTAATTTCCTACAAAAACAAGCAGCCTATTGTTTGATAGCCAACTGTATCATAAATGTCTTTTGCATAGGGAAATAAAGGATGTGTGTGTCTGTATGTGTAACAGGGGCTCAATCTCTGTTAAATACTTCATTTGAACAATGCAGGTTTGTTCTCTTTCACCAGACTTATTATGCGAACAGTCCACGGGAACAACAGTGGGACAGTAGTTGAATTTTTACGCACAGCTTGAAGAGACCGAGATTAAACAATTTGTCATGTACTCATGCAAAGGCCAAGCAGTAACAAAGCTCCACAATGATAAATACACAACACTGTGGTAATAAAAAAAGTTAAACATTTGCTAGTTAAAACATCCCTCAGCATACCGAGAAAGCCTCCGAGCAGAAAGCTCCAGCGGTCCAGCTTTGTTAGAGAGGAAGGGTCTTAGAAGGGGCAGATTACTCTCTGGCATCTCTCCTTGCACCCCTGCAGTGTTCAACATGTCAAAAAGCCTAAAGGGTGCACACTCACTTCGGGGTTCGGGCAGTTAGAGGCACTACCGGGGAGTTTAGCATGAATTTGGAAGATTTGTGTTGAAAACCTGATAGCTTTCTTGCAGAGCTCAATGCAGGCCACGCTTGCCAGCTTGCTACGCATAGGATGCATCCTCTTAAGAAGGCCCTTCAGCTCTGCATTTCATGCCTCAGCACTAGCCTCGGTTTAGGGATTCAGTGCAGTGATGGCCAATTGTTCTCTGGGTATACAGAGCTGCCTTGAGAGGGAGATTCAGGGGGGAATGATTTTGGCATTCCTTGAAAACGACTTTGTCTTGAGAGGTTCATGGTCTGAGAGGTGCTTCCTTTTTGGCAGGCAGAAGTGTCGCCCTGGAAACATCTATATGTCCTCCCTCTCTCACTCTCTCTCTTTCTCTCTTGTGTGAGTGTGAGTGGGGAGGTAACATATGCTCACATAAAGAGGAATCACAGTTTTCTGCCAGGCCACATTTAACATTGGGAGAAGCCACACTGAGCGGCTGCTTACAGTGCAAGTTCTCTAAACTATAAACCATACATCTGAGCATCTGGAGAAACGATATCAGTTAAACAGTATCTCAGACCGGGGAGAAATAACACCAGGAGGCATCAGATTTTACTGAGACAAGCAAAATATGCCTCATACCTGATCAGAATATGCAAAAAAGTGTGAAAACTCTGCCAAACCTAATCCTATTATGAGCTACATAACATCGCCCTCATTTCAAAATATGAGTTGCTACACAGCTGGTGTGACCACGAAATCTTTTACAGGTGGGTGAATGTATATCAAGCATGGGAACACCTATATTTCCCAAAATGTTCCTTTAGCCTCTGGTGTGTTCGGTTTATACGGATAGATTTTGGTGAGGATGTGTGGATCTACAGGGCGGAGAAGGGCAGAGCACCAAAACCAACCAAACCACAGCCTGAGAGCTCTTAAACCTTTTACTCAACACAAATGGCCGACTCCCATCCCTCGCCATACACTGCAGCATGCTGGGAGAGTGTGTGGGCGGATGGGTGTGCCATCGCACACATGTAACCACTTCCTGGCCGTGCATAGCTGGTGCTAGCCAATGTGGCGTGGACTAGTAGGGGCCAGCCTTGAGTTAAACATAATGCAGAGTGTCAAAATAGATGACATTCCAGCTCCGCCTCCATAGTAATAATAACCACACTAACCAGCGCTCCTTCTGCAGGCCTGGGTGGCTTCAGCTGAGACAGCAGAGCCGACAATGGGCGGTAGAGTGCAGAGACACACTTTAGTGGCCTTGTGCACTAGAGAGGAGGGATGTAGAAAGCAGATGTATTCTCAGTTCAGGCGGAGGATGGACAGGATGGCTGCAGAATGAATTTCAGAACAAATGCATGTAATCTTTTGCTGGGTTTCTCATTCTCTCTCCACTCTCTGGCTGTATTACCCTGTCAATTTGTGATCCGCACACAGCAGAATGATTCAGCACCAGCAGACCAGAAAAGGACAGACAGTCAGGACTTGGGTAACACTGAGGTTTCTGAATTGAATTCTCAGGAAAACAGTAACCTGCCAATACTTCAACTGATCAAATGGCTAAACTTAACGCTTGGCCATAGTTAAAACTTTTTAATCTTTTATTTTGCGGAAGTGATAAACATTATCTGGCAAATAGTGCCCAGAAGTCCCCAAGGCATGTAGATTAATAATAGCAGTGATTTCAACTCAGAAAACAAAGCTCTGGGCGTTTTTTGCCTCCAGCCTCCATGCAGGCTCATTAACAAACACGCACACACTCTTGCTGGGTTTGCTCTGATTTTGCTCTATATAAAGGACGCTTAAAGAGTCTCTTTGACGATAATCACACAAATTAATGCTTTATTCTTCAGCTAATCAAATGTGCTATCAGTCATCATAGCCACTTTCCAGGACTCTAAATAAACGTAATGTTCGCATTTTCTTAAAGACTTTAAGGTTTATTTTTTTGCCTGTCCCTGTGCTGCATGAGTGTGTGCAGTTTGCATAAGGTTTTTATCCCCTTGCACTCCATGTTTGACAGCAGGAGCGTGTAAAGTAATTCCTTTCCGATATCTTTTTTATACCGGATGCACATTTTCCCTCTTTGCATGCATACAAATGAGCGTGCAATACACAGCTAGCACTCCTTATATTGGGCTCAGTCCAAAACAGGAGCCTTTCTTTATCAGCTGTTTGAGTCCTGTTCATTTCATCCTCTGATAACAAATCACAACTCCACAAAAACCACCTTTACATGCAAACATTTACATAAGAGGCTCAAATGCTGGCAAAAAACACACAGACGCACACACAGACACACACGTGTTTTCCGTTGGCACAGTGAAAATAGGGTGCTTTCACAGTGAGGTGGCCTGCTTCATTGAAATGCCACAGGCTGGTTCCATGGTGGCACTGAGAGAGCCGGAGGAGAGCCCCGCAGTCTGAAAGAGGATCATTAGCATTGGCAACAAAGGCGGAGGCACAAATTAAAGTTGTATGAGAATCAGCGCGGAGCAAATGACAGAGTTAAGGAAGCCGTGATTGTTGTTGTTGTGAAAAGACAGGAAGGCTTTACCCTGATAAATAACTCACAGAGACTACACAGGGAAAAGGGGTGGTCAGTGTTTTTCCACCTGTTTGATTATCCTCACTTTCAGGCTAAACAAACACAAATAAATATGATATTAGACGAGTATCTAATGCTTGAACTGCTCTCCCTCTAACTGAGAAATCCTCCTCAACTCACTCCATGTGAAACAAATCCGAACACAAGCGTGATCCTGCTCTCTTCTGGGAAATGCTGTAAAGACTTGGCCACATTGACACTACAGCTCCCTCAGGAAGTGTTTAGTGTGTGTTTTTGGCCTTTTCCAGCTTGTGTGTCAAATATGATCTTCTGCTGCTCCCTCAGACACCAGATCAGGCTAATTCTGACTGCAGATCAATACAGATGAGTGTGTCTTTCTCTCCATGGATTAGCTGCGTTTTCCTGCGACATGAATTATGAACAACTAGTAGAGTGATGATGTGTTCGACCACATGTACACACTAACACTACAGCAGGGTGAAAATGCAAAGTGAGACTCAGACAGTAAATGAGAGGGACAGAATCAATACTCTATCTTTTCCATTCCCCATATTGCACCATTAACATTCCTTAAGTATCCTCTTACAATTGAGCCTCCCTCCTCCTCACTCTTCTCCTAATCTGCCGCACAGAGGCGTTCGAAAGTGTACACATGTAAAATCTGGGGTTTGTTTAACTTGAACAGACAAACAGACCTTAAACAGGAATGCGTTCCTGATGGTAAAAGCAAAGTGCGACACAAACTGCTCAGAGTTTACACAGGGAAGTGGGTCTGTTTCACAGACACAGACACACAGACAGAGGGAGGACTTTCCAATAAAGCAGTATTAATGTGGTTCATGATTACAGGTTGGATTGAAAGTCCTGTTGAGGTAGTATGGATGCCAACTTAACGGTGGATAACATGAAGCAGATGTCGAAGAAAGGAAGGGAAAAATGCTTGAAGATCTAACAGTCTGATCTGGGGATAAACAGCTGAGAGGGAAACACATGAAGGCTTTACGTCTGACCCATTTCTGAACTTCAATATGGAGTCAGTTCGGCCTTTTGCTTGCAGGTGATTACCACAAAAAAAACTTAAAGTGCAATGTGCATGCAGAAAATTACTTAAGTAGCCTATTATGCTTTTGTCAGATTAAAAACAAGCCCTCATGGAAAACAAACGCCATGTAATAACCATCTGAAAGCACCAGCGCAACAATGATTCTGAACCATTAAGAAATATTAAAACAATATCAGGGAAAATGAGAGGGAAATTAGCACTTATAAATTACTGTCAACATCCAGCTGAGCACCACACACACACAGACACAAACACACAAGCTTTTTAACTCTCTGAAGGAATATTAAAGTTCTTTGCTTAGACTGGAGTAAAATGCAAAGTAGCCTAGTTAGAAAATACTGCAATTAACTGCTTTGATTTGAGGACATGAAGGCAACAGCACAGCTCCCCAACGCTTTGTAATTAAAATGTGGCACGAAGCAAAAAAGCGAGGTTCGCACTCTCAGATGCCTTCAGAACAAGATTAAAAGTGTGCCAAATAAGTTTAGAGGGAGAGAGAGAGAGAGATCAGACAGAGTTGTAAACAGAGAATCCCCCCACAGCGTGTGTGCATTTGTGTGTTTGTTTGCTGTGAGTGTGTGTGTGTGGTGATAACTGGCGAACAATCAGACCCTACCTGTGATGTGTCCAGGAAAACGCTCTTTCTGAACTTCCCTCGCCGTATCTCCATTTCAAGGGCAGAGCCGCGGGCTACGGTAGCTCTCGCTGTTTGGTTTCGGCAAAACATCGTCTCTGCTTTCCTGGCAACTTCACAGAAAAGTCCCGGGCCGGGGAAACGTGTTAGATACAAGAACTCAAAGTGGTAGAAAGCGGGAGATATCGCTGCGAAAAACTGCAAACAAACAGTAGAGAGCTGGTCCAGGAGGAGGCGGCGGCGGCACAAAATAGTCCCACCGGAGAAAACTCCCAGGAGGTTTTGTTTCTTTTAGTCGAACCCTGAATCAAACACTGACGTTCCCTCTGATGTTTGACCCGAGTCTGAAGCCAGCCAAGACATGGAGTAAACACAAACAGAGACACGGAGTCTTTCCCCCCTCTCACAGCTGATTTTTCACTTTTCAACACACTGCCCCGTGCGTCCCACAGTGACACACTGACTGACACTCCATGTGGAGCAGCTGCTGCAGACCCCCGGCTGCGCTTTTAGGACCGCAACTCTAGGACCCTTGAATGCGATAGCACCATCTAGAGTAGTGTTTTTCAACCTTTTTAGTGCCATGGTACATGTTTTCATTAAAAAAAATCAGGAGGCACACAACCAACCAAAAATGTTACTAAATGACACTTGGTAGCCACAAATACAGTTAATACAATGACAATATAGTCTCTCAATGTATTCATACTCACCCAGAGTGAAACCTGGGGCTGTAGATTACAGCACAGACACTTGAAAATTGCACATTATTTGCAGATAATAAGTTATTTAAAAAAAAATAGACCAATAAAGTTAAATTGGATAATTTCTCACGACACACTGGGTGAAAAACACTGATCTAGAGCAGTGGTTTTCAACTGGTCTCACTCTGGGACCCACATTTTTCCATGGTCCTCAAGTCGCGGCCCACTTTTACAAAATTCAAACCGAGCAATTTTTTTTTATATATAAAAAACCTTTGAAGACTTAAATCTTTAACATAAATACACCCATTTTATCGAGTAAATTGCATCTCAGAGCACATGAATTGAGGACGACAGCTACTGAAGTTGCATAGAAAATATCAAATTGCACAAAATGGAGACCAGCAAAATGAAAAATTTTACTTATATGTATCCATGCATTCAGAGCATATTCAGTAGAACCTAAGGAGGACATGGACAAAAGTGAACAAATATCAAATTGCACAAAATAAAGAAAAAAAAACATGTTTTTTTACTGCATTCAGGCCGCATTAATAGGAAACCGAGGATGATCACAACATAACGCCTGCCTTTCAAAATAGGCTATTTAAAAAAAATAAAAAAAACATGTCAAACATTAGATGCGCATTAATGTTTGCTTTTTTGACCAGCTGTTTGCGACCCATCCAGAACGTGTCCGTGACCCACTTTTGGGTCGGGACCCACCAGTTGAGAACCACTGATCTAAAGCTCGTCAAGGTCCACATTTCATAAGTGTGGGCATGTTATTGTTAAATCTTTTTTCCTCTAAGTTATTTCTTTCATAAGTTAGGAAAAGTCGTCCAATTAAATGATATCATAGGCAAAAGAAAAGAAAAGAGAAATAGTGTGAGAAGGCTGAACAGTAGTGTACTTAAAGGGTTGGCAAGGGGGGCAACTTCCCCTCTGCCCTCCTGTCTGAAAGATAAGCAGCACTGGTGTCCTCTTGTATACTGCCACTGTGGATAAACCATCATAAAGAGCCATTTTAAATACATTTTTGGTGAAAATTTTCCAACTAAAAGCTCCTATATAGTCATCTTGTGTAAAAACAACACTGCTTTTCTAATTGATAAAAGGAGGTCGGTGCCTTGTTGGTCACTTAACTTCATAAAAAAGTTTGGTCATTATACGAGATCTGAGAGTTATGTTTAAAACTCAAGACAACTTTTGTTATTTGAGAGTCAAACCAATTAATTCTAACTTTTAATTAACTAGTTTTAAAATGACCATGTGAAGAATAACACCTTCTCACAGTAGGAAGTAGATTATTTTTATATTGTGCATAATATTATGAAGACTATTTGTTTTCCATATGCATAATTATATTTCCACCACACATTATTGCATAATTATTCAGCAGAATGCAGGGAATTAAGTGTTAGATGTTGAAAATTTCCTTGGGGACGATCTCTACTACCCCACTTTTATTGCTTGTGCCTTGCCATGTGTAAACACACCCCTGCCCCTCAGAGGTTAGAAAAACCATCTATGTTCTGTATCCTCCAGACTACCCACAGCACAGATTTCCCACCTGAGACAGGCTTAAACCAGACAGACAGAAATCAGTCAGTTATCTATCTGGGATCAAACTGGCATTGTATACCTGGCAGGAATGTAGAAGATGTCTTTGAATTACCATAGTTAAAGGGGGTATCGTGTTTTTCCGCATTTTCAACCAAAACCGAAAAGTTACCAAGTTTGGTGTCCACACTACATGTATAAAAACTAAGTTTCAAGTCATGAGATAAACAAATTTTGTCATAACCTTAGTTTATGTGTGAGTTGTACTAAAACTCTTGTGGCTGGCAGGTTGTTACTCAAAATTCTGCCTCTGGGTCTTTTTATGGTGCTTAAGTGCTGTTCCTTTCTACTATTGCAGTTTTGGCCATGCTTTTGAACCCCCACCATGTTAAAGAAATGACATAAAACAAGTCAACTCTGCAAAAAGGGCACCTAAGTGTTTTGGTGAGGACACAAGCTAAGGTGTGACCATAAATACTGTAACTCTTTACAGCCCTATTGAAAACAGTGCAAATGTAGCCTTGGTAAATCTCAGATAATAGTCCATCAGACTATAATCTCTAGCTTCAAGAATGTACTATTAATTAAATTAATATTGAGCCCCATAAATTAACCCTAACAACTAGAAAAAGCGGATTTCAAATGCTGGTCTGGGCCATTCTTTGTGGTGCAGTAAGTTACTCTTTTTCTATTTGTGTGATGTAGACCATCATTTTGAACAACAACAAAAAACCTAAAAGACCTTAAATAAAATTGTTACTATGAGGTTGTTTTGCAGTTCATTGGTCGCACTGATGGCTCATAAACAGAGAGAAATCCTGAAATGAATGTTTACCTTAAACTGTAGTCTCGGCTGCGCTTTTGAAAAACCATGATGAAACAGATAATACCTAACAACACGAGCAATGTCGAGCAGGCCTGTGGTCGGTTGCTGCCTTTGCGTGAAAGGTTCTGGATTCTAACCCAATGCAGAGATGTAATGTTATGCTTTCCTCAAACTTCAGTCTGAGCTTTGCTTTTGAACAACCAGAACAATATATTGAAAGATACAGACCTTATTCGGCAAGCCCAATTGGGCAAGTCTGTGGTTTTGTGGTTAGAGCTGCTTCTGAATGAAAAGGCTTCAGGTTTGAATCCTGGCTTGGGAATTTCTACGAGTTGGACATGTAATGCTTTCCTCACAACAAAGTCTGTGAGCTGTGCTTTGTGCAACCGAAACCAAAACCAAATGTTGCCCTGCCAGGCAGACCTGTGGTGTGGGTAGAGATGCTGGCTTTAAATGAAATGGTTATTGTTCAAATCTAGTGCAGGGGAAAGTGCAAGGTTGAAGCAGTGAGTGAAAATGGAGTTAGTCGGGTGCAATGAAGGGCAGAAAAAGTAATACATAAAGAAAAAGAAAAAGAAGAGGTAAATAAAAACATCTCCATCCTTAAGAGGGTAGAGAGTGTAGAGAATTCACAACAACTCAAAAGTTTCCTACAGCATCTTGAAAGATGGTACAGATGAGATAATCTCTGCCTCTAAAATGTGAGGTAGACTTAAGACGATGTTCAGTTGCTACTGTTTGACCTATAAAGCCCGTCTTAGAAGCTGGGAGCTGTGGCCACATGCTATGGCATATAGAAATGTATTTTCAAGCTCCTTCAACAGAGCATGAAAATCCAGCAGGGTTGTGAATCACAATCTGTGGTGGCACCAGGACACGACTGAACATGCTGGGAGAGGAATCCTGCGAGGTCAGAAAGTCATCAGAGATCAACCTTACGAAGCAGAGGTCACACCCCACAGTGTGAAAGAGGTCTGCTGGGAAGTCCCAACCTCACGACAAAAAGTTCATATACAATAAGAAGGCACATAAGAGATACTTCAAAAAATAATGTCACAACTATTATTTTTTAATCATTTTACAGTCAGAGTTGGTTTTGAAGGATAGGTTTTCCTGCCAAAAGACATTTTCATTTCCTGCACATCCATTCACTGTGCAACCCCATCCAAATCCAGCTGCATTACCCTAAACATAACAAAGAAATTACAGGCCATTAAGGTAATCAGAAAATAATCATAGCCTTGAAGAAGTTTAAAATCCTTTCTGTCACTGAAGCATGAAATTGAATGCATCAATTTGAAGTTAAAATACAAGTTAGTATCATGGAGAGCTATTGTTTATTGTGATTTTCCTTTCATTTGTAACATACCTACTAAGTTAAGGAAATTTACTGTCTGGCATCAGGATTTCAGGTTGTGCCAGTAAGCTGTTTTTCATCTCTTTTTGAATTTATAACAGCCTCATGTTGCCTGTCAATTTCATTGTAGTGTTAGTTTGTGGACTTTTGTTTGTGTTCTTTGAAAAATAAAGACGTATAAACAGCATAAGATTGTTATTGTGTACCCCATGCAGTAGTTCGCATACCACAAAGGAACATTTATTCCCCTTATTTTGGGATTAACAGTGTTTGCACCCCAATCTCTACCACGCACTGATGACTGTCACATGTTCATTCACTATGGAGAGAAACCCTGTGAAGCCCCCGTCTCTCTAATCTCCCCCCAGACTCTTATTTAGAAGCAGGATGTTTGTTGATTTTGGGAGCTTGAGTAAATAGCTGAAGGCGTTGTAACTCATGCAGCAATGTGATCTTGCTTGGATATCTGTCTGTTTCCTAGAAGGGACTATGTGAAATGCAGATTGTGTTTACATGCCTCATGCTGCTGTGGTCAGTAGGAGGTAGACAGTCTCAGAGGGGAATAGCATTTTCCCAAGCTTGGTCTGACCCCCTTTTAACTCCTCGTTGGGATGCATTGAGCCCTTTGGGCAGCTCAGTTTGCTGCAGAGTCAGACAGGGAATGGGCTTATGCGCAGGCTGTGCCGTGGCAGATTTTAAAGCCATCTGTGGGGGGAAGATAGGTCTGGTTTATCACCTCTTGTTTATAGTGCATATTCTGTTTGTAAATCCCACAAACTACATTTTCTTCTGTCGCTGTCTCCTGTTTTCTCCTTTGCCCACACAAAAGCAGACAAACAGCCAGAGACAAAAGTGACTGCGACCAGACAGGGAGAATCAAATACAGCAGTCAACACTGGCACAGCCACAGTGGGCTATAAAATGCAAACCATAGTCGGTACACAATGAGGCTGAGAAAGCAATGGCTGTGGAGCAGCTGGAGGAAGATCACATGGTATAAAGGACAACAGACAATCATAATGTTACACAGCACCACAAATTCCTATGCTGTATTACCCTCTCTGTCCACACACACACATATATGTATTTATGATCAATTTCCCATCCGTTTAGAGCCAGAGGAGCGTGTGTAAGCAGGCAGCATATCATCAGAACAGGAAATATGGGAAATCTGTTTTCATGGAACGAAAGTGCTACAGGCTCAGCAGAAAGATTGTGGCTGCTCCCACTATAATTACATGTGTTTGGCTATATGCTAAATATACACTCACATGCAGTATATGCAACAGTTACCTTACCCTCTTTACTGGTCCTACATTATTAAACCTCAGACATTCCAGGATCTATAGGACAACAAAATGAATGTGTTAAAAAGCCCATGAAGACATGGCATATAAAAGGCTGTATATTCACATGATGGGAAGACTTTTATGTTCCTGAGTGTTTGAAGTTTCCTTGGTTTGCATTCAGGTCTTACAAGCTGGGATTTGTCCTTGTCATTGAAAGTATGACAAAACATATTTTAATGATTTAATGCCTCAGACTTTATTAAAGAATCAATCTTAATCTGAAGTGGCATAATACCTCGTACCCACTGTAGTTGAAACCTTCCCTTTTTTCACCCTTGACTATGCATCCAACTGACGGGAGATGAAAAACATTATGATGGATGCGATTCCTATATTTGTTGTAGAAGGGGGGGGAACACCTCAGGGAGAACAGAAGCACTGAACTGTGTGGAAAGCACCAGAGGGACTGAAGCAGGACTCAAGTCTAGTTTACAATCTAATTCTTTGCATTCCAAGAAACAGAAGTGTACAGCAGACACGTGTTTACAGGTAGAGTGTATAAGCAGCACTAATTTGTTTCAGATATGAATTCATGCCTCATTTTCCTTTAATGTGAATACATTATACCAGTCTGACTTCTGCTGGTCAACACGTGCCATTACAACAACACATCATCAGGTTTGACACACTCATTTGGATAGGTTATGTCCTACTAGCAGTTTCAATTCTTTTCTTACAAGTTTAAAATAGATTTTCTAGGGAATAAAAGAGCTGCAATAACGCATGTTTACTGCACAATAAATCTACTCTGCACCAGTGAGTCTGGCTTCAATGCAATAAAAACAAAACAAGAGGTTTTCAACTGTGCTCCAAAAGACTTTATTCAATCTATTTACAAAATAATACAAAACTCCCCTCCTTGAACTCTGATGAATGTCCTTCAGGTACAATTTGTTAATAATCTTCATCTGAGACATAAAGAAAACACATCGGGCACCACAGTGGAGGACTGCAGTAATGTGCTGTGTAACTGAAACTAAGACATCTTTAGTTGATCGTTTCATTTGTGGTGCAGCTTCGTCCAATTGGCAGCCTCTTTTCGTCCTTGCTTCAAGCCCTTTAGGACAAAAACAAAAAACATGATGTTTATGTCATGTATCTCTCCTTTGAAATATCAAGGACTCCCACCTACAATGAAGCTGGAGGCATCTGATGGAAAGCCTCTTAGCCAAGAAGCATGAGTGCGATAATGGACTATCTTAACCAAAAAAGAAAAAAAAACGGCATCTAAATTGCCACAAACACCCACTTCTTTTCACAGCATAATGCAAGACACTGTAACTGAATGAAAGCTGGAAATCTCATTTATGGTGCAGAGTAAATCAGTTGGTCTCCGTGAACATACCAGGTAGTAGCCTGTGTGATATCCACTCATGTACCAGGAGATGAGCACGCTGCCTAAGGCCTCGTCATCCACCATGTCAGGGCTCATTGGAGGAGGTGGTGGGATCATCTGCAGCAGAAATATCGACATGAACCAGCTGCCGTCTCTTCATTTGGCATGTTAGTGGGTAAAGAGAAGCTTTTCCTGCATACATTTGCTAACATGAAGTCGTATCTGTCGTTACTTTACTGTTAGTGGTGTAATGATATAGTGCAACTCACTGGTGGACCAAATGGCATCATGGGAGGCCAGGGGGGAGGTACAGGCCCATGATCACCACTTTGTCTGTTTCCTCTCTGGAAGGGGACAAAAGAGTCAAACATAAAATGTTTACAACCAATACACTGTGATTCTGTGATCCAAGAACATAAAAAAGTCCTTTGAATGATTTCAGTACCAATTAAATTGATTAAATAACCCTCCAAAGCGAAGACCTATCAGTTACTTTTGAGCACAGAGAGACAGTCATGCTTCTAACCTGTCTGAAAGCGTGCATTGGAGGTGGGCCTGGAGGAAACCCAGGAAATCCAGGGGCCCACATAGGAGGGGTGTCTTTGTGGGTTTTGGACTTCTGAGGTTTACTGTGGGGCTGTTGTTTGTGCTGGTTTGATGTAGTCGACCTGTCACTCTCCTCTGTTGATGATTCTGCCTCATTTGCCTTCACAGGAGACACAAATATATTTCCTTTGATCTGAATTTGTCATTTTGGAGAGAACACAGAGCTTGGCTTTGGAACAAAAATGCTGCAGTAAAAAAACAAACAGAGAAGTATCAACATATTTACAGCCATATTAATTTCAAATCCATTGAAGATGCAAGTGCTTAACTTAATAAAAATTAATCACGAGATTGATGACAAAGTAAGATAGCGATTTATTATATTCATCGCTTTCCAGGGGCAATAATTTGATAAAGATTTTGTACTGTAAATGATATTAATCTCACTTTGCATAAACCCACCTCATCTGTCAGCAATGCCCTCCAAATAATGTATAATGGCTAGTTGCAGAATAAAAAAGAATGATGTCTGGTTTTCTAGGGCCGTTATAAACCAACCATAATAACCTCAATACAAGTTAGTTAAACAAAAGGATGGCAGCTTAGAAGGAATTTACTTCACTGAGTTGCCTTTTTTTTGGTTGTGCATGTTTACAAAGTTTTCCTTTTATTCTGACTGACAGTAAAACACGATACTCATTGTGAGCAAGTTTAGTCATCCTACCAAATCTTGCTTTTAAAGATGATATGCATTTTATTTGCGGTTAAGGATTTAGATAATACACCGACTGACATAAAGGATTCAAGGGATGCAGAATATATTTTGGTTGAGCTGTTGAGCAAGTAACATAAAGTCGAATTGAGAAGCTAATGAGCACACTGTTTTTGTTGCGCTTCACAAGATCAAAAACAAAGTCTTCCTTTACCTTTGTACTTGTTTCCTCATCACCCTCTGACACCTCTGAAAGCAAGTCTTCAAGGTTCTGCTCCTCCTCGTTGCCATATCCTGTAAAAACAACCACACAGGTGCCCCTCTTTTCGTCTATAGAGGTAATGGTGGCTGCGTAGAGCTGGCCATCCTCTGACCAGTATGCACAACACGAGTCTCCAACCTGCCACTGAAACACAAAACACAATGAAATGTTATTAAGGTCCAGTTGAAACCAAGCTGTCTTGTCTGAACTGAACCAAATCTACAAATGCCAAGATGAACTGGTCTTCATTATAAATGCTTAATGTATTGTAGAACATAGCAACTAAATGATCTGTATGTTGAATTTCATTTCCTTAAAGTTGATTGTGTTGCACTGTCTGTAAAGTTTTTATTTTTTAATCATATTTACACACCTCTTTCTCCGGCGGTGCATTTGTCCTTTTCCTGCTCTGATTCTTCTTGTTACTCTTGCGTTTTTTTCCTGGCTGGTTTTTCTTAGAGGATTGCTGTTCTCCTTCACCCTTCAAAGCAGTCTTAGGCACAAAGCAAGAGCAAGGATGTAAGTGATGAAATCAAAGATAAACATTAAAAAAAACATGATAACACAACCCACAAAGCATTATTTTACCTTGAATGACGCAACTGCCTTGTCGTAAGCCTTCACCAGTGCTGTATCGTCCCATATGTCTGAATCATCACTCTGAAGAAAAAAAAAGCAGCAGATTGAGATTACAGATTAATCTAGTCAATGCAATAACGACACAAGTGGCATGGAGGAGTTTGGGGTGAGCTGAGCCGTATTTCATATTTCGGATCACTACATCAAGGCAATCATAGTTTTGTCTCTAACTAGTGTATCTGCATATATTTTAAGATGTTGTGCATCCCTGCAAACCAACAGAATGAGTGTAAACAACTTACCCCATTCATGGGGTAAGTTGACCATAGGAGCGGGGTAAGTTGAGCCGTATCACTACTACCCACCCCAGCCCTCCCTCACCTTCTCTCTCACTGAATAACAGTCACTCTCTGACATTCATGTGTATTTTTATCTATTTTAAGCTATTCAACTGGTACAATGATTCTTTTTATTATTATTGCATATAACTGCTAAAAAGCAGTTTTTGTAAAAAGCTGTTTTAACATGAGAATGCCTTTAAGTGATTCAGAACATTCACAGCTGTATTTTTGACAAGAAAAAGTAACACATTTTAACAATCTGAACCGAAACTCTGATTCTCTCATCAGACTCCTTTGCTTTCTCAGTTGAGCCGCTCACTCAACTTACCCCAGCACTACTGTTATGACTTTACTAGTCCCCTAAGCTAAAATGGTGGACTTTTGTGCTCGGTTTTTGACCTCATGTTGTAGCTCATAGATACCACAATTGATGTATAAAACAAATTTAAAATGATCTTTTTTGGTCTGAATACAATTCTAATAAAACTTGTGATAAGACTAAATTCACTTTCAAGAGTAAAAAATGTTTTTTTGGAAATAAATGTCTAATTCCTTCACCCATGTGCTTCTAACCTTCACAGACTCCATGAATTGATGCCCATCTCCTAAATATTTGGTCACATGATCAATTTCTTTTACCATTTACAAGAAACAGGGGGTGGCTCAACTTACCCCACTCTCCCCTATGTAAAGGATTGTGAACTACTCATGTAGTTTTATGTATAGCCTTTAAGCCCCCTTATCTCTGATCATTTTTTACTTTAAATCACATTATTTCTGACCTGACACACACCTACAGCAGCATCTTTGCTCTGAAGAAGGGATGTTTGCAGCATCACACGGGACAGATTATTCATATTGCGTCTTTCCAATAACTCATTACTGAGAAATTAATCTCTCGCCTCAAGATGCATGCCAGGTCATCCGTGATAGATAAATTTTCTTCCTTCCGATCTTTGTTTTGTTACCAACTTAGCCTCACTTAGCTCTGGTTTCTAGCTTTCCAATCTAGCCTAACATGTCTACCAAAGCTACAAATTAGCAGGTTTTAAATGTTCACGAGTTGTCATCTTCCACTCTGTAATATTTGGTTACAAACCTGTCCAGTTCCACGCGTGAACAACACTTCTTTGCATCCATTCGCCATGTGAAGATTTGTATGTACTACTGCTAACAGCTAATTGCTAAGTGCTAAACCGCTAACGTACAACGTGCGTCGGACATGTGACGCAATAGGAATTGTGACGCGTTTATCTTGCGACGCGTTGGTTGGCTTGGCAACGACTATAGCGATAGTTTGGAGATCTCAAACAATTATAAACCCCGCATTAACTACGAACAAACAAGCGGGTTTTATTGTTCCCAAGGGTTATAGCTTTTGTTGGGGGCGTCAGTGAAGATGATTCGGTCGTCCCTGAATTCTCTGGGCGCTAAAGTTGTTGTCGCCGCATCCAGCGATGAGAATCACCCTCCAGAAAGCATCATTGACGGGTGAGTGTGGACTGTTTGGCTCTAAAATCTGTGTTTTATCGCTGGATTTCATCCTCTCTAATCAGTGTTTAGCTTTGGGGGGAAAGTCAGCTCAAATGGGCCAAAGACGATTACAGCATCGTAGCTTTAAAATGTGATAGCAGGTCATAATAAGTGGTCCTGCAGTGTTGCTTTTGCATTAGTTGGTAATGTCAGGAACTTTAATCAGTTTGATGTAGCCTTACTTAAGTGAGAGTGGGAAAGTGTTTGATAACTCATGATAGATAACATAGAAATAGAGAGGGTGAATGAAATCAAATTTCTTTGAGTCATAATTGACAGCAAATTATCCTGGAAGCCACATATACAGTGCAATACAGCAAGTATGTCCATGTAGATTCTCATTCATTCAGGTCATGGTTTTCTTGAAGACTCCAAAATCAGGCGAAACGTCTTCTCAACTCTACACAGTCCAGTTATATTACTGCAAAAATAGCAAAATCACTTCCAATACTACATAAAGTCAAATATCTTCTAAACAAGTCATCGCTTACACCTTGTACTGTTCACTCATTCTCCCATACATCACCTACTGTGTGGAAGTGTGGGGGAACACGTAAACAATGTACAAGCTCCAAAAAAGAGCAATGAAAATAGTAAATAAAAGTACCTACAGAGAACCATCAAACCCACTCTTCATCAAACTGAAGGCTCTGAAGTTCAAGGATTTGGTCGACCTCAAAACAATTCAGATTATGTACAAAGCAAACCAGAATCAGTTACCAACGGGCATCCAAAAGTTGTTTCAAGTAAGAGAAAACGGACATAATCTCAGGGGAATATGCATTTTTAAAAAGCAACATGTACGTTGCAACACAAAAATGCACAGTACATCAGTCAAAGGAGTTAATCTGTGGAACAGCTGCAGCAAAGACATGAAAACCTGCAGATCGCTAAATTCAAACTTATTTTTATAAACCACAATCTGAGTGGATATAAGAGAGATAAGAGTGATAGTGATGTTTTGATGGGCTCTTTAAAATGTTTGACAAATGTTTGAGTAGAGCTGGCAAAGCACACACACTCACACACTTACTCAGAATACAGAGCCAGCAATATGCAGAAACACACCCCTACAACATGATCAGTTCATTATTAAGCATTTTCTTTTTTTTTGCTTTAGTTTCTTAACCCTATATTACCTTTTGTATCATATTTGATACTTTTATAATACTTCTATCAATCAATATGATCAACAAATTACTAAAAAAAAAAATCTTAACACAGTCCAATAAAGGATAAAAATGTCCTCTTGTGGTTTATCAGTTTCCAAACACATCTGAAGTATCAAACGAGATAAATAAATATATTTGTAAAATTTTAAGGACATTTAATTTTTTTTTAGATTTCAGTAGTAAGTAGAATAAACATTTTAGCTCCAAAAAAAATTTAAATTTCTAGCCATAATTTGTGTTCTCAGGCATTATAGGGTTAATGTACAGTGTTGTCAGGGGAAATCAAAGACAGAAATTACTGTCGGATGATTGCAGCTGAAATTACTGTGATGTTTTTCATTATATTGGCCCAATTTAACTGAACTTTGCTAATCCAGAGGGTACTTGTTGACACTTCAACTTTCATAATTCAAAAGAAATATAATTTTTCAAACACGTGATCAAACAGTCGACGGATCAAAGACCTTATGAAACGAATCCAGAAAGGCTGCTGGCTTTGATAGAACTTCTGTATGTATGAATAATGCAGTTTGATATTTCTTCTGGCAGAAATACCAACCAAACCTATAGCATAACCCATTACATTTTCATTGATCGTCTTTCTTAAACATGTTACAGGCTAAGAGAATCGTATATCAGATTTTGATGTGCAGGAAAAAAAAAGACTACTTTATGATTTTCTTTTTTTTTTATTATTGTTTTAACCTCACCTTGAATTGTTCTTGACTTTAAATAATTCAGATGGCTCGATCAAAATCTCAAAGTACCTTGTGGTAATATTTCACTGAGCCAAAATATTTTTCTGTCTGGATTTTTAAATGTAGTGTTTCTCTTGTGTTGAAGTTATAAAATTGCTGTGTTTAGCTAAATGCAAAAAAAGGACAATGACAAGATATTGGCATTACACAACTGTCTATTGGCCTGTCAGCTCTCTTATTATCCATATTGGAGTCCCATGACCATTTATAAGAACATCAGAGGATCTCATCTCGCTGATAGCCTCATAGATCATTTACCAAACTGTGGCCCGATTTAACCGACTTCACCCCTTTATGTCTGTCTCTCTTGAACAGAGACACTAAAACGTTTTGGATGACCACCGGGATGTTTCCCCAAGAGTTCATTATTCGCTTTGCTGATCCGACAAACATTACTGCAGTGACTCTTGACAGCTACAACGGTATGTGTAAGCTCTGGGGGCACAATATACAACATTTTCTCACATTTAAACACAGTTAACATGTTCATTGTCAATATCAGATTGTTCTTAGATATTAGGGACAGATCAAAATATTCAGCATGTCAGAAAACCCCCAAATTATGTTTCTGGTCTTCATATTCAACTACAACTAATCTTTGCTGTTTCAGTAAATGGTTCCTTTTTAAAAGCCATTGGTATTAATCTGGTTGTATTTTTCTCTCTTGCAGTCAAGCATCTCAAGGTAGAAAAGAATATCTCACAAAAGGCATCTCAGTTTGAGTTTGTTACAGAGAAAGGTAAGGGAGGTATACCTCAATAGCATCTGTTTTTATACTTTGAAGGTAAAAAACTGACAAAAGGATTGAATCAACTCATTGTCTCATAGAGTTAGAGCAAACAGAGGGACATCTGCAGTCGAATGCTATACCGGTAAGTCAGAATAAATACATAGTAAGCCATAGCTAATGAATACATTACAAAAAAGGGGAAAAAAACCTACTTGTATTTATTTCTGTTTTTCAGCTCAATGGAAGCAGCGCAACACACCTTCGTTTTATCATCACCTCGGGATATGATCACTTTGTTTCAGTGCACAGGGTCAGTATACAAAACTGACTCACCTGACATGATATAAACTCTGTTGACATATTTATGTACAGTTTACACATGTAAGTGCATGGCATTATTTTGTCATTAAATGTAAGATCTCATTATAAGCCTACTTAGACAACACAAACAATGACACGTTCTCCCTAATGGCAGGCAGCCGTTATAGTAACTGTGAATCTGATTTGCATTTTCATGAATAGCTTAAAGTGAACTAAGTAATGTTCAGACAAATTAAATATATCATCCTATCATCCTAACACTATCAGTGGCAATATCAATATCCAGGCATAGCCTGTTTTAATATTTGGCCCTGTATTAAAAAACAAAAACAAATCTTGAACTCTTTGTTTATCTCTTTATCTATCTAGTCCTTAATCGATGTCATGGATTCACTAACAGAGCTTTTTTTTAATCCCACACTGAACCGTTCCTGATAATTTCAAAAGCAGATAGTTGGCCAAGCTTAAGAATAAAAGAATTGGATTGTGATGAATGGCAGAATTTCTTACAAAGCAAGTTTCTCTCTGTGTGAGAGATAGAGTTAATTAACTAATTTTGAGCACTGGAGCTTAAATTGGCATCTCCACAGCCTCCTAACCCTCCCCTCAGCAGAATTTTACATCCCCATAGAAATAGTGAGCTATAGGCGATGCAGCTGGGGGTTGGGGAACCAGATGGTTTCCCGGCCAACCAGTGAGTCTCTAAAGACCGCTAGCCTATTCACACTATGTATTCAAGCCACCTCCTGTACTTGTAGCCTCCACACACACACACACACTTGCAAACTAACTCTGACTCCTATCTACCTCCACTGCCATTTCAACCTGTCGGTAGTAAAGGGTTCAGTTGTGAGCTTGGACCCTTTGGGACTCCCTCCCCAATTACTTTGCTGACTGTGGAGGAGCTAAGGGATTTGCTGAGGCGGTGTATGCTGTATCTTGGACTGCATTCAGGTCTCCAAATAAACCAATAAAACTATGAAATACATGCCTGAATAAATAGCCCCCTGATATTTTACAGCAACTAATTGCTTGGGGGTATAGCCGGGATACAGCACATTTGAGTATGTGAGTGTGTAATGAGTAATGAGGCCGAGGTGGAAACTGATACAGTGTTATTGACTCATCAATTATTTACTGGTTTGGAATATTTATTATAATGTTAGAGGTGAGCATGTGAAAATGAAGTGCAAACTCTTATTTCATAGTAGAACAGTCATGTTTTCCCCTACAATTGCTCAAATCGTACGTTGTTACTTGTCTTGGCGGGCAACATTTAGTAGCTTCCCTTTTTTATATGTGGAACAGGTTTTTGCAGAAGCGCAGCCCCATTACTAATGGATTCAGGCTCTTTTGTGCTTGACTGTCAGCCGATCAGGAGAATCACAGCAGGATATGAGTGCGTTATTATCATGTCACTGCAGGGGCAGGGCTAAATTATCACCCAGTGTCTTCTGACGGCTGCCTAACTGCTGTCCAATCACACCCAGACATCTGCTGGACCAGAACTCTGCATATTCAGCTGAGTCTATACAAAAAGATTTATATGATAACCTTCCCCAAAAAAAAACATCTTTGCTACCTCATGCTATAATTGAAATAGCAGATTCTCTGAAAAAGATAATATTGAGAGCTAGAATAGTAATAGAAAAGCCTCGCCTGCTGTTAGCGCGAATGAAACGGCTGTGTACTTGCTGCATAAAGACAACAGATGATGAAGAATAGGTGGTGTTTCTTACATAGTTATTTTGAGTAAGAAATCCCTCACCCGCCCACCCAGCTCTGTTATTTTCTTTCATGTCAAACCAAAGACTCTGAGTTTCCGTTATCTCCTCTGTGTGGTCCTCCTTTCATGTCAGCGACGGAGCCATGCGCGTTGACAATGGGCTTTAATTTGATTTCAGTCTTGATTTGGCCCAATCAGCTTAGTTTTGACAGAAGCTGAGAGAGAAAGAGCTGCTGCGTGAGGAAGGAAACACTATAAAGGCTGATATTAGATGATTAGACCAGAGAGGAAAACAATCCTCCCATTATTGGAGAGTAAGAGGGCCAGAGAATGATAATAAGGGACTGACAAAGTGTGCAGCTGACAGCTTTGAGTTGTAAATATGGTATTCGTATCATTTCTATATCCAGCATTTTTCCTAAAGTTAGGCAATAAACAGTAACAACCGCATTAGATAAAACTTTATATTCACAATGGCAGTATTGTCCATTGAGGTCTGCTAAACTAAATACATTTACTCTGGTACTGTTAACGCATTAAAACAGGCATAAAAAAACTAAAATTATGCGGGTTAGCTTTTGAATATGTTTGAAGTTTGAACACAGATAGATAAGCTGGCTTTTGTCCTCTGGCAGGAAAGCGCCTCAGTGAAGTCTGTGGGCTGGAATAGATTAAAACTTTTGTTTCAGGAAGCAGTAAACTAAATACTAAAGGTGCAACAGTGAGCACTGATGCACAAAGGACAAACCACTGCTGCTTTTTAAATCATCAGTGTTGCACCCTTTCCTTGTTTGTTGGTACATATCCACTGTTCTATCTCAGCATACCGTCTGTGTTACTGAGCCGCATTTGCCAAAGGCGCTCAGTTTGCTCTGTGTTTAACCGTGTATTGAAATAAATTTTCACTATGGCGCCAGAGCTGCAGTGTCAACTTTTGCTTCTTCCATATTTGCCTACTTTTCTGCACTAAGTCCCACAGTAAGTGCTGTAAAACACTTATCAGTCACTCGAGTATGAGTGCCACTGCCTACAGCCCCTTACCTCACACTTCCACTTAAGTCTGTCTGCCTCTAAATCTCCCCTGACCTGCTGTGGTAGTGCAATGTAATGGTGGGTAGCTGAGTAATCCCAGGAGCCACACATTCCTGACCATTGCAGTGTGTGCATATATTTCTACTTAATACTCAGTGCTGGCCCTTGAATATAGCGTGGGCGGGAGTAGTTAAATTTTGCATCACAAACTGCTGTGCCCTTGTGAGAAGTGGAAAAGATCCAAAATTGTGGAGCCAAATGTCCGGGACTGCTGCAAGGAAGGACTCTTTGTCTCTGAGTGGAGCTGTGCCAGCAAACTCTCACAAACGAGCAATGTGGAGAGAGATAGATGATACTAGGAGATCACCTTTTTCCTCTTTGTTTTTACTGTTAAAATATTTGCTCTTATTTATTCTATCCAGCCCACTTTAATCCCTCTCTCTCTGGCTCTCAACACAAACTACACAAAAAGTGAATCCCTAAAACTGTGTGCCCTTGGTATCCTTCATGGGTGCACAGAATATACTGTGCTACGAATATGTCTGTACCAGCATATAAAATAACATATTGATGTAACCATCTGTTTTCTGCAGAGTTCAGGCAAAGTTTTCCTCATCAAGTCCTCAATTCATACACACTTAATGTCGTTTTAATAAATTTTTGACCAATAAGGCGAATTTTTTATTATTTATTAATCCAATCATACAGTTTTATCTGATAAAAAACAAAACCAAAAAAGTTTCTGTCAATTACTAATAAACAAGCCTCCTTTTCTCTGAATTTGGCAGCATGCAATCTGCCATTCCATGCTGAGAAGAGGAACAGGTGCAGCTGCGACAAATTGATGAGAGGGTAAAAATGGCATCAGTCTGTAAAATGTGCCATGAGTGTGAAGTTTGACATGCAATATCTTTTCCATCACTTGCATAGCCATGATTGCGATGAAGATGTATTGAAAAAAACAGGGAACATAAATAGCCACAGCAATCGATAGCACCAAAAGAAACATCAAGTGCTTTTGTGCCAATTTAACAGGCATGCCAGAACTGTAAACGTCAAAAGGGAAAGCAATTAATGTTAAAAATTTATGGAATTTACAGTTTATGATGTCCAACCTTTTCCAAGACAAAAGACCAAGGATTTCGCCCACTAATAGTCTAACTGCAATGACTTCCCGAGTTGCTGTTTCTTTTCAAAAGTACCCCTGCCTGCCCTAAATTAAATGATCTCTGCAAACATGGACAGCAATGTCAGTGGTCTTACCATGGACATATGGGCTTCTGGCATTTGTCCAGTGGCTGGATTGAGACTTTTATATCAAAAAGATATTACTGTGCACAGAAGTGCTCTGGTTTGCAAAAAGGAAAAATAAAAAATCGATAAAAATAACATCAACCGATGACTCAGAACTTTTCTTTTTTTGTGTGCCGACAGTAGTGATTTGAGTTAGAACTGGTTAGTGTGTAATATTAAAGGACATGCATTTTTGCTGGCCTCTCTCACCCTCAGATGTAGTTAAACTACACGTTTTAATATAAAAAATTAAATAAAAATGTTTCTAATATTATTAGTGTAATCTCAGAAAAATCCATATTGTGCATTACTGATACCCTGGAAGTTAAATCACTGTAATGTCAACAGTGTCAAAGTTTGAATATGGCAAAACAAAGAGCAACACAAATTTACAGGTGGTAAAAAAACTGTAATACAAGGACTGTATGGTTACATGCTGAATGAATGTTCCACTTTTGAGCTGATGCATGACACCTTAAAACCATTTTGGCATATATTGTAGTGCAAATCTTTTTTTTTTTTTAGACATTACTGTAGAAAAAAAATACTGCAAATATACAAAAATAAGACCTGTGCACAGTTTTTGACTCAAATGTTCAAACCTTGTTTTACATGCAGAAACGCCTGTGGAACAGTGAATTAGCATAGAGCAGTAATGTGGTTACACAAGGCAAAGTTAATTAAGGTTTAGGAACAAAGACCCACAATACATCATATATCACTGCCATTTTTATGCATGGAGGGACAGATGTTTAGCCACTATCATGCTCATCAAGTGTCACTACCAGACATTGGTTACAAACCCAGATGAATCACCTATTGTCTAGGCTGTATCAATTAAAAACCAATAGCGGGTGTTTAAGATACATTATTATGCATGACTCAGATTAGAGACCTTGTTGAACAGCATGGTAAAAGTATAAAAGATATCCTCAATTAAACATGAAATAACTTAAAATTTACTTTAAAGGGGAACTAGCAGTGTCACTAGATTAAACACACTATTAAATAAGCCTTGTAAAACACTAATAAGCAGTGAATGACCACCAGGCATGATAAAATAAGTATCAGTGGTTAAACACAGTCAAGTGCCCATTTCACTCTCCCTGTATGTGTGTGAGTGCTCCCATCAAATCTCTGTGGCAATAACATCATCATAAGTTTGTAACCCTGAGCTGTAGTTGAATCCTAGTTCTGTCCGGCTCTCCAGTTCAGCTGTCAGCTCCTTCAGGATCCTCTCCAGGTCCCTGTTTTTCTTGTGCATCTGCAGGTAGTTGATCTGGAGCTGCCTCTGATATTTGATGACCCTGTCCTTCTCCTTGTTCCATGTCAGCCTCTCCTGCTCAAAGCTGCTGGCCTGCCTCACTTGAGCATCTTTCTCCTCGCTGAGCTGCTGCTTCAGTCTCTCCACCTCCCTTTGGAGTGATTCTGTGGAGACGTGTCCACTGTCCTCCTCCACCTGGCCATGGGGGGGAGAGTCTGAGCCTTGGACTATTCTTTCCAGGGCCGGAGTCTGGGCGCTGGGCTCTTGTTGCACACTGTGCTGCAGCCTCTGCTCTTTAGCCAAGGCCAGGTCCTGTTTCATCGCTTGAATGTCAGTCTCCAGTTTGCCCACTTTCTCTCTCAGCAAATCAGCCTCATTCTTCTTTCGCTGGAGTTCATTTTGACACACCTAAATGACAAATGTGAAAAAGTCATGCAGAGGCAGCGATTACAAAAGCTGTTTTGACCAATCAAACGGGTCAGATTAAGTGGAGTGTCTAATAGTTCTCTCATAAGACTGATTATGTAAGTCCGCTTAAACACAGACGCTGAAAACAGCCTGATGGCCACAGTCAAGAGCAGCACATAATAGCAGGTATCCAGCCTATTGAGAGGGGCTTTCAACTTACAAGCACTGTGTGGGCATTTTATTAACACAGCTTTCTTTGAATGTCATTGTTGGATGAATAGCTATAGAATCATCTGCAGACGTACCTCAGCCTCTATGATGCGAGAGTGCAGTTTGTCCTCGTGCTCTTTATTCTGTTTCTCCAGTGTCTCCATCTTTGCAGCGTTTTCTCTCAGTAACGCCCTCAGGTTGACGATCTCATTTAACTTGTGGCTGACGTCCGCCTGACAGTCTCTCAGCTGCTGCTTCAACAAAGAGATCTCCCCTGTCTTCTGGCACACCTGCATTTGGTACATTTGGCAGGCATCTTTGACACAACTCTCCTGAAGCATTGTGTTCATTTCTCACAAGGAAACAGGCATCATTGATACCCCACAGTCTTACTCAATTCAGCAAAATAAACACAACACTGACATGTGGATTACTGGAGAACAATGTTTTTGTTTATACAGCTGTATGTATGGGAAAGACTATGTCACATTTTTAGCTTCAGCTAAAGTAAGCTTAAAGAGCCAGAGCATTTAAGTTAGTGTCCTAAATTGTACCCATACCAGTTATAGAGAACCAATGAGAATCCCTGGGCCTTCCCTAGAACCAAAGATTTGTTTGTCTTTTCTGAGATATTGTAGAAATAAGAGCTTTGTGGGAGATGATCCCCTCTCCTTGTGGATATAAAAAGCTTATTCTAAGATAAGGAAAACACATTTTTCATCAGTTTCTTCAGCTCTTTGTCTGGTCCTGTCAGACTTAGGAAGAGTCAGTGCTGACCTTAGAGTTAATTAACTGATTTCTTTATTTAGATGATTGGTTGAGGTCCACACAGCAGTTTGAAATGAGTTCTCTCTACATTTTATAACCAACAGATATAGAAAATATTTGTACTTTTATGGATACGTCTGACTAGTGTTTGACCGTAACCACTTTTTCAGTAGCTGATACTGATACCATTATTAAGATAGAAGGTTGGCTGATAGATGATTTAAAATGCAGATTTCACAATGTTGCAGATTTTTTCCAGCATTTGACAAAAATTTAACTTGGAGTAAATTTAATTGAATTTTGGGGATCGCATATCCCTCGGTTGAATATTGCAACAAGGGACTTTTAGATTTCTGTCCAGCCTCTTGAAATTATTATTAAAGACAAAAATACAAGGCAAATATTGTGATTAAATTGATAGAAAAGGCAAAGTCATGTAGAAATTGGTCTTATAATATATATAGGAGGTTAGTAGCATGTTTTAGATGGGTTTCTATTGATACTTTATTTCAGAAAATGGCTGATAAATTTGTCATAAGCAATAAAAAAACTACCTTATTTTCTACATCATAACAGCATCTATATAAAACAGTAGCAAGTGACTTGTGCAGATTTGATTTGCTGTTAATAAGGATGGGAATGATGTGTTTTCTTTTGAAAGGTAATGGTGATATCGGTCGATTAGTTGGTCTATCTCTTATTTTGACATTTTCAATTAGCTACTTTCTAACCTTATTTAACTGAGTCCTCTGTTTGGGTAGGTAGCATTAAATTTGTTTAAAAAAACTGATTGTAATGTATAATGGGATTTGACAAGTGACAAAATTGCACTCTTAAAACAATACTCTGAGGTTCCTTAGATTGAAGCGTAGATGTTCATAACACTGTTCAACCTTGACCCCTCACATTAAATACTGGCATTAACTACTTAATTATATAGAAAAATTAACAAGTACATGTTCAAAACTGTCAGGAACTAACTGTACAGTGAGGATAACAGTTCCGTATGTGTGAGGAGAGCAAAAGTTGATTCTATTCAGGAAAAAGACCTTTATGACTCCGAAGAAGAAGAAAAAAAATCAATGTTATAAACTGAAGAAAAGTGGAAGAAGTTAATATCACTCGTTCTATCTATAAAGATAGATTTCTTCTTTCTTTCCTCTTTTCATCAAACTTTATCCACAAAAGCCTATTTTTCCCTCTTGTAACGGAAGGACTTAATGTTCTCACACCTCAGCACCCTTCAAGGTTGCACCAGATTGTGTGGTCTGCCGCAAGGTTTCTAACCCAACTGATATCACACATATGACTCATGACTCACCTCCCATTGAGTTTCCTCAAGTGTTGGAACAAGCTGTGTGTTCTGTGTCTCATAAGACCTCAGTCTGAGCTCAACAAGGTCCTTCTCTTGGGTTAGTTTTAAAACATCCTCCTGTAGCCTGTCCTTCTCCGCCTGAACAGAAGGTATTTCTCAGTGTAATCATTTGAAAAGGACAGCTCATGAATGGTTACACTTATAATAATGATATTCTTTTCAAACTCCATCACTGTGGGTTTATGAAGGAAGAGAGCAGGGTTTGTAGGCTGACAAATAATCATAAATATAAAAAAGTAGGGCTGACCTGGAGCTGGTTGACCTGGAGCTGGAGTGCTTGCTGGGTTTTTGCGACTATTTGGGACACTTGTCGGAGCTTTGTCGAACACCGCTGCTTCAGGCCCTCCATCTCTTCGGCGCAGTACTTTTGTCTTTCCTCAAATAGCTGACAGGTGTCTACTTCCTTTGCCTCAAAACTCACCTATTATTCAGACCAGAGATGACATAAATTCAACCTTAAAAACTACCAATTCAGTACAAAATCGTTATGAGAAATTCTGATCTGAAATCAAGGGCACATGCTGTAACTCCTGAGATGACTGCTTTCTACCTGAAGCTCCTGCAGCTCAGTCTCTCGCTCCAGCAGCCTTTGTTCCAAACGCTCAATCAGTGACTCATCTGTCGTAATAGGGGAGCGAATCCCACCTGCAGTTTGAGAGAGAGTACTTGTCTCATCTGCACAAAGTGGGGTGACACAGTCCCCATTAGCCTTAGATGCCGACCCTCTGCTGTTTGAGCCAGGCCTGTAGCCGCAGTCGAAGTTGGTGCTGTTCCCGTTGACCCATGGAGGGAAATTGGGCTGCGCTCCCTTGCTGAGGCTGTTTGAAAGAGCAGAGCTGCCGTCACTTTGACTGACAGGACCTGTGGAAGCACTTAGGCTGCCGCTGGTGCTGTGGGTGGGCAGGCTAGACATGGAGTTACGTCCAGAGTCTGAGAGAGTTCCTGGAAGGATAAGAGATGACATTTTAATTAACTGCAATCATCATTCACTCTCTTAAATCACACCTTAGGGCTTGAGTTTATGGATATAGAATCAATTTAGACCTGAGAAGGTGTCCTGCTTTTGCCTTATATCTGAACCCGTGGTTGTCTCCAGAGGATAAAGGATGCGGTCAAGGCTGTTGGGGCCTGTCTCCACAGAGGTCGCACTCCTGGGAATCACAGGCTTGAAGGCAGTGGAACGGACCAATGATTTCTCAGTAGAGCTCTACAGGAGGGAAATGACACACAGTCAGGGGTGTTCGTCTCTATTTTTGTTTTCGTATTCACCGGCCACTCTCTGGTGACAGCATGGCGGAAAAGCACGCCCTTTCCTAATGTTGCAAGAAGCTCAAAGAGCCACGGACGGGTCACACTTTCAAACTTGAAAATCATAACGACTGTCTGTCAGAGAAATAAATATTGTCACATGCTGAAACGAAAGGGATAGATTCTTTTCCCACTCATGTCTTTTCATATTAGAAACAGAAGCACTGAGGCGTGCAGAATTGCTTCACTACTTGCTGCCAGTATTAACAGCCAGACAGCAGCGGCTGCAAGTAAAATTCACCCGACTGTCATAGAAGTGAAAACTCATTTTCAAGATGAACTTATATTCTGCATGCCCCATCTGTGCTGTCCAAGAACGTCACAAATGGTACCATACTTCCCCTCCCTCTTGTCCTCCTCTCCTCCCCTCTGCATCCCACCTACCCCCCCCCCCATGTGCTGTCTGCGCGAAGATGAATAGCCCTTCTCTGTGATATTAATAATATGAGCTACTGCTGAAGTCTAAGAGGTAAAGCTTGTGAGCTCAGCATTCCTTCTTACTGACTTCATGACTAGGAGCTGTTCTTTATTTCCCGCTTTCTATCCCTCAAACTCTCCTCGGCCCCCGATCTCTCTCTCTCCCTTCTCCCTTCTCTCTCTCTCGCTTCTCTTTCTTATTCTCTACTCTGTCTCTCTTAAAGCTGCTTCCTATGCCTCTCTTTTCTCACCCTCTGGCCCCTGAGGAATAAAGACCTATTGAGGGAGACTCAGTTTGCCTACATATTCTTGGCACAGGAATGACTTCCATGAGAAGATCAAGGCATTCTCAGGTCATAAATCTGAGAAGGGGGTGATTAATAAACCGAGGTGGTTCAACACAGGTTATGAAGAATGGCTCCCACCAATTAAACCTACCTGCTGTGCGTGTTTTATCCTCAGCTTAGCCTTGAGCTTTCCAAAATCTATAGCAGTCATACCTTCCTAATGATTACAAGAATTACCCCAGCAATAGATCCTGTCAAGCAAATCAGAGCTACTGTATATTCTGATAAAGATGTAAAAATAGCTCTAAATTTTCAACTGTTATAAAGTCTCAATTATCTGATATTCTTTGAGAAATATTGAGCATTGCAGGTTTCGATGTTATTCAAGAGTAAGAGGAGAAAATTACAGCCAAACTCCTGTGTAAGTGTGCCAAAGAGCTTAGCTTACCGTAAGTGCTAGTCTGCGACAAAAGGGACGAAATTTGCCCACCAGCGCGTCTAAGTTTAACACAGGAACCACACTGGCTGTTATTACTGCTGTTAAAGCTACACTTTACTCTTTCTTAGCTCATGGCACTCACGTCTGTGTGAGTCTCCTCTTAAAATAGAGGGCAGAGAGCCCCTAAAGGAAACACATCTTAAAGGCAAGTTTCACTCACTTTTTGACCCCCGTTCCCCGACATAAGCAGCAGTTTTGGTTGCAGACGCGCGCCTGATTCCCCATCTTTGTTCTTTCCACCTGTCTGATCCTCCATGGGTCCTCCTCGGTGGTACGCTGACCTTGGTTTCTGGCTCACCTTATTTGGAACAGATCAGACAATTTATGACGAATTATTTTATCCCAGTTCTGGACATAGCAAAATTTCAGACATTTAATTTTTTTTTGTTTTTAAATGAGCTCACCTTGATGTAAAAAAAATCTTCACTTCGACCTGAGCGGGAATGTGACAGGCCTTTGGTGGGATGATTGTTGGATGAGGCGCTCTGAGTGAAGCCACACCTGAGTAAACTGTCAAGGCTGCAACCTCCACTCTTTCTGTGAGGGTTTGTTTCCTTTTTTATCCTGTGGTCGGATGCCTTGCAGTGTTTGCTGTCGAGGCTGTTGCCGTTGACGAGACTGCTGACACTACCCATGGTCCTGTAGGCATAGGTGAGAGGTGGGTCGGGCTGAGCTCCAGGTGGGCACGTTATACAAAGGTGAAGGGGGGACACAACTCATGACCCCAGTCAGGTTCTGTCAGTGGCTTCAACTGCAAACACAAGGAGGGAATGAAAGACATCACATACAGAGATATATCTGCTGATCTCTACGAATGAGGTTCATGATGAAAGGATGAAACTGGGTCACAGTTTCCTCTGATTCTTATCAGTTTCCAGTGGTGGTTAAATTTATTATTTCCTAGTCAGTCCAGACATGCACTGTTGGAGCAGGTGTGTTCGCGTTTGCAAAACAAACAAAGTGAAAAAGTAGTCCATCTTGGCTCCCTGCCTGGCTTTGTGTTTGTAGATTTATTGCTCGGCCGTTGGATTTGACAAATAAGCCTTTGGGTGCCCTTCCTCTAAACAAACTGCCAATTAGGCTACTTACAGTCTACTCTACACTCGTCTTGTGCTGCCATCTGAAAAACACTTTACAAGCATTTTAAGCATGGTGTAGCCAGGCCGTACAAACCAGTAAACTCATAAAAACAAGTTTTAACAAGGCTAAAAGAATAAAATGAAAGGTGGATTAGGCAAACAGCACCTCGAGGGAAGTGTGTTTTAAATGTTTTAAGATATAATACAAGGACATAATTTGCAGTGATGCTCCTTATTCATCCTTCGCACCTTCCTTTTAGAGACAATCAGACCCCAGATGTTCCTATCCATGATCTCTAACCCACAGGGGAGAAGTCCCGTCAGCAATGACTTAGTGGCAAAAGCCTCCATGCTGGCTGATCAGGCCAGCAGGCTCCCCAACCACCTGGTCTTCAGCCTTTAAGCACTTTATAACAGCCACACCAACAAAGCACAGGACTAATGGCCCATGCTAAGTCACATATTAGTGCACATTATTCATGGCTTGGGGCCAATCTATAAATATTGGTTGAATTGGGGTGTTTGCAAGAATAGCTGCCGCTGACTTTTTCCTGAATTGAAGGCGGGAAGTGTTATCGAGGCTGTCACTTTTCATCCAAAACAATGACAACTATGATAAGCAGGATGAGAAGACAGCAAAATAGATGTTTCATGATGGGGAGAATAATAGGCAAGTGAGACAGGGTAACATGCATACAGAAGAAAGTGGAGTGGAAGAGTTTGAATATTTGAATACAGGGAAAGGAAAGGTAATCCTGATTACAAAGAGAGATTTCCAATCACACAGCCGGTTGGAGGTCTTCCAGCTCAACCTCAGACTTGATTTTCTTTCTCATTCAAAAAATGATATGCAAAGTAAATGCTATATAATGTATGTTTCGCTTAAACCAAAGCAAAGCAGTTCTTGATGTTAATAGCTTCTGACATGACCGTGGCTGATTCTTTTACCGAATGTGTCAGTGCAACCTCCACTTTTACTCTCAGATATTAGCATCAAACACTGATATGGAACTGAAGAAGTAAAACAAATGATTCTACTTACTGCCAGGTCAAACTATGTGTCCATCTTTAGCACAGCTCCTTGCAGAAATATATATCAGTCCATCCAGGAGAAAGTGAAACTGCAGAAGGTGTGTACATGTGAGTATGTGTGTACGCCTTCAATGCAAACCTCTTACTATCACCCTGGCCAGGAGGGTCTGCTAACTGTTCAGTGGAAGGGGTGGGTCTTCTGTCTTTCTAGTCGGTCGGCCTCGGCCCGGCTTTGCATTATAACTGACATGTAAATTCAGCTTTGTGTGTGTGTGTGTGTGTGTGTGTGTGTGTGTGTGTGTGTTTTGGGACCTCCCTCCTCCCCCAGGGGAGCCGGTGTACAACATGTGCTTCCATAGAACTGGCGTGTGCCGCTCAAGTGATTAACTCCCAGTCTCCACAAAAGATCTGTTACACCCCCTCCATGTACCCCCCCCCCCCTTTCCCCACTATCACCCACTGACACTCTCCATTTGTGCATCGATTCACTGTGTAATAACCATTCTCCCCCCTCCCTTTCTTCTTCCATCAGTCCCCCACCTTTCTCCCGAGGTCCCCCCCCCTAGTCCCACTAGGCGCCCTGCACCCACCCTGAACAAACAACACTCCATATGAAAGAGGAAAAAAAAAAAGGCGCTTGCCCTCTCTTTTTTGGCTCTTTGTGTGTTGAAGTGTGCCGCTCTTTGTGTGGACCCTTGATGTATTCTCCCCAAACAGCCCTGGACCATATTTGAGTGTTAAATAAATGACTAGTCCTCACAATGAGAGGGCTGGAGAGCCTCAGTTTTATAGTGATTTACCACCATTCTGCCTTTATGCTGTTTGTTCAGACGTACACTCTTCTTCACACACACCTTTACACATCTACACAAAAACACACACTCTCTCACACACAGCAGTATTGTTGGAGTGCACGTCTCTCTGAGGCAGTGGAGCGTTCAGCATCCCACAGAGTACACACTGTTGACAAAACACCTTGTGGATGAAATACAATCACACATCGAGACAGGAAAATATACAAGGCGCTGTGTTCCAAATGAACAAACAACAACAACAGGAGAGATACGGCCCCTTAGCTGTGCTGCAGACAAAACAAGTGTTAATCTTAAAGCCAATTTTTGTCACAAGTAAAGGTATACTTTCTGTTAATGTGGGGAAAACAGACAGCTTTACCGCATATGCACCGACAGGACACCACTGATTCATAGATATTATCACAGAGGAATCAATAAAGAAATCAGTTTGTTCAAAGTGAACCAAAAAAAAACAAATGAAGGGAAGCACAGTGAGTCGAAACTGTGTGGTTGCAACATGTGCAAACAGGTTTACATCATGTTTCATCATGCCGCCCTTAAACTTAACCGTTATCAAGTGTTTTCACAAAGCCATTTTACCCGCTGGAGGAATAATTTACAGTATCTCTTCAGATCTGCCAGTTTCTTTTTCCAACAGCAGCACTAACTCATCCTTTCAACTGACTGCCATTGTTCCTTGATTTGTTCCTTTCAGCCCCTCAAGCCTCTCTCCCTTTTTGTTCCCTTCTCAATTTCAGAAGAGAATTGCTCAATTTCACTTCGATTTCACACAAATATTAAAGTTATCTGAACATCTTTTTATTACGATTTTTAATGAGCAGCACAAATGTTCTGACCTTGCAGCTTTTAAGTGCAAAGTGTGATTTAAGACCTTTGGTGAGGTGGGATTATGGGGGTGTGATTGTGTGTATATGTGTGTGTGTATGCATACATCTAATCTTACATCTGATTGGCTGTGTGATTTTCTGTGTCTGCACAAAAGAGTGTGCACACCCCTATGATGTGTGTGTGTGTGTGTGTGTGTGTGTGTGTGTGTGTGTGTGTGTGTGTGTGTGTGTGTGTGTGTGTGCTCAGGCAGGAGGGGCGGTTGTGTGTCCATGGGGAGGGTGCTGTCCCAGCTTCCGAGGCACAGCTGACCTGTCTGACACAAAGCCCCGGCCCGCGCGGGACCAGCTGACAATACACCCCCCCCAAAACAGGCACACACAAATAGATACACTCACACGTACACACCAGAGTGAGAGCATAGCCAATCCATTAGCACAGCCAGTGGAAGGCAGCAGTGTGTGCTATAAAGGTTGAGGATTTATACCTGTCTTACAATGACCATGAAACTCTCCTCTGTTCTCACTGTAACTCCACGCTCCTGCCACTGTGCCAGATGGCATTGCTTTAATTCTCACTGTCTGTATGGTAATTTCTAACAGATGCACGTGTAATCTATCTAGTTCAGTGTGTCTGTTTTTTTAGGTCATTCTCAGACAGCTTATTGTTCTTTGTTTATGTGTGCATCTTAGGCGCACACTGAATCTTTTTACACAGGGTCAATTTCTTTGAAGCTCTGACCTGTTGGAGAACTTTCCATCTGTGGCGGATTCTGTCAATTTAATCCTTAAAGTATGAGTAATTTAGGGTTTATTGATTGCCATTATTCATGCATTTTGAGGTCCTATGGGTATCAAAATATAAGCAGTAGAAGCAAAGCTGATTATTGATTCCTGGCATCTACATGTTTTTCACAAAACTTAAGGTGTCAAAGGTCAAGCTATCACCTTTAAGTCCCACTCCAATCGTTTTACTTTATTTTTTTTTACTATTTAGAGTTTTATTGGTGGTCTTATAGTTGTGATTATGAAGTTTTAGCCAAAATCACATTACCTGTGTCATTTTCGAGATCTTTTCTTCTGCACAGTTCCAGCAGCTCATTAGCAATTCGCCTCTGAGTCATGGGCGGAGATAGCACTGCTCTGCACACTCCTCTTCACGCTAGCTTGCAGCGTAACATTGCCAGTGTAGCAGAAGAAGCAGGTAACATAGGAGCTACTCAGAGCTTGTACATGAATTTCTTTGGGGGCATGATGAAAGTTAATATAATTAGCTTCCTGACAAGCATTGCAATCCACTCCTGCACACGCTTGCTCTACGATTGTCTTCTCGATTTCCCCGAGCGTGGCCTGCATAGCGGGGAAGTTTGGATTTGCTACGTAGGAAATCTCACTGTGTCTGGACCTGCCGTTGTGGTTCACAGCAGTTTGAATGTAGAAATACTCATAAATGCAATTTTGCACTTTTTTTCTCATGATATGTCCTGTAGTGTCAGAAAAATGCCATATGAACATATAGAAAACAAGAGAAACATGATTTTCATCGGAGTGGGTCTTTAATGTTAAAGTTACAGGCTAAAATGGTGAATTACCCTTTAACTTCACTCCCATTCCCTTAAAAAGTAATCCTTTTCTCATTTTTATTCACTTCTCTTATGTGTTAAACCTTTTTTTCTTTTCACTAACACCCATCCTGTTGATAATGTCACTGCATCTGGTAGATTTAAATGTAACTGGAGGCGATATATCTATCTCAGTGGAAATCTGGTCTTTTTTTGTCAAGGTTAGGATATCATTGACATCTAATGGAGATGAAAGCACAGTTTGTTTCCAGTGTGGGGTGGTCAAATGCCAGCAGGCCTGTCTGACATCAAAGACGTTCAGCAGGAGTCAAACACTGAAGAGCAACCTTTCAAAAAGCCAACATTTCTGATGCTTCCAAAATATCCACACGTCGGCTCGTCAACATGTGGACGACACAGATATAACTTTTTTGTAAAGATGGAGATTTATCAAGATTTAAGTGACTCTTGTTTACATGTATCACTCAAATCACTGTTTCAGACCATAATTTAATGTGCAAGAAACAAAACCAAACAGAGTCAGGTTTAGGCAGTTAGTTACATCCTACATTAGAATAAAACTTGATCAGTGCGTATTACGCAGTCCGTTCCTCTAAATATACGCAGAACGTATTGCTCATGGCGTGATGTAACACATTAGATAACTGAAATTGATCAGTGATTCACACAATGCAGTGGATGATTCACATGTTATGAAGCAGGCCTTCCTATTATCTAAGGCATGACGCGGTGGAAATTGAAGTCACAAATTACAGACAAGGGAAGAAGCAGCAGCTCACGCATGACATGGTCCTCTCTTTGGCAGAGGGTATATTTCCAGAGAATGATAGGCTGACAGGTTGAATTATTGAGTAATACTTAGTAATACTCAGTCTCTATCTCTGTCATCCTCTGTGGGACACCCACACACACAATTATACACACACACACACACACTTCCCCGTCGTGTGTCTTACTCTCTGGGACTGAGTTGCTGGGATGAGTAATGTGGCCTCCAGCAGAACATCAACTGGGAATGAAGTGTGGGGGACAGACAGCCATCTATCTTTGCTTTCTATGTTAACACATCTATCTACTGACCAAGCACACACACAGTCACACTTTGCACCCATATACACACACACACACAGACGCACAGCACACAATGGCATCCAATAGTAGCTAATTGGGTAATCCTTTTAGTGCATTGTAAAGGAGATTGAGCATGAATGGTGCTTGAATGGTGAAGAGCAGAATACCAGACACTCATTACAGCCCCACAGTGAGGAGATGGAATACCAGGCACGGAGAGGGAAGCAAGTACGTGTGTGAGAGAGCAGGATTTATATTCTGTGGAGCCAATGTTGCATTATACATGGATAGCTGCTGTACTGTCCACTGTAAAAGTCAATGTCTCCTCTGTTAAAGTTCAAGCATTTTGATCACTTTAACAGGCTCATAGTCTGCATGTTCACTTGAAACATCTAATACTCATTAATTCAATCTCAGTATCTTCTATTGGCAGCCGCGTGGCAGCATCTTTAGCCAGAGGCCGGCTTTTAGTGGAGAACCCCCTGTTGAAATTAGATTGCATTCAGATGCTTTTATGTGCATCTAAATGAGCCATTAGGTCAACCGAACAATCAACCTCCTTGGGTTTTAATACAAAAGGAGGTTGTCTGCACTGCTAACTGAGTTGGAATAGCTGGCCAACCAGTGTATTACAGGCATTAGCATAACCTTGGCAGCTGGAGTGTAGAGGAAAATGTATTTTTAATGGAGTCTAAATGGGAGCCTTTAGAGCCGTGATGACGATGGGAATTGACGCTCATGAATTTAAGGAGTTCTGAAATTAAATATCCAATATTGCCTTTTATATGTCTTTATTGGGCTGCATCCATCCAAACAAGATTAATTATTGCCTCAAAATACGTCTCTGTGCTTTTCTGCAAGGTGCCTGATACAGCTTGCTGGAATCCGGCCAGAAATAGTTTTAAAAAGAGTTGAATATGTCTTTAGTGAGATGCAGCAGCTCACCGGCCAGCTCCATGAAATATTCAGGTCTGAGGCTTTTATCCCACTCTATAAACAGAGAGTAGAAATGTATTGTTACAAGCAGAAGTATTTTTAGTCATTTTGAATTATTGCCCATCCATTACCCGCAAATATTTACCTTTTCCATTAGCCATCTCTGTCTTGAGCGTGCTGTGTCATTGATGCGCGGATATGGCGTCTCATAAACATGAGATTTAAATGGATCATCATAAAAGCTTTGTTGTTTTGCATTACCATTTGTGCGATAGCCGAGTCTTCTGAATGGAAGGCGTGCTTGTTATAAAAGTGTAGAAGTTGTATAGTGGCGCAGATACAAATTAGAGCTGCATCTCTTCAACTGAGTCGAATCACTGAGCAAAGAAGCGGTACAAAAACTCACTTTAGAGAGTCACACAAAGTCTCCCTTCACCATTTCTGAAGTCTGTCTTCTATGCTTTGTTTGATACGGTATTACAGTGGGATGACATGCATAGGTAGGTGGAAAAGAATGAGGCCTTTCCTGGCACTGGGGCCCATTGACCCTGCAAGCTGAAGACTCAGTGATAAGGCTGTCATTCTGGAGCATAACCATCCTCCCATCCTCCTAATCTGCTCGATGTGTGCGCGCGTGTGTGTGCGTGTGAGCTGTATGGTGTAATGTGGGAGTAAGAGAAGACACAATGAGCTCACTTTCAGGGGTCTGTATCATTCTAAAAGCAGCTGGAAATCATTTCTGCAGGCGATACCTGTGCCCTGCTCCAAAATAAAAGCCTCCCTTAACCTTGTAATTCTAAATTGCTCAATGTAGGGAAAAACCTGCAGGGTTCTGCAACAGTTTCAGTGTCAAAACTTAATGGAGTCACACCTCATACTCACCTGCTGCTGGCTGATTCTGAGCAGGTTTGTATGTAGAACATAATATATCATCTAAGGGTTTGTATCAGTGCTGCAAAGTTTCAATATTATCATGTGCCAAGACTTTAAGGGATGTTGGGATGCTGCTCCTATCTGACACAGAGCTTTCACTCATGCAAGGAAACTGCATTTGGGTATCTGGGACAGCTATTTTAGGACGCGTCTACTTTAGCAGGTCATGACAGCGCCACTGGTTTGTCACACGCAACATATATGAGAGAAACCTGCTAATAAACTAGACTAAACTATGAAATGATTTGTAAAGTCAAAATTAAAACACAGGCAAAAGAAACTCTGCTCTTCTAAGAGGAAAAAAAACAGCTGAAATACTCTGCTGTCGAAGAAAAAAGCCTATCCTCTTCTTTTATCTTCCACCCTCACCTCATGATCCTGTCTTTTCTTGTGTTTCTCTTCACCACAATAAGTCCCTGTGCAGAGCAGAGCTGAACCTGCCTGCACAGGTGCTCTGTATTTACTCATACACCTTGTCACCTGCACAATGAACAACAATTCCTGATCCCAACAGGTCTCGACACATTCAGCTCACAGGTGTGACAGAACTTTAACTGGGAGGTTGTGCAAGGGGCAAATTATTTCCCACACATGCTCTCTGGCATTGCTATTAATTGAGCCGCGAAATCATAGGGGGGCTGAACAGCATAGAATAGCAGGGTGGGAACACATTAAATACATGCTTCAAACACTTAACAATAACCTGTTCTGCACACAGTGCTGTTAACGTTCATGAATTGCTGTGTGCAGCATATTCATAAAGCCTGTACTGTATAATTTCTTCGGTTTAAATTAATAGTTCTTGTTCCTAGCGACTAATCATGTTGGAAACTAAATAAAAGTTGGAGCAGAAGTTACATTCAGAGCTGGTATGCCCTCAATCACTGTGATCACACACTAACAGTAACAAAACACATGGACTGCTTCCATGTGGAGAAACTATAGTTCACTCAGAGTGTTTAACAAAGCAAATAACTGATATTACTCAGCAGTAGTGAATCAAAATTGGTTAAAAATGTGTTTTCTACTTAGAGCAAACACAGCTAACTTTATAAAAGTCACAACAGGGGCAGTTCCACTCAACAAATCACACTCTCTCAAATCTGTGGCATCTGGCTCACTCCTGCAGAAAGTTGTGAGCCTGTGACTGAGCCTGTGCTATCATATTTCCTCAAACCACCATAACATTCTTGAAGTGTGACTGTAGGTGACTTACCTCCATTATAATCTGCCTGCATGCTCTCACAGTCACAGCTAGTGCTGCTGCTTCTCTCTTCCCCAATGCTGAGCGGATCACTGTGGACAAACCACTTCCAGTCGGGCACTAGCTGGTACTTTTGTTGTGGAGAGCAGGAGTTATCTCTTCTCTCTTTTCATCCCTCTTCAACACCTGGTACGCTTGCAATCAGTCCGCCCCATCTCCCATACACTGCACACTGTCACATTCTTCCATAAACACTCTTTCTCTCTTTCTCCTCCCTCTCTTCACAGTGTTGCCTCCCATATAAACTCCCTCCCACTCTCTCTTTTTCACTCTGAACATCCAACTCTCCTATCTCACCCTCGCTCTTTCTTTCTTGTCCTCCGCTGCTTGCCTCCTCCACCCCTTACATACAGTTCTCTGTTTTTGTGTGTTGTTACTGTAGTCTTTTCACCCTTTAATCTCTTGTTCCTCGCATGCTACTCCCTTTACCTGTCTCTTTTCACCTTCCACCTTTCTTCTCCGTGCCTTTTTTTTCTCTCTTTTCCTGGCAGGGCTCCCAGCGGCTCTGCTATTCACTTCACTGCCTCTGTAAACAGCTCATCATCCCTGCCCACACTTCTACTGAAAGCCTCACATAATCTATCTGTAAGTGGTCTAAATATCCGTGTGTTGGAGTGTGGGAAGCATCAGAAAGATTTTCTCATTGAGTGATCATTTTTCATGTGCAGACTTTGTGTTTTCACGTGTGTGCACCTGCAAGAAAAAGTCAGAAAAGTGCTTGCTGTGCTGATGAGTCATGCACCCTATTACCCATCATGCTCCTCTGCTGGAGATTTGACCTGCTTCACTGCTCCAACTAACTTCACTGGCACCCCTTTGCTCTCAGGCTCATAAGCCAGGAGCGGATCTGTTGTGTTTTGGTTTATTTATGTAGCAGATGAGCTGAATAAATGATCAGGTTATAACCCTGTAGCTCAGTGTTGGCAGATGACCCATTTCTCCTCCCCAGCTTTCTCTTGTTTCTTCTCTGCGTCCATCACTTTTCTGTCTGCCTGTTTTTCTTGTCCCTGTTATCTCCCTTCTTCTTCTTCTTTCTCTGCACTTTTACAGCTCTCTCACTCTTAATCTCTTGCTTCAAAATTCTGGGCAACTGCTGAATCGAAATTAGACATGAAACTTTTAGTCACTTCCCAAGTTATTTAGCAAAAAGTATTTTTGAAGTTGCCTGTCTGGCTGTGGAAAGAAAAAAAAACACATCCTTCTTAGCTGTCCTTGTTAAAAATTAAATGACAAGATCTTGAGCTTGTTTATCTTGAACTTGTTTCTAATTAGCAGCCAGAAACAAAGCAAAGGTGATAGTTGTAGTGTTATGTATCCCTGCAGGTAATTTTGTGTTTACAAGTTCTGAGCTTCACTGTTAGCTGTTTTAATGTTTGATTGTACCTTCCCAGCTTTCTCTATGCCACCTAATGCAACAACTAATAATAGGGCTGAGCGATAAAGGTGAAAATTTACCAATACTGAAATTTACGACAATAAACAATGTCATTTTGCCCATGTCAATATATTGGATGTCAAAAAATAAATAAATAAAAGTTGGTTTTGGATGTGTGTAGGTAGGTTATGGTCACATGTCTCTTTAAGAAGCTGTCCTACATCACAGACTTGACTCTACCCCATCCAGTCCGTAACAAAGAGGGAAAGACAGGTGAGGAGATTAGTGATAGAAAGAACACTTCTTTTGATTGTACTGAATCTTTAGAATCTGTTCATTAATAATATTTGTTCAAAACGATTCGTTCACCGAATCAGTCAGTGCTTCGGAGTCCTCTCCTGCCGGTGCAGTACACCAGTGAGTGACATAGCTGTGAGTTCGTTCTTTGAACGAGCCCATCCTCTCCCCTGCTGCCGAAGTCACAGCATCCTTCACTCTGTGACACATGTCGTTCATTCGCCAAGTCCTGAAGGAAGAATCACTCCCCTGCCCTGAAAAACTTGCCTCTCTGTGTGTCACTGTCAGCGGAAACAACAAAGCAGCAAGCAGCACGCCTGCTAAACGAGCACGAGTCGTCGTTCTTTTATATAGCATAAAAGTGGAGAGACTAAAAATAAATAAATAAATAAATATCGCAACTGTAGCAGGGATTCTGCTACTTTTAAAGATATCAAATAGCATGTTGCTTTAAATCGGCTGAAATCCTTCTTACAGGAAAGTTTATACACGTGTATTAATGTAAAAGCAATATAATGCATTTTTTATCTCAGCCTCAGTGAACGAACCGGTGCTCAGCAGTTCATGAATGGCGCTACACCCCTCCCTCCTCTGCCTGCATCAAGTCGTTCAGATGTCGTTCCTTTTATTCACAGTCTGACTCGTTCACAGTCTGACTGATACATGTCATTCATTCACTGTGAGCAAATCATGAGACTCTGCCTGCCTGCTCGCTCGCTGGCTGGCTGTGTGTCATTCGCCAAAGAGTTAAAAGCGGCAGTTCAACTCCCGACCAGGCTTGCGGCTGAGCGCAACTGAACTGAGAAAGGAACGAGTCAGGTCTCGGAGTGATTCCATTCATATCGTTCACTCAGCAGTTCCGTTCTTTTGAACCAAATGTTCATGAACGACACAACACTAGAGGAGATGGAGGACAGTTCAAAAGTTGTAGCAGCTGGAGCGGCGGCTGAAGTAGACAAAGTTAATGCTGGAGGGAGTGAGCAGCTTGTGGAGTAGTTATCGTCCATTTATCGTTATCGAGGTGAACTGCTCAATATATCGTGATATTGATTTGAGGCCATATCGCCCAGCCCTAGAAAATAATATCCAGGTTGTTTAAGTTTTAATATTTGTTGCCATGACAAAATACCACAGTCCCTGCATCTCTGTCTGCTCTTTAAAAGTTAAAAGCTGACTAATATCCAGTTTCCTCTCACATAAGCATGAGTGAGAGTGAGTGTGTGGGCAAAACTGTGTGTTTAAGATTGCCCGTGTGTGTTTGCGAACATAATTTCATGGTTATCTTTAAAGCCTGTGTGCTTTAAAGGAGTCTGTTTTCATACCTCAGTCCAAAGGTATCTCTGATGCTGTGCAGGGATGTTAAAAAATAGCTATTTATTATTCATGTACCTCAGCACCTAGTGTGCAAGCATGGCTGTATGATTCTCTGTGTATTTGCACTCTCAGTCGGAGAAATCTCAGAGCAAGTCTCTAAAGATTGCATTACAGCAAAACAGTTAGGAGGTGTTTGTGTGAATGGCGCGGCGTGATTAGTCTTGTGAGTTTTGTGTTCGCTGTTTTCTGTACTTGAAGGAACAGCTCAGACCGTCAGACTGGGAACAGGCTGCAGAAGCAATTGATTGGATTTTATGTCAAATTTGCTCTTCCAGAACGTGAATCCTTTTGCTGGCCAAGACCCATGTCCCTGCTTATCTTCACTCACCCCCACAGACACACAAACACACACACACACGCACGCACAAATAAACACATGGAGGAGGATCAATACCCTGTTGAATAAAACGACCTGGCATAATGTTGTTGACCCAGCTGGCCAAAAAAAAAGTGACCCTAGTCAATGATGGGTGGTGGACACAGCTGAGTTACACAATGCACACAGTTACCACATGCGCATAAACACAAAACTAACACACACACACACATAAACAACCAAATGGAAATTTGCAAAGCTCTAAAAACACAGATATTCATGTTTGAAAAATACTCAGTCCTGCAGATGCATTCAGACGCACAAAAATCTGCCTGATTATTAAAACACATCCACATATATGTGTACATAGCTTCTAATCTCATCTACAGGTTCATTTAAATTCTCGGGCATTTCAGTGCTCTAAAATACAGAACCACACTCACAAACACACACACACAAATACACACAGCCACTTTCAAAATCCAATTTCTTATGTAAGCCTGCTCTGTGTTTGCACATATGCCTTTTTTGGCAGCCTGCTGGATGTAGGCAGCTGAACGTGGATCCAATATAAATCCACATTACACAGGAGATTAAATAGATGCTGTCAAGTCATAACACAATTGTATCACACAAAGAGCAAACATGTACAGTAGCTGTTTGAATCATCATTTTTATCCATATGCCGTTATATTTAAATATAAAGAGAAACACGGACAGTTTAAAGTCATTTCCTTGTTTTAATTTCACCTGTTAGCCCCGCAGTTTCAGTGGTGGGCCACCTTTCTTGTCTCCCTTTAGTTTTACTGTTTGATGAAGGAAAAATGCACAGTGATGTGCACACTCCGTATAATTTTACCTTGTCATATTTTCATTTATTTTATTTATACTTACATTTTTTCTATTTTTTTCTCGATTGCTCTTATCCTGTTGTTTTATGTTGCTGCCTTTACTTTGTAAAGTGTCCTCGAGTGTCAAGAAAGGTGCTTATAAAGAAAATGTATTATTATTATTATTATTATTATTATTATTATTATATAACTAACTGGCTTTAAAGACCCACTCTGATGAAAATCATGTTTTTCTTGCCGTCAACATATTCATATGGCGTTTTTCTGATGCTACAGGAAATATCATGAGAAACAAAAGAGCGAAATTGCATTTCTGAGTATTTCTACATTCAAATTGATGTGAATCTCTGGCAGACTCAGATGGCAGGCTCAGATTCATTGAGATTTTCTATGTAGCAAATCCAAGCTCCGCTCCTGAAGCCCCGCTATGCAGACCAGTCTTGGAGAAATGGAGAGGACGATCACGGAACAAGCGTGTGTGTTAGCGTATTGCAATGTTCGTAAGAAAGCTAATTATGATATATGACTTTCATCATGCCCCTAAAGACGTTAGTGTCCGAGAGCTGAACGGCTCCTATGTTACCTAGGGTGACCATATTCTGACTTTCCAAAAAGAGGACACGACTATGCGGGGGCGGAGTCACTGAGTCGTACAAAGTTTATTTTGAGAGTTTTTCGGGTCGGATCGAGTGTCCTTTATGCGCTTCTAACTCAGTAAGTCCACATGACACAAAATCGCAGACACTTGAAGAATTTTATAAACTTCCTTTGACAAAGCCGGACAAGCCCGAGGTTTGGTCACTCTAATGTTACCTGCCACTTCTACTACACCGGAAGTGTTTGGCTACAAGCTAGCATTGAGAGGAGTGTGCAGAGCAGCGCTGTCTATGCCCCTGACTCAGCAGCGAATTGCTAATGAACAACTGGAGCGCTGCAGAAGAAAAGCCTCAGAAAATGAAACAAATAACGTGATTTTGGCTAAAAACGTCATAATCACAATTTAAAAACCGCTGATATCACTTGAAAAAAAAATGATGGGAGTTTAAA